TCAGGACCCTGACTCAGGTTTTTCACTGTTAGCCGAGCCCAGGAACCGACTAATCCTCTAAAAGAAAGAGTCCCTCCACAAGACATAAATCAGGCTAAAGAAGCAATTTGATTACACGTGCCGCTTACCGAGACCTTTTAGAATGTCTCTTTTCCATAGTCAAGAACGCGAATTCACCAGACTCCAGCTAATTTGTTTATTTTCAGCTTGATAAGGTCTTTAAACACTGAATAACAAAATTTGTTCGTCGTGTCGAGGTGGTGCATTTTTTTCGGGATCTCGAGATTTTTCAGATTTTTCTTTCTCAACACAGCTGGAGAGATGAGGTTCTGCGGGAGACGGTTGCGTTGTCGAGTGATGCAAGGAAGGAATTGAAGGTTTGAGCGCCGGTTACTGCGCCTTGGGGAGCTACAGTAAGATCGACTTTTGGAAAAATGAACTTTTGACACTTGAAAAATGTAAATTTTCAAAAGGAGCCAGCTCAATTTGAAAAATCAGCCACTTGAACTCGATGTCTTGAGCTTAGATTTTCTGCTGATGAAAGTATAATTACGCCTAATTGAGCATGTTCCGCGAGCTCTGGATTTGCCTAATTCGTTAATCATTTTTAAATTTATTCTTGATTTCGAGCATAAACTCGTTTAGAGGGTGACGTGTGATTTTCCCCCGAGTCCTTGCTTAGTTGAGCGAAACTGGCATCTCTGAGCTTGGCGGCCTGTGTAGAAAACCTGACTCAGGGACCCTGAGTTAGGGTTATTGAAAGCTGAGAAGTGGTTTTGCCAAATTTGTTTTTTCAAACCATCAAGATTGTTCTTGCAAAGCCGCTTCGCGGCTTCGATTAAAAATAAGCCGCTGCGCGGCTTTTCAATAAATCTTGACTCAGGTTTTCTACAAAGGTTGCCAAGCTTTCATAGACCAGAAAGAAGGCTAGTCGATCCTTTCCTGGATTGATCCTCTCCGTCTTGACCGAAAACCCCTCTCGCGTTCCTTGCATTTCAATCGTTACTGTATGTTCTTGAGCATCGGCATCAGACACTTTTATCTGGCTGGAAATGGAATTTCATAATTTTCTCCATGGCGAGTTATGAAATGGGCTCAAGCTAATCGCGCTTTTCTCCGTCAGAAAAAAATATAGAGATCTCAAATCTGTCAGAAAGCGGCGTATTTGCTCAGCCTCTTTTTTGGGTAGACTGATTTTTTTTGTTCTCTTAGACATATTTTTACGAAGAAAAGGGAGATTTTTATACGACCGAAAATACTCGTTTTTAACATTTGATTTTTCCCAAACTGTGGAGAAAACCTTAGCCAGGGCCTTGAAAGAGCTTTCAAGAAAAGACGCGTTGCGGCTTTATAGAAACGAAGCCGCGAATTCAAAATACAGTAGAAGCTCTTTCAAGACCTTGATTAGGGTAAGAAGCCACAAAAAGGCCGTCGAGTTCTCAGTTAGATGATGTTTTCAAACGCTCGAATTTCGTCCCACTGCAAATAATAATTCGCACAAATGTAATTCTTGCGAAAATTGGTTGTTGACGGGCGAGGCTGAAAATAATCCGGAAGGAGCCACAAATCACACCACTCATCTAAACCAAGACGCCGGGCTAAGAAAATATTTTCGAAATGCTTTCTAATGTTAACTGGCGAGGTGGCAAATCAAGCTCAATTACGGAATCGCACAAACACCGCTCGCGTTACTGAGATAAGGCTCGCCCGCTAAAGCACTCTTTTTCTAAGAGACGCGTCTTTTTGGAGGGGATTATTTGTGCCAATTCTACAGCACGCAACTTGCGCAAGTTTATTGCTGTTAGCAACGGTAGAGCAAGTTTTGGGCGGATTATTTGTTCAAGATGGGATAATCCAGAGGTTAGACGCGACAATTGAACATTGCCAACTGAACCAAGCGGTTGATAAAACATCTAGTAATGCAATAATAATTCCAAAGAATACATTATACAATATCTAAATGCTGTGAAAAGCACAATATGATATTGTCAATATCCCTTTTTATAGCGAATCTTTCCTTCTTTTTTTCGCTTCGTTTTCAATAGAAAAATTCATGGCGAAATGAAATTGAGCGAGACGAAATTGAGCGAAGCGGAGCTTCGCTTCAAATAAGGAGGCTTCTTTTAGAGCGAAGCTTCGCTTCTCTTATTTTCGCTCCTATTTCGAGTCAATAATGAAGCGATAATAAGCGAAGCGAAGCTTCGCTCTAATAGAAGCCCCTTATTTGTAGCGAAGCTTCGCTTCGCTCAAATTCGTTTCGTCATGAATTTTTCTATTAAAAACAAAGCGAGAATAAACGAAGCGAAAAAAAGAAGAAAAGAGTCGCTATAAAAAAGGGAGGTTTTTCGAGCCGAAATTAACTTTTTTGTAAAGAAAAGTCTGCCGAGCAAATTGAGCTATCAAGATATGCTCTTGGATCCACGTTATCTTTGATGACAGAAACATGTTTTTAGTCTGACGGGCTAATTCTAGGTTAAGGGTCTCCTTGTGTAATGTTGAAAAGCTGCCTGATCGTCAGAAGATTGATCCAGTGTTGGTTTTGATAAATAAGGGCCTCATGGACGGTGGCTTCCGGACACTGGTGCAATCATCCGGCTTCCGCTTAAATATTTGGAACCGCCAGCTTCCTTTATCCTAGTATATGTTATGAATATGCAGTTATGAAAAGCCTCAGTTCGTTTAGCATATCACCAGCCAGGTATAACTAATACCGCAGCTGCGCGACCAGAGGACGAGTCTATCTGCTCTTCAAGAAGCATATAACTACAGTAGACCAAAAGACAGGAGATTCTTTGTTGAACTTTTTCCTGGGTCAGGCAACCTTTGTACCTGACTCAGGTAGAAAACCTGACTCATGGTCCTCGAAGATTTTTGATGAAAGCCGCGGAGCGGCTTTTCTTAAAACGGAGCCGCAAAGCGGCTTCGCCAGAATGGAAGTTTTGGTGAAGCCGCTTTGCCCTTCCAGGACCCTGACTCAGGATTTCTACGCAGCTTTTTTCTCCTGAAGATTGCGTCAAATCGAAGATGGATCGCGTGTCCCGGAAGACAGATATAATTCAATAATCAGTGGCTAAATGCCACAACATGACCCCATAAAATTCACAATCGCTTAGCATTCTTCGACCTTTCGATTTTCACTCGAAACAATGTTCGAAGCAGACGGCTGCTCTGAAGAAAATTAAATCTTAGAAAAATCAATCTACACTGTTTGGTGGCTGGCGGCGTCTTCTAAACACCATTTGATAATTAATCGAGTTCGGGCTCCGTTACCACCCTCAAATGCGTCTTACATCATTCTTTTTTATTTTGTACTGTAACTTGGTTACTTTTCAAAATTACCGTTTCTCCGTAAGCAGACTCCTTCCGACGCAATTTTAACAAGAAACGCTGAAATTAAAAATTACCAATTTTGAAATTTCAAAATAAAAAAAAATCTCGCAAACATGCATTTCTTGCATAATTTCTTCTTCAAGCAAATTTCCTTTCCGGAACTTTAAATTCACCTCCCCTCAAAATTACCATTTTCCAAGACTTTGTAATACGGTAATTTGACTTTCTGGAGTAAAACTGAGTTTTCCCAAAAATTACGAAAAATATTTGAAAATCCATCTAATCAACCATGAGAGAAAAAAATCTGTTCCCACTTTCGTCATTCTTCAGCCAGTTCCTAATTTGCCGATAGTCTTGTCGAAACCGATTCCAAACAGGGCTAATGTGGCTTTTTTCGGGTCACCAGGCTGAGCTCGGCAACCTGTGTAGAAAACCTGAGTGAGGGTCTGAAAGAACTGAAATGAAAAGCCGCGCAGCGGCTTTTCAAAAACGAAGCCGCGAAGCGGCTTCGCCAGAATTTTGGTAGATTTTAATGGTGATATTAGCGAAGCCGCTTCGCGGCTTCGTTTTTGAAAAGCCGCTGCGCGGCTTTTCATTTCAGTTCTTTCAGACCCTCACTCAGGTTTTCTACACAGGTTGCCGAGCTCAGTCACCAGGGGTTCGAGGAATTATTAACCCGTTCGTGCGTTTTCGGTCATTTCTTTGTATAAATTCAAATTTGTCAGAAAAGAAGAAGAAACTCAATAAAATCATTGAATCAGTCGAATAAATCTTTCCTACTAGGTTAGCTAGTATTAAAATAACTCATTAGTAGGGCCGCACTTGAGTCGTTATTCTATTATGTCGGAATTATTTTTCTTTTGGGCAAGCGGGGCTGCTCGGAGCCGGACATCCTTCTAAACCCAACTAGGTCGACCCAGCGCAGCGAGAAATTAAACATTCTAACTGGATTGATAACTTGGCTGGTGACCCTTAACCATAGTGTTGACGTTGTTGGGTGCCAGTGGACACAGCTCGCGGACGGGGCCTGTTAGAGGGTTAAATAGGATTCGGGTATCTAAAGGATAAGAATATGAAGTAAGAATAACATCTAACTGCTCCCTCTTTCCTTCGTACAAAACGCAGCTGCCTTCTGCGCCGGGATCCGAAAAAGAAAGAAGAAGAAGATGAAGAATGACCTTTTTATGTCAAGGTCTGTCGATTAAAACAGAATCTCGGCCTCGAAAAAGCTCGATTATTCAGGAAAGCTGTGCATTTTCACGGGATTTGGGCGAATCCGGTGACCCGCCGAACCACCGGCCAGATGATGCGACACTTCATTTTCCATTGAAATATTTATCGAAAGCAAGACCACATCACATGTTTTCCCGCGCCCGTTTTTTATAAGCAAAACACGATGTTCAATTTTTCATTTACCGTTATTGGTCATAAAAAGCTCAAATCATATTCAATAACAGACCCCGATTGTCATTTTTGACCGACTAAATTTCCTTATGAGTCATCAAAATCCGAGAAGCCGCTAGCGCCTTCGAGCATAAACAGAAAAAAGCCGCCCAAAGCGCGGCTTAAATACTGTTTCTCGAAGCCGCAAGCGGCTTCTCGGATTTTGATCACTCATAAGGAAATTTAGTCGGTCAAAAATGACAATCGCGGCCTCTTTTCTGCGATAACTATTTAAAGTGTTTCACCGTTTCGTTTACGCTTGCGTGAATTCTAACACAGGTGTTCGTCCTTCTTCGGATCCCGGAATGATCTTTAGGCATCTTGCTCGCCAAGTCGGAATGCAGCTTTAGATGGCTCGGGTGCTTGCTCATTGTTATGTGCATCTGAGCAATGCTGTCGCGCATTCTGAAGATGTCTTCCGAGCCCCAGAGAGCTCCGCGCGCTACAAACGCGCTCCGCCGATGCTGAATGGATCCGATCGTTATTTTTAGAACAGATTTTTTGGTTCAAAATGCCGTTTTATGTTTGACATGCGAGAAAACATTTTACGGGGCATTCGGTTATTACCATTTGCTTACGTAATAAAAAATAAGCAACTACAGTTTTTATCAGAGTTGCAAATTTGCTGAGCTGAGTGAGCCGCGCTAACTGAATGAGCTGAGCAGTCGCTCCGCTCAGCTCACCTAAGTGATTTTAACACAATTTTTCTACTAAAAACACAGTAACGCTCAGCTCAACAAGCTCAGCTCAGCTCAAATATGGGTTCGCTCAGCTAAGCTCAAATTAGGGTCCGCTCAGCTCAGCTCAAATTAGGGTCCGCTCAGCTCAGCTCAAATTAGGGTCCGCTCAGCTCAGCTCAAATTAGGGTCCGCTCAGCTCAGCTCAAATTAGGGTCCGCTCAGCTCAGCTCAAATTAGGGTCCGCTCAGCTCAGCTCAAATTAGGGTCCGCTCAGCTCAGCTCAAATAAGGGTCCGCTCAGCTCAGCTGAAATACGGGTCCGGTCAGCTCAGCTCAAATTACGGTCCGCTCAGCTCAGCTCAAATTAGGGTCCGCTCAGCTCAGCTCCGCTCAATGACCTCCGAAATAGGCCACCTTAGCTCAGCTCAGCTCAGAAAATTTTTTACTCAGCTCAGCCTAGCTCAGCTCAGCAAAAATAAAGCAAAACTTGCAACTCTGGTTTTTATCGAAAGATCGACATTTAGAAAAAGCACTTGATTTGTCGCGCTCGGGGGTTTGAGAGGATGAACTCACCATAAAAGCTGATTGTTTCTCACCTTTTGGCAGAGGGTTCTAACGTTGTCTTCGACTTCCTGCACTGACAAGCCAGAAGGTGATCCGATTAACACATCCGCCTAAAACAATGCTTTTTCGAAAAGGTTACGCCTAATTAGACACATTTTATTTTCTGACATTTTTTCGGCAAGCAGATGCGCCCCTCTCTCTAAAATCAGGAATAAGCGCTTTTTCGCTCCTTTTTTCAGCTGCTTGTTTTGCATTTTGCCAAATTAAGGGCGTCCAGTTCAAAACTCTAACCTGGCTGAGAAGAGTCTCCGCATGATTCGCCCAAATCGCCGGATGCGCAACTTCAACAATCAACTCGGCCTGAAAAAGTTCAAATTCGAAGAGGTCCAATTGACCGGGCAAATTTCTTAATTTTCAATTAAGAGCGCAACTCGTTTGTAATTTTCTTTTAGAACCTGCAAAGGCATATCAGGAATGTCGTCTAAGTCCTCGAGGATCTTTTCTTCGGGGAGATCGAGTAACTTGTCCATTGATCGATTCCAGACCCAGGCGACCTAAAATTTTGAAGGTAATTTTTCTCGAAAAATAGAATAGGGAATCAAAACTGGGCTCGGCAACCTGTGTAAAAACCTGAATCAGGGTCTTAAAATTCAAAAATAAAAAGCCGCGTAGCGGCTTTTTTGAAAACGAAGCCGCTAAGCGGCTTCGCCAAAATTACAATACCAACTATGATATTCTAGAAAAGCCGTTACGCGGCTTCGTTTAAAAGCCGCTAAGCGGCTTTCCATTATAGCTCCTTAAGAACCCTGACTCAGGTTTTCTACACAGGTTGCCGACCTCAGGGTCGAACCCCGGCCACGAGAGTCTCCCCTCGAAATGTCTAAAAGTAATCCCATCCACGTCAGTTGCACCGTATTTCCTCGCCCTCCCCATAGTACGGGTGTGCCCTTATTTACCCTAAATGTATCTCTCTAACATGATGATGCTCTCAAATCCGGTTCGATCCCCCATTTGGTAATTGGTGGCGAATTGTATAACCAAAACGCAAAATGTTATCGCAGACCACAAAAGGAGCACTAGGCAATTACGTGGAATGTTATTTTCAGCGCCATTCCTTTATGTTATCCAAGCAAGATCTAATTGATCAACAACTCCAGTTTCTTGTATTTACCGCTTTGTTCGCTCTCCAACTATCCGCTCCTTCTATATTTAGCAAATGAAACCCATCGTTAACCCGCCAATACGCAGATGTTGACATGCTCGACAAAGAGAGAGCTGAGGAGTTACAAAGATGGGTTAAACAAATTCCATCATCTTTTTAGAAATAAACCGAGAACTTGATACCTTAGTATAAACGATGGAGCTATTTTTGGATGAAAAATGGCCAGAAATTCATATTTCCGGAAGGTCCATTTTTGCATCAACGGTTTTTATGCATATTTGCGCCTTGTTCTTTACGTGTTCTATGCATACAGCCCCGTTGACATTTCGGTTCAAGGGAAGAAGTTGACTTTTTCAACTGATTTCCAGATGATTTTTGATGATTGCCGCGAAAACTAAAGCCGAGTCGAAAGGCTATCTGAAAATCCCCATCGAATCGAGTCGAGTCGACTTAGTCAACTTATTAGTCGAAAAGTCGAAAAACTGGAAAAATATATAAATTTAGTCGAAAAAGTCGAAAATAAGTCGAAAAGTCAAAATTTAGTCGAAAGTCGAAAGAGAAGTCGAAAAGTCGAAAGCAAAATAGTGATTCTTTTCGACTTTTTCGACAAGATTTTCGACTTATTCGAATAGATTTTTCGACTTTCTACTCAACATTGCTCTCGACTTTTTGACTAGTCGACAATCTAGTTTACACATCGGGTCAAGTCGAGTCGAATCGAGTCGACTTATTTCCACAACCAGTCTAGTCGAGTCGAGCTAGTCTTTTCGACTAAGACTCGACTCGACTCGACTTCGACTTTAGTCGAAACTCGACGAGTCGATTTAGAACCCTGATTGAATAGAATGCTTTGAATAGAACATCACCATTCTAATAGCATAATTTGAATTCAACCAGAGATGCCATCAAAATTGACCCTAGCCTTAAGAAAATAGAAAAATATTTTTCAAAGATTACGGTATTTGATCATGCAATTCATCCTTTACCATAAAAACTAAACAAAAAGCTCTGTATATTTTGGCTTACCTCTAAATGAGCACTCTTCTCCGCATAATCATAAATTGCTTTGAACGAGATCCAAATTTTTTCATCAAATTATTGAAATTTATTGTTTCACTGTTTTTACTAAAAATTAGCTGGGATAAGACACTTTCAGGTAAGTAATAAGTAATGTTTTCCTGAAAATGATGTCAAAAGAGGACGAAAACGGCGTTTCGTAAAAGTGACGAGTGCGCACATTTTCGAGCTCTATAATATTTTCCCGTTTACATGGCTTTTCGGCGAAGTGGTCCCGCTCGGCCGCGTTTTATTTCGCGCTGCGTAATTTATTATCCTTTGTCATGGTCTATCTGCTCCGCTCACGGGAAATTTGACAAGTTTAGTCACTAATCCATTACTAGAATTTTACATTTTTGTTATCCTTAGCGACTTTTTATTTGTAGGCTTTTAAAACATTTGCATTTCATTTTTAGATTCGCGAATTAAATACTTAAATTTTAAAATCAAAATGAAAATTGGATGATTAACTCTTTTGCGCATCTAAACCAATTTTTTGGCAGGGCGCTTATTTACGGCTAAAAGGTCTGTTATTACGCGAAAAACGAAAATAGCACTGAATTATCTTCTCCTACGCTCATGCTTATTTTGAGCAAGCAATCAAGCTCAAAAAGAAACGAACCTCGGCCCCCTGTTTCTTGTCCCAATTTGCCAAATCCAACAATACCGATCCGCGTCATTGTAAACAGCAGTACACTCTCTCTCGTTGATTCCGTTTGTTTTCCCTCGTTCAATCAAATAATCAAGAAGCCGAAAAAATAACGATCTCTTATTTTCTTTATTTCTGCGCTTTTGTTTGCTCCACCCAATCCACACCCCAAAAATTCAAGAAGAAAAAATAGAATAGTTGCTATAGCGCGGCTGTTTGCTTTGATCCCACAGCTCAAAAGACGGTAGATCCTCTCAATGGTTTTTCGTTGAATTGAGATTATTCTTTTTCCGGTTTTTATTTCGAAAAATACTTTCTTACGTATCCCCTCTTGGTTTTGACAGAATTTTGTATTGCCAAGAGTAAGCTTTTGCTTTATGAAAAAGTTTCTCTGAAATATATTCTTGACAACCTATTTAAAAACCTGAGTCAGGATCTGATTAGCTAAAAATGAAAAGCCGCGAAGCGGCTTCGCTGACATTTTAAAATTGATAAGTGTGATTGTATTGCGAAGCCGCTTTGCGGCTTTTCATCTTTAGCTAATCAGAACCTGACTCAGGTTTTTACAAAGGGTTCCAACTTGGAACTTCCAAGTCTAGTCTGGAAAAGTACAAGAGAAAGAGAAATCTTCAGTCTACCTTGCCAGATGCAAGTTCGTTGATTAGTCGCGAAGTTGGACCGCAAATCTTATGACCCAAGCACCGGGTCGCCGGGATCAGTGTTATCCCTCGTTTACTCAGCCCGCAAGATCGTAATTTTTCGACGCTTAGAGCGAATTCGCCTGTTACAGTCACCATCAATTCATAAAGACCTCAGATGGACGCACTCTATTGTTCCGTAATTATTGATGAATTGCTTGATTAACGATCAAGGTTATCTAATTGGCCCTTGAGAAATGATGTTTATGAGAGTCTCGCCGCTTTAGAACTCGCTCTAGAAAAGACACTGCGCTGGGCCACTCGCAACCGATACTTAGGGCCCTTCTAATGCGATTAAACGGCGACAACCATCAACGTGCTTTCTTAATCGGAAACTTTTACGCACTGCCCCAAGTACCGAGATTCACAATTAATCAAAGACTTGCATAATCGAAACGTGAGGGATCTTACGACGGTTTCCATCGCCAAAATTTCTTATGAGTCCGATTTGTATGATCAAGAACAAGTTTTCTAAAAATGAACTTGATCGCTCCAATTGAACGATAATCAGCTAACACTTAGTCCAACATAATTGCGGCTAGAATTTAATGCAGCAAATAAAATCAGCTCCGATCGCTTATGAATCCTGGCAGCGAAATCCTGAGAAGGGCGTTGACTGCAGACTAAGCGGGCCTGAATTTTTAGAACCAGTTCAGCGCCCCGCCGGATTTACAGATGGACATGCCTGCGATCCGGCTGATTATGATCCTGAAATTAAACGGGCAGCTGAGACTTTCTACTGCTCCAATTTTCAGCGAAAGATATGTCACCTCCTTCTTAACTTTCAAGAAGTCATCTTTTCGGAAACAAGGACGGGATCGTAAGAAAAAAAAATTATAAAGAAAATTTCTCGGCAACCTTTGAAGGAAACCTGAGTCAGGTTCTGAAAAGCCGCAAAGTGGCTTTTTTGAATCCGAAGCCGCGAATTTATCATTTAAGCTCGTCAGAACCTGACTCAGGTTTTCTACACAGGTCGCCAGAACCAGACTTATAGTCATCTTACGAAAAAAGGCCAATTTTTCTGCTACCAGATTTACAGCGAACGTGTCTCATTTCTACCGCGGTAATGAGCGCTGAAAAATGTCGAATATCCGTCGCGGTAAAAATCTTCAAAATCGAAAAAATACTACGTTTTCAATTTTTCGAATTGTAAGGTGCCAAAGTAGATGTTTCGCATGGAGCAACAGAGCCTTGTGGTCGTTGAACATTTTATTTGAAGAAAAGACGCCGAAGACAAACGCCAAAAGGGATGATCTCCTGTCGACTCAAATTTTACATTCTGGCAACGTCTCTTTAGACGTCTTTCCCAAGGGTTGAGGTTTAGTGTTTTTGAAAAAAGCAGAGAAGGGCCGTTTAGACTCTCTAAGAACCACGTTGCTTACAAGATTTCTCGAAGGACACTTGGCTTGGCATCTGTTGATTCAATCGTTGACATTATGTTATTTAGGCCTATCTCAATGTGTGGTGAATTGCACAACCATTGGAGCCAACTCATGAGCTCCAGGAAAAGAGAGATTCGATAATACCGAATTGAAATTATTCATAATCCAATTAGCTAATTGGAATAGATATCAGTATCGCGGCACGGTATATGACGACCTTTTATCGACCATTTTTGTAGAGAGTAGATACTGTTCTTGATGAAAGTCGAATGTAACTCCGTTTTGTCGTTGTAAATTGCTTGCGAATCAAAGAAAATAAGGATAAAAATATGATATGGTTAGGGTTAAGGTCCGGAAACCTGTGCTGAAAACCTGAGTCAGGATTGGAAACTTCTTTAATAAAATACGGCGCTAGAATGGGGGAGGTATCAGGAACCGACAAAATCCCGAGAAATTTTGAGCAGAAATTTTCGACCAATCAGAACCCCGCATTCGCCTTACTGGCCAATCCGCAGCAGAGTAGCCGCTCACGCGAAATTTGTATTCTATAACTCTCTGAGACTTTTTGTCGATTTGTGACTCCAATGACTGTAAATTGCTGAGCCACTAAAAATTTAATGATCCTCTTTCAAACCCTGACTCAGGTTTTCCTCAAAATTTGAGGAGCTTAGGTTAGGGTTTGAAAAACCAAGAATCTCCAGGAAAACCCATTTTATAGCAAAAAAAAACTGATGCAAAAATATCCCGAAAATAAGCTCAGGAGTTAAAACGTGTTTGTATAGAAGTTCCAAAAGTTGCGAATCCCATTCCAGCGCGGCTTGATTGGTAAACAGCCTAAATTCAATTGTAAGCTCTTTTCCGCGCGTTATGAAATTTTCCATTAGAAGCGCTCGCATAGTTCAATTGATTCAAAAGATTATCCGGAAAGCGATTTCGCTTGATATTTGTTTCGCATCCCTCGCAAACCAGAATCAAAAGTTGAGCTCAAAGGTTGCCCCACAACAGCCAGTAGTCACAAGATTGTAATTCAATTTTTTCCGTCGAGAAAGAGGGAGAAATGAACTCATTCAATTTTGGTTTTTAGAAATTCCAGTCGTAGTGAGGGTTCATCATTCGAGCCTATGATTCGAGCTGTCAAATATCTCTAGAATCTAGGCAAGTGGTTAATGTAAGTGACTGGGAAGCCCCCTTGATTAGGGTTAGGGCAGCTCGAATTTTACTACCATGCCAGTTCATTTGCTCAAATTGGGAAAAACCGTCAAGGAGCGACAAAAAAAGGGCGACAAATTTTGAAGTCGTCGCTCGAAAAAATTTCGACAGAAAAGTCGATTTTTTGCGACAACTTATATGAAAACAAGTTTGTCCAAGATTTCACCAAAGTTTTGGTCAAAATCGTCGCGATTTTCTGTCCATTCAAGCCTTCTCCCTTCAGCTGCTGATTTGCCAAAATGAGTTTGTCGCGAAACTTTGTCGCAGTTTTTGTCGTTTCCCTTAACCCTAACCCTAACCTCTTACCAAGAAAAATAAGAGATGTCAGAAACCGACAAAAAAAAATTCGACAAATTTTGGGAGGAAATTTTCAACCAATCAGAAGCCAAGATTCGGCAAATCTGCCAATCAGCAGATGAGTAGTAGCCCACGCAAAATATGTCGAAATTTTTTTGTCGGTTCCTTTCACCCTAACCCTAACTTTCTACCCCGAAAAAGCTCGTTGATTTGAATCACACCCCCTTAAAATAGCAGAAACGGAACTCGCTGGTCTTGATTTTACGCACGGTAGTTCTTAAAAGAAGACCAAACCCTCTCAGAAAAGCAATTCACCACGTTATTCGCCCTCGCCAATAAAACAGTGATTCAAAACAGTCCCTTCCAAAAGAAAATTAAAAAATCTCCAGCCGCGCTGATTATAGCCAAAGAACCAAGTGCTTCAATCGAGCACAGTTCTAATTTAATTGAAAAAAGTGAACATGTCCAAAATTTTTAATCGGGCGGCGAAACAAGTGCACAGGGCTGCTACTAAAACTAATTCTAAAGCAATTTTTTTTTCAGACGTTATTGGATTGCGACAGTCACTCGGGATAAAGTGCCGCGACCAGGTGGGCTTGAGTACCGTAACTAAAATCAAGAAAGAAGGAAGAAGATTGATTTGGATTGAGTTCTTCTGATTCTTGAGCTCGGCAACCTGTGTTGAAAGCCTGAGTCAGGATCTTAAGAGCTTAACTGTTAAGCCGCATTGCGGCTTTTTGAAAAACGAAGCCGCGGAGCGGCTTTTCAAGTTGTTTGAAATAGATGCTAAAAGTGATTTCGAAGCCGCGTTGCGGCTTTTATTATTTAAGAAAGCACGTTGCTTTGCGGCTTCGTTTTTAAAAAAGCCGCGTTGCTGCTTTTTATTAAAGGTTTTCAGAACCCAGATTTTTTCTCCATCTAATGAAACTGTTTTTATTTACTCTTAAGAGAATATTTTATGATATTCAAATTGAGCTTCTTGAAAATAATCAATTGACAATTGACCTTGATTTTTTTTTTTCTTTTGATTGAGTATTTTCTTTAAATACGCAAAGCATCCGTGATTTATTTTCAGTCCAACAATCAATTCTGACAATTACCAAAAGAGTACCCAAAACAACTTTCTTTTGAAGAAGAGGCACTGCCTTCTCGGAATCTGAGCTCATCCAGTTCGCGTTGGATCTAATTTCAAATTTAATCGCCCGTAAAAATGATAATCACAACTCACCTTCCCAATTTCATCATCAAGTGTGATATTCCGCTTTTCGTTTAATTTCGAACGCGGAAAAATGAAAACGGCAGTATCATAAGTAATTATCATTATCATTATTGTCTGTCTGTTTGAATTCTAGGATTTTTGAAATAGATTCCCGGAAAAAAGAAGGCAACGCTCGTGTCTGTTCCGAATCCACCTTTCTGCGAAAAAAATTGATCCAAACATAAATTAAAACTACAATAATCAAACCATAATTATGGTTGATCGTGTAAAGGCCCCTTCATCACTGAGCTGAATTTAATTCTAAAGCCTGCTACTATTAAGCTACTCTGTTCATGTTTTGAACAGATTTTTCGTCTGCCAACATGCCTTTTTCCACCGAACCCAAAATTTTTATAACGTGACTAACAAGCTGGTCTCGGCAATCTGAAAATAAACCCTAAATTTTGTCCTGAAAAAGCATTAATGAAAATCCGCGAAAATTAATATCTTCTTAGAAATCCTGGCGAAGCTGCGTTGCGGCTTCGTTTTCGGAAAAGCCGCAGCGCGGCTATTTATAAAGCCTCCCCAGAACCATGATTCAGGTTTCAACACAGGTTTACGATCCCTGCTTCCGATAAAATAGGTTTATGTCAATTTAAAACTTCAAAAACAATACCTCTTGATGACGTAGAAAAAAACGCTTAGCAGAAGTAATTATATGTTATTTCCGGCTTCGTCTGTTCGAGCTTATAGCAAAGCTGTTTATTTTGTGATTTTGTAAAGAAAAAGAACAAGATTTTTTAAGGGATGAGAAGAAAGGTTGAAAAACGAAACAAAGCTTTATTATTCATTCTCGTTATTTTATTTTCGTTCGTTTAACTTGCATCATTAAGCCAGAAGCGGCCACTTAGAAACGTTGGTTGCTTCGAATTGTGTTGTTGATGCTCCAATTAGTGTTTGGAAACGCTTGTAAGAGGCAGATCTCACTTTGTTCTTTGGCTTTCTCTGACAACACTCTTCGCGCCGTGTTGAATTCAAATTACACAAACACTTTTTTTCGAAACTGAGAAATTTGTAGCGAGCGAATTTTCGCTGAAGACAACGTGAAAACGTTTCTTTCCAAGAAAAAAAAATATTTTTTTGGAATTAAAAAAATTACAAATCCAAAATTTATTTCTTTTTAGAGCTTTCCTCTCTCAAATAAAATTGGGGGTCCTTACTTAAGGGTGTCAACAACAATGTGTCAAAAATTGGCTGGAAATCGTTGTTGACACCCTTAAGGACCCCCCGTCAGCTTTTTTCGAAAAATCAAATTTCGGAATTTTAAAATTTTGACCCCGGAAATGGATTCTACGGGTCAAAAAACGATTTTGAGGCTTCATTTTTTGGGGGTCTATCTCGACTCCTTCACCCCCAAAATCGCATTTGAAAATTGCACTTTTCGCCGAAAATTGCCGAATTTGCCCTAATTTTGGCAAAAATATTGAATTTTCTTGTTCAAATATTCCCCTTATCAAGTTTTCAAAGCAAGTTTAACCCGAAGACGCATCAAGAACCAAAAATATGGTGTTTTCCAAAATTTCTATTTTTTGAAGAAAAAAGCTGACGGGGGGTCCTTAAGTCGCCATATAAACGGATTTCAAGCTCTTTACTTCTGAATAAAAACTGAAACACACTTTTTTCTCCCATAGATCCAAGCTAAGTTACGGGAGATGATGTTCCACTTGGTAAAATTCAGCATTCGGGATCGAACAAATTGCTATTTGATCATTACAGAATCGGGATACAGAATCTTCAAAATCGGTTCCAATCTGATTTTTTTTTCAAAATTGCAAAACCGCGGAAAAGGGAATGACACGCAACAGGAAAGTGTTTTTGCGGCTGGAGGTATTACAGAAATACTGACCTACTTGTCAAATGAGCAGATGAAGCTTCCGTGGGATCGAGTCTGAGAAACTTAGGGCTGTTTAATTTTGGTGCCTAAATTCTTGAAGCGCGTAATTGAAGGCGAATTGAAGGGATTCTAAACTGCACCTTAGTTCTTACGCTTTTGAAGGAATTGACTCAAAAAGATGAACTTTCTCCTTCTTTTTCGTCGAAAAAAGATTCTAGTGTTGATGGAACACGTGAAATTTTCACATTGCAATTTCGACGTTGACGGGGGCTCCTCGTCGCCTGACAAGTGCGAGTCAACCCGGGCGAGATTTTGCTCGCATTTTGACATCTCTTTAGGACGGTAGGGGCCTCCCCTGCTGCCCTTGTCAGCATTGGTTCAAATTTGCGAGTCGCTGTTTTCGCACGGCCAAAAAGAAAGCTGAGTCTCATTTGACATGTCGGTACTTGAGCGAGAAAGATTCTCATCTGCTCAATCAGCTCAAGCTCGCCAAAGACCATTTCAACCCCTTTTCGCCAAATTTTCGAATCAGTTACTTGCAATATCCTTTTTCTGGCTAAAAGAATCTTTCCCTTTGATTGCAATTTTACCAATAATTTCGCGAAATATAGCAAAATCGATCGCATCTCTAAACTTTCTCATAAAAACATGATTTCGAAAAAGTCATACGTAAGAAAATTCCACCCTTATTTATTATTTGAAAAAGATTCTCTTCCAAAAACTATGGTCTCGTGAGAAGTCGAAGCCCAAAACTTGGGTTCGGAAACCTGTGTAGAAAACCTGAGTCAGGGTCTGAAAGAACTAAAACGAAAAGCCGCGCAGCGGCTTTTTAAAAACTGAATCCGCAACGCGGCTTTGCCAGAATTTTTGATAGATTGTAACAGTAATATAAGCGAAGCCGCCTCGCAGCTTCGTTTAAAAAAAAAAGCCGCTGCGCTCTTCATTTTCTCCTTTCTGTCAGAATCTGACTCAGGTTTTCTACACAGGTTGCCGAGCAGAGCCAAAAACACACTCGGTAAAATTTTATTTCTTAAAAAAATGTTAAAAAAAAGAAGGACCAAATTTCGTTCCATCAGGACGCTCAAATCTGCGGTTGAATATTTCATCGCTGGTTTCATCGGAGCATGCCAAAAGCGTATTTTTCCACGAAGCGGATTTTTTTCTAGTTTTATGTTTTCACCTTCATTTCCCTTGACGATGATTGACTTGCAATCTATCTTCTGGTTTTTGACAAAAAGCGACTTAAAAATCATGATGGAAGATCTCCCTGTTTTCTTATAATTATAATATGTGAGATTGATGGAAATTAATTAGAAATTTACAGTTTCTTTTAATGTCGATTTTTTTCTCGAAAAAAATTTTTCTATCAAGGAGCTTACAAAATAGTGATTTCACGTGTCGACTTTAGTAGACTTTCTGAGTCAGCCAGAGCCGCATTCTATCGATGTAAGGTGAACATTCCAAACCGGACACCGGCCGGACAAGGCAACAAACAAAATCTACATCAGCTCCGCAATAAACGGAAGGGCAAATGGTTTTCTTTTAAACGCTCCAGAGGGGAAGAAGAGTCGTGGATTTCTTCCGCTCTAATTATCAAAAAAGAACACTGCGCTCTTATTGAGAGCTGTGCTCGGCAACCTGTGTAAAACTCAGGAAACCTGAGTCAGGTTCTGAAAAGCTAAAATGAAAAGCCGCCCAGCGGCTTTTTATAATAACCAAAGCCGCGAAGCGGCTTCGCAAATCTTTAAAAATAACTATGATTTTTCGGGAAGCCGCTTTGCGGCTTCGTTTATTAGAAAAGCCGCTACGGGGCTTTTCATATAAGGTTTTCAGAACCTGACTCAGGTTTCCTACGCAGGTTGCCGAGGCCACATTTAGAGTCGACCTTGTATTTCTTGATTACGATTCATCCTTGAATCGAAGCGGATAAAAGGATGATTTCTGGGCGAGAATATTCAGAAGGCGTTTTTAAGCATTCACAAAATCCTTTTTAATTATGAGAGCTTGATCGTTGGTGGGAGCCACGTTAGCTCAATAACTGGGCACCCCTTTCGGTGTTTGATTATCCGGCTCAATGCGGAGGAGCTGTTTTAGTTGAGAAAAAGCGACAACACATCGTGTTTTGGAACACACTCGAGCTCAGACAGATCAGCCCCGAAAATCGCCTGATAAATATGTCAGAACAAGTTCTACAAATCATTGAATAAAAATAACAAAAACAACAAAGACACGAAGCTCGTTCTATGACGGATTTACGGTTTTATCGCCGTTTCTTTAGTGTACCATTAAATCGAGATCCATCCTAAAAATCTGACAAGAGTAAAAGAAAAAGGAAAGAGAATAATCACGTGCTTTTGAAGAGGTACTAAAATTAACGAACACTAAGTCAAATAGTCTGTGGATAACGATTTTCCCTCTGACACGATAATGGAAAGTTTTATTTGCTTATTCTCATGTGATCATTGATATTTTTTTGTTGACATTCGGCGACCGCATCTGCTCTCGTGGAAAATTACGAGACCTCATTGAGTTTTGGAGTGTTGAATCACGCTTGTTCATCAAACATAGGCATCGTTACGAAGGGAAAACGAGGGCATAAAAGATGGCTCTTAGTTTCGAGTCAGCCATATCGATAACGAACTTCTAACACGAAAGGTGTTCTTTTTAATTTTTTGTCAGATTAAGGTGCAGATCTGATATCTTTGAAGATTCCTCGTTATGGGCCAGTGCATTGGAACCGAAACTTTAGACCTCCATGAAAGTCCCGATGACCAAGTTACTGGAGTTAGCAGAGAACTGACTCCAGTACTCGATCTTTCTCAACAAACTCGAGTCACAGCCGACGGTAATTTGTCAGTTAATAATGCTCGATATTCAACTTTTATAGAAATCGCCCAAGCTCTGCGAGATCTTAAACCGCCAGACGAGATCCTCTCTTCAGTGTTTCCAGAGGCACTGGCGAGCCGAAACGAAAATCAACTTGCTGGCTGGCTGTTTCTCAATCACCCTCGGCTGACAGTCTTACGACTTGGAGGACCATATCTTTCCATCTTCGCTGGATCCGCCATCGTTGGTGTTTTCATCGGATTAACCGTTGTCGTCCAGCGTGGCTCAACAATCATCTGGGTTTTCCACGACAAGGAGGACGATTTGACACCTATTCGGTGAGTAAAATAACAATGCAAACAAAGACGGCTATTTCCTGGAAGGATAAAGTCACCGAACAAAGCGATTGTTTAAAATTATGACTTTTTTATTTACTAAACGAGTCATTTTAGAGAGCGACTTGTGAAAGAAGGAGAAGGAAAGCATTCTCTTGAGGAGTACACAGTGGATGTTCCGGAAGAGTTTCTCATTCGTCCTCACCCAGTTTCTGAAAATATTAAAACGACTTCGCCCAAAGAACCATCGACAGCTCCGATTTCCGTACCAAAGCCGCCCAGAACTCCGATGACTCCATCGAAAAGCAGACATAACTCAACTTCTCGGTCATTTTCTCGAAGATCCTGTGGCCGTTCCTCCATCGGGTAAAAACTTGATAAAAATTAGTAATTCGCTTGAGCCTGTGTAAATATTTGACAGCTTTACGACTTATCCCTTCTATAGATTCTTCTTACCGTTAAAAAAATTAGTCAAATATTTTATTTTAGCACACTTTCCACCATTTCTGGTAATCTCGTTTCTCCTGTTTGAACGGTTCCGAATGCAACAAGAAATCCAAGACGATGAAAAAAATTCCATTTCTTCTGTTTTTAATGCAACAAATCTTCTTTTCTGTGCTCGAAAACCTGTGTCGAACCCTGAGTTAGTGACTGAAAGATTTAAAATTAAAAGCCGCGGAGCGGCTTTAAAAAACCGAAGCCGCGTGGCGGCTTCGCCAAAATTACCATCAAACTTTTATATTTTAATTATTTTCAACCTGACTCAGGTTTCTACACAGGTTTCCGGCTCAAGGCAATAATTGTACAAAAAGGAAAAATTCTAATAAAAGTGAATGAAAAACGTATTTCCGTGGATAATTCAAATAATTTTAATTCAAATGATTTAGATCGCTTGCTTTGAACATGAAATTAACTTCCCCTACAAGTTTCGTTCTCTATGCTGCTATTTTGCTAGAAGACAAGAATAATTTGAATACAAGAAAAAACAACAAGAAGTGAAATTAAAACACAATTTTGGTAAAGAGAGAGAAAGCAGGTTTTTTTCGAGGTTTCAGGTGATAAAGAAAACATTTTAAACAATAAAGCAATTATGTGGTGGCGGCGGTGGTGTTTGAGGAACCAGGAAGGGCTCTCTCCGCGGCGGGAAACGTGAGCTCGAGCTGAAAAGACGGAAATTTTCTTGTGATCGATTTTAGAGAGCGCTGCCACTTGAAATGCTGAAATTAAGCGCGCGACAATAAAATTCAACTGCTTTAACTTCGCGTTTTCAAATAACAAAAAAGCTTGGCAAACGGAAGTTCGAAAAAACTTATGTCAAGTGAACGTGGTTTGATTCTCGTGGCGGCTTTAATCTACCTTGATAGGGCGGAAAATAGCCTTCAAATAGGATAGAAGCAAGATAAACCCGACAGTTATCGGCGAGGTCTTTAAGTTATGATTCAATCAAATATAAACCGTATTGATCTTTTTTCCCTTTACTTCCAATTGTCACTAGAGAAGGATCGAGAAGCCGCTTGCGGCTTTGAGTATAAAAAAAAACATCGAAAAGCCGCACTTCGAATTTTGTTTTACTTGAAGCCGCAAGCGGCCTCTCGATCCTACTCTAGTGACAATTGGAAGTTAAAATTAGTCGCTCAGAAATGAGAATATTAACGGCTTAAACATTCTTGGCTGATAAATGTATAGATCGGGATTCTCATTTCTCAGTGGTTAATTTTCCCTTGACTCCAATTTTCACTAGAGTAGAATCGAGAAGCCGCTTGCGGCTTCGAGTAAAAAAACATTGAAAAGCCACGCTTCGAGCGGCTTAAATTTCGTTTCACTCGAAGCCGCAAGCGGCTTCTCGATCCAACTCTAGTGAAAAATGGAGTCAAGGGAAAAATATGCCAAAAATGCGTCAGAAACGAGAATTTAAACGGTCTGATTTTACTTCGTGTGCGGGAACATTCCCCCACGATTTGTACCGGATTCTGCGCCGGATAAACTGCGAAATTTGGGGCTTCCGACGGGCTTTCCTTGCTGTCAAAGTGCTTAGCTCTAAAAGTGATTTATGGAACACGCTCGTTTCTATATTGTAATTAAGGGTGGCGAGCCATAAATATTTACTCAAATCTAGCCCGCTGAGTTGTTCAGGGGAGCCTTAAGTACTCGCTTAGGTTGCTACAGATGATTCTCTTCATAAGCTTTTCAGAAAACCATTTTTCTTAGTGGCTTTTTCCGCAAAAAAAAACTTGACCGCTTTTTCTGCAGCTTGGTAAATAACGCGCTTACCCCATTCTTTGGACGATCGACTACAGCTTCCAGGCGTTTCGCATCATAACATCAGTAACTCGGGTTAGGCACACGTGTTGAAACAGATTTATTACGGATTTTAAAACTCTTAGTGGTCTAGCGCCCATTCCTCAGAAACAAGACTACATCGATTTTCATATTAAAAATTGGATACTATTACCTTAGCCATTAATTTTTCACCAATTCGAAGATAATTATCAGTTTATTGAAAAAAATAGATTTATCAGTTTGGGAAAAATTTAAGCAGATTTTTGGCAGGAGCGATTTTTAAAGTCTTGTTTGGAAAGAAACCGTCATTTTAATTTCTTCCGTCGTGGAACTTTGTCTGAAGAAGTAGTTGACTCGGTCGGCGATGATCATATCTTTTTCGATGTTTTTGCAAAAGTTCATTTTTTAGTTTAGTTCTTTTTTGAGTTCTTGTTTTTCGTTTTTTGATGGACTGAGGGGATCTGAGAGCGGTTATATACGCTCGCGGCAGGATTTCCATCGAAAAAAACGAATGGAAATGCGGTGCAAATGATCTTTGGAAAGACATAAAGCGCTAGATACGTAACGACGTCTCTATAGTTACGTCTGACGATCTACAGTAACGCAGCTTTCACGTTTTCCCATGTAGTTAGCGACCATTTCCGTTTGAACATGGAATCGCTGTTGGAAATCCCGCTGGAAGTGAATATAATCGACCGCAGCTTCCCACTTTCCAACCACAAAAAAGACAAAAACTCAAAGTCAAAAACAAAAAAGAAAAAAATGAACTTTTCCTCCACCATCCAACAAGACATCATCGCAGCTGACAAAGTCAACTACTTCTTCAGACAATGCTCTCGAAGCGAAGAAATCAAAATGCTCGTTTCTTATCAAACAAGACTCTAAAAAACTCAAAAAATGACAACACTGATAAATCGACTGTATGAACTGATAAACCAATTTCTGACGAAATAAAACTGATAATCTCTTTCAAAAATGTCTTTAAGGTTACTTCCTTCGATTTCCCGAAAGTTCGAAATTTAGCTCATTTTTGTTGAGTACCCTAAAAACGGCTCTGACAGAATCGAGATCTATGATAGATCTACTTATAGACCCCTTGTCTCAAGCTCAAGCATTTGCAGGTTCAGAGTTATTCAATGCTAAAGTTGGGGAAATCGAAGGTAGTACCCTAAATTGTGCCTAACCCTTCCCGAAATAAGCATCAGTATCAATGCTCGCAGAAACTCCGGAGTAATAATTGAGAAATTCGTCGTGCGTCACCTTAAAATTAATAAAAATAAAGGAAAAACCACTTATCGCCGGACAGGGGCTCGCAGCTCGATAAGGGTAGCAACGTGCAGTTTCTAACAAATATCTTTTTTATATCTCATTTTCTAATTTGCTGCGTTAGTATAAAGAAACAGAGCCGTTATCGATTATTCTGGGGCAGCGCAACGGCCAGCTGGGCGACGCTACGTGTTAGATAAAGCTCTAGCCCTGTCGTCGAAGAAAAATATCATCATTTATGACATTTATCGCTAAAACGGCCTGTTGCTTCCCAATCAGCTGGACACGCGTCACAGAGCAAAATCAGAGCACGTGCAGAACGCTCCTGCTTCTCGAGTTAGACTCTCGCTGTCTGCAAAACGTGATGGCATCTAACTCGATAATGGACAAGTCTCTGGCAGAGCTTGATAATCAACGATAATCGGCTCGCGCTCACCTGCCCATCTGGATCGTTTGGAGAGTCGAATGATTTCAAAAACTCCAAGAAAACGTCGTCCTCGGTGTATTCCCCGTTGATGTATTTTTGTGAAACTGAATCTTTTTAGAAACAACAGCAAAGGTAAAAATTGATACCTTAGGGTTGTAGACGCCCCGAAGATCATCAACAGTGACGACACCATCGCCACTCTTGTCGAGCTTCCTGAACTGGGCTCGACAATCTGTTTGGAAAACCTGAGTCAGGTTTTGAAGAGCCGAAGTGGTTTCGCAAGTGTTTGAAAATAGATAAGAGTGATTCAATTGCAAAGCCGCTACTCGGCTTTTCATTTTAGCTCTTTAGAACCTAACTCAGGTTTTTCACACAGGTTGCCGAGCCCAGTTCCTGAATGCCTGCGCAATTAGGCTTTTTCGATTCTTGCTCATTGGCGGCCTTTGGTTGGTTCTAGAGCTGTTTTGCAAGGTACCATGAAGGGTTATCAGAAATGAGAGGTCGATTGAACCATTTCCTAAGAGCAATTAAAAACTCATCAAAGTCCAGTGATCCACTCCCATCGCGATCCATTCTCGAGTACATCTCCGTGATTTCATCCGGCTACCGTGGAAATTCCTTTTTGTCAATCAAAAATGCAAGTGAAAAAGGTGTCCTCGACCAAGTGGCGGATAAATGAGTCTGGCGGGGGTCCACCTTGTCCCGCCACCGCCAAGTCACCACCCGTCTTTGTCCCAGATTTCAAATTTCATCACTCACGGTTTCTCTAAAACCAGCCAATTTGAATGTTAGCATACGCCCGGGTCTTATTTTGCGAATTTCTCTGAGATTGGAGTTGATTATTCCCCGCACGAAAAGATCATGGGCGCCGTACTTTCGAAGGTACATAACTGCATCCGTCGTCTTGTTACGATTTTTTGTTTTCAAAAAAGAAGAGATTTAAAAAGCAATTTCCTCCAGATCGACACCGTAATCGCGCAGGCCACGTTTGAATTCCTGACGCGGGTTTCACTTTGTGGCCACAGAACCTTTTGCAGGAAAATTAAGTCAACTAAAAGAACTAAGAACTTTACTTCTTATCCCCTTACACTTTCTTCTCTTGTCCCGAAATCACGACACTTTGAAGTCGACCCTCTTATCTAACTTTGTTTCTAAATGACTTTCTCATTTAAAAATTTTTCGAGTTTTTGAATGAAATTATCAAGCAAATTTTCCTAAGAAAAAAGACGACTGAAAACCCTAACCCTAACCCAAAAATAGGGTGTCGTCATGAACCGACAAAGAAATTTCGAAAAATTTTGCGTGGGTGGCTACTCGGCTACTGATTGGCCGGTTAGCCGAATGCGAGCTTCTTATTGGTTGAAAATTTCCACGCAAAATTTGTCGAAATTTTTATTGGTTCCTGACACCTTCCCCCAAAACCCAGCTAATAACCCTAACCCTAGGCCATTTTTCAACACAGGGGTGAATTTTAAAATGAAGCGGATGAGGTCCTTAATTTTCATCTCTTGATAAACTTCTCGCAAATTAGAGCTGTGGCGGAAACCGTCCTGAAAATCAATCTTCTTATTCCCGTCATCGTCCATTATTCGGAAAGTACGGCCGAGTCCCTGAAACATACGAGTCCGGAAATGTGATTAATTCCATGACGAAAGAGAGTCTTTCCAATTTGTTCAACCCTCTTTCGACTTTTGAGGGCCGCGATAAAGAGCCGTGCTTTTTCCGCTAATGCGTGTGTACTGCTCGGACAGCAGACTATCGAAAAAGCCAAGCTGCTGTGTTTTTAAAACGCCTTTGTTAAACATTCCCTTTCTAAACACATCTTGAAAGGGATGAATTTCAACCAGGCGACTCTTACGTGGCCACCGTCGCTATCGCTATTTCCTGATGTCAATTTTCCGGGCTCCGACTTTCCGGAAATTGTTCATTTCTGGCCGTCGATATTTACGAATTATTTGACCCCCAACTAAGTAATTTCAATTTTTGAGCATCAAAACTTATCGCGGCTTTTACGGAGCTACTAAATGTGCAAATTAAGGGAACCCTTAGTATAAATCAAAGTAGCGGTGAATTTAAAAATCACGTTCGACAAGAAAAGAAGTAAGTCTGTGTTCAAGGGTGCTCACTCAAGAAGACGTTAGAACATATCTCGAAGTCGGATAATCCACCCGTTATCTGATCGACTACAGAACAGCTTGCCCTTTGAAGAACTGAGATATTGCACTTTTCATAAACACACGTTCTATTCTGCGTTCAAGAAGAAGGATACTCTTTTCTCGGCATACTGTGCAGAAACCTGACTCAGGATCCAGAAAAAGCACATCTTCTTGAGTAGCCACAAAACTCAGTTTTTTTATTAATGCCTTTTCAGGGCCCTGACTCAGGTTTTCACACAGTTAATCCACCTCAAAGATAGGCTGGCGGGCTAATTTCTACGTACCTTGATTCCTGATGATCCACGAGAAAGGCATTGAAGACGCAGTTTTTCGAGAGGATCCTTTTGATTGAGATTTAAAGTGAACTTCAGAGCTTCCTTGGGAAGCTTTTTTCGTCACCTTTTCTCCCCAAAAAAATGAATAAAACCTCATTCCTTTGTTTCTCGCAGTTTGGATTTCGCGGCTTGCTGCATATGAAAATCCCCACGAGCGGTTCCCATTTCTCTATCTACTTTTTATATCTCTACCGATCAAAATTCGAAGAAGAATTAAATTAGAATTACTAATTCAAAGTTAAAATAAAGTTTGATTTTTGGAAAAGGGCCGTTGCTAAGGTGCACAAAAGCGGAGTAAAAAAAATAAGAGAGGGGCTTTGTTCAAAGTGCTATAAAAGTGAAGACATAGAGGAGTACCAACATTTTCTGAGGAAAAAAATTTTGAAAGAGGTTTTTCAAGAGCGATTTTTTACGTTTTGATAGAGCTAGAAATTTTTTATTGTCTATTTTCGAGAGGAAAAAATTAGGTTTTCGAGTACTAGAACCGTTCCCTTTGAGTTTGGACTTCTTTCTCCATTTTTTTCAATTAAATTCTCTTTTCCTTCGTGAATTTAAGTTTTTCCTTTGAAAGCGAATTTTCAGGACCAAACTGCGAACTGAAAATATGCCGGAAAAAGAATGAGTTGCCTTTGTTTCCGGACAATGGGAATTATCTTCAAAGAAATGGAGTTCCATTTGATCGTTCATTTTTATTCATCACGTTTTTCGCGAATTGATCCAGAACAGTTCCACTGACTTCGATTTTTCTCAAAAATGGAAAAGTAATTGACGATTATGACTTGGAGCGAACTTCGACGGGTGCGAATTAAAATAATAAGTTGAACCTTGCTTTCGTTTGCTCATAATGACACTTCTAAAAGGGCTGTTTTACAAATTGCTAAAGAGCAAGTGCTTCATATCGGGTGGTAAAAATAATTGAGAGCGCAAAACAATTCCATTCAAATTCGAATATTTGAAATGATAAAATGAACAATTTTGAGATTGCACTCTTCATTTTAAAAGATATGGGCTGAACTGAATGGCTGTTTTCGTTCTTCAACTTATCACAGAAATTTCAAACCGTAATTTTTTCTTGTAAGGAGAAATTTATTTCAGCAAATTTTCTATGCAAAAATCAGAAGGATTTGTGTTGTTTACTTTACTTCCATTGTTGAGAAGCTAGATCAAGCCGTGTTCCTTCTGAAGAATGCTTTTTAATTCTGCTTCCAGTCTAAATGAACAAACCGCGAGCTGCTGGGATCCTCGGGCATCTTCAACAGGATCGTGCTTGTTGGAAGAGTGGAAGATGGAGCCGAGGTTCTGCGTGTCGATGGTCCCTTTGTAGGCAATGTTGTGCGTCAATCTTTTACGAAATAAGCTTTGAGATGAAATTATCGCTTTTTACAAGGCAATAAATAGAAGGTATTATCCGCTCCTGCTCAAGTCGCACTGAACATTGTGCCCTCCAATGACTTTGTCGGACGTCTTCGTTTCCAAGATCTCCGTCATTTGCTCAGGGCACGCAGCTATAACAACAACAAGCTCTTATCAAACTCGACTACCGTACTTCCTTTGAAGATTTTCTGTCCAGTTTGAGAAACCACCGCCGCGGACAACATTCCGTGCTTGTTAGGCCCGTCAACATCAATGAAGACAACCTTGGACTTTTTGTTCTTTCGTCCCATCCCCTCTGTTTCTTGTCATGCGCTCTTTTGATACTGATGAGAAGAATTTTCGAACTCTCGTTTATAAATCCGAGAAAAGGGAAAACCGAATGAGAAAACAAAAAATGATAAACTATCAATGATAGTGTAACCTCAAAGCCAAAAGAGCCTCGAATGATTTTAGGGCCCATTATTCTAATATTCTTAGGCTGACAATCACAGTGGAGATGAGAATTCCTCGACAGTGCTGAAAATATCACGAATGACACAAGTGTCACGAAAACATGTTTATTTTTCGTATCATTTTCAGTAAAATTCTAGCACCTAGCCCGAGCCTACTAAGGCGAAGTACCACCAGTGCTATTCAAGTACCTATAAAAGGTTTTATAATAACAAACAAATAATCCTCCTCCAAGCAACGTTGGTTCAGTGGTAGAATTCTCGCCTGCCACGCGGGAGGCCCGGGTTCGATTCCCGGACGTTGCAAGCTTTTGGAAATCTTATCAATTTTGACTGACATCAAGGAAGACTACAGCGGGCTTCGGAAAAAACTCATGCCAGGAATGAAAAACGATTCTTTTCAGTTTTTAGCGTTTATTAAAAATATTATCTATAGTCCTTTTTTGGCACGTTTTTTATGGATCTTTCCGAAGAGAGCGTTAAGGTTATCGTTATTGGGTGCTTCTGAATCGCTGTTTTCTCGAGGTGGAAGAATTGGTGCAGAATTGATTGATAGTCGACTTGTTCTTCTGCCTGTATCTCTTTGTTGTCTGAAATAAGAAATAAGGGTCTGAACGCGTTGTAAAGCTTACAGCATGTTTTCGATGTTCGCGCCAAGTTGACTTTCTCGCCTCGCAACGATAGAAGTTCTGCTCTGTCTTTTTTCTGCCATTTGACTGAGGCGTCGTTTTGTTTTGGCGATTTCCTTCTCGCTCATATTTTTTTCGTCCACTTCTTCATCGAGCATATCGCACAGTTCTTCGAAAGTACTTTCCTTTACTGTAAATCGGAATCAACAATGATAAATCAGTTCTCAGGAAAATGAAGTTAGATCCGGGCCTGTTTGCTTTTCGAGGTTTCCACACATGACGACGGGTTTATTCAATTTTTTCTCCCTCTTCGGCATCGCCTTTTTCCTACCAAAGCATTATTTTTCCCCGAATTTATTAAAATTTTCTTACGGGATCAACGGCTTCTTCGTGGACTTTCTCGTTTTCCTGTTTGATGCAGGTTCTGAGCAGCAGGAAAGTGCGCCGCCCATTTTTTACGCACTTTCCGTACTCGTTACTTTTGAAACTGAAAATAAATAATACCAGCAAATGATGCTTGTTCTGCGATCTAGAATCGAGTTCATGGATCCTCGAGTTGATGATATTCCGTTGTTCAAACTGTTCATCGCTCAACTTGATTGATACCAATCAATGCTTTTCAACAACAATAGAAGGGTGCTTTCTTCAACTACAAGAGATCATTACTTTTATGATACGCTGTGCTCGGCAATCTGTGTAGAAAACCTGTGTCAGGGTTATAAGTTATAACTTATAAGAGAGTCTTGTTAGAAGCCGCGCAGCGGCTTTTTTTTTAACAAAGCCGCTTCGCGGCTTTGATTTTCCAAAAGCCGCTGCGGGGCTTCTTGTCAAAGCTGTTTTAGAACCTGACTCAGGTTTTCTACAAAGATAGGGAAGACTAGAGAATAGCATTTTTTATCAATTTTGTTATTTTGTCGGCGGATTCAATCATTCAAATAGGAGTAATTGAATTTGATATTCACGGTAACAAGAGCCCATTGTGACGATTTGCCTTGAACCAGGTCAAACCATCTCAAATATGATTAACAAAAACTCTGACTCGGAAAAGAAAAGCTTGAGAGTATTTTTGTAATAATTAGTGCTTTTAAAACCACGTGCAAAAATCTGCTTATCGCCAAACAGAAAAAGAAGGTCCAAAAGAAGAGACATTCGCAAGACCATTATTTCGATTCATCGTAAATTTCTTCATTTTCGTAAGTTGATTTATTTGATGAGAGAGAGACAGAGGCAACTTGGGTTCAGATTAATTTGCTATTGTAGGAGCCACAAAATTTAATTAGCTTTGAATTGAATGTTAATAGTTTCTTTTACTTTTATTTGCGTCCCGGTTTGATGGGAAATAAACTAAAGAGACACATAGATGAAGACAAATTATGAAATTATTTCTTTCTTATCTCGTAAGCTGTCAAATTAATTATAAGATCAAACCATACAAAGATAAGGATATTATCAAAAATAGAAGGTTCTCATTTCAACGCGCAAATACCTCTTGGAAATCGCCATTTTTTCGAATTTCGTATTCGTCAAAAGGGTCCCTTTTTAACGGATTTTCTAGCCTCAGACTTGTTTCGTGTTAACAAGGGAGAAAATCCGTTAAAACGCGGACCTTTTTGACGATTATTTTATCCGTTAAAAAGGTAAGATACCGTACTTGCGCGTCAAAATGGGGGCCTTATTTTTCTTTTGAGACTTTTTTGGATTTGAAATTGACAAGAAGAATTGATGTCTTGTCTTTTCAATCATACTCAAGGAGCAAGTGCAAATACTTTGTCTCTTTCTTTTGAATATTTGATTAGCTGGCTCTTATTCCGACATACGTGCCGATATTCATGAATTCTAGTACTTATTTCACCTCGTTTCAGTGGCGCGAAGTGATGTGACGGGCCACTGAGAAAGTGTGAAAAGGTCTCTTCGCTCGCGCAGTCTGAGCTGAACTTGGGAACAAAGAGGAGAGACAAATATGATTAAAAAGGCAACTTGATTAAAAAACACTGGGCCAAATCAGAGAAAGAAACGAAGGAAAAGAAGCAGACACCTGCCAAGAGATGAAGAGGATTAGGAGAAGGCGCGGGCCCCCTCAAATATGCTGACTGTAATTTAATAGACGGATAAACTGGGGATAGAACTCCTGTAACTGTAAATAGGAGATAAGAGAGCCCGCGAAAGGCTTTCTGCCAGCTTTTCGCGAAGAAATTCGATGATTGCCATTTCCGAAAAATACGATGGAGAGGATTTGCAAGGTTAGTTACTGTAACTCTCGGGAACCTATGAACTCGGTTATGGACAATGCAATAATTCGCTAATGGAAAGTTTTCTGTTTCGATTATATTGAGAATATTTTGTAAAATTACTGAGTCAGAAATTTCGATCGTAAAATGGTCTTTTTGTCTGAGGGCGTAGAGAATGCTTAATCGTCGTTTGCTTTTTGTCCTTATTAATGAGGATTGACCTACTTTTTTGTACCGAGAATCAATTATTAATTTTACAATTTGCGAATTCCAATAGTACGTACAATATTGCAAACGGCTGATAAAAATAAAGAGAGAGAAAAGGAGGATGGGCTTTTTGAAGTTGAGTGTCATTCTAGGTACGTTTTATTTGTTTTAAAAAGAGGGGGTTAGGGTTAGGCTCAGGTTAAAGGTCAAGGTCAGGGTTAGGGTTAGGGTACCTTTCATAGATCGGCGATCTAAGATCGCCATTTTAACGGATTGAATACTCCTCAAGAGGGTCCTCATTTTAACGGATTCTCTGAAATATTGTTAGATAATAAATCTGGAGCTAGAAAATCCGATAATTTGAGTACCCGCCTGAGGAATATAACATCTGTTAAAATGGTGATCCCATTGAAAAAAGGAGTGATACATTTATTACTTTCCTCCTTGATTGCATTTCGCTGATAAAGTCGAAAGTGACAAAAGAATAATTCAGAAGATGACAGCGATGAAGATATTCCCAATCGAACTCATCCAGGAAAAGCATATGGAAATACGAAACAATTCAAATTATATCGGTAAAGCCAAAAAGGCATTTTGACTTTATCGTCTTATGTTTGATTTAACCCCCGACCCAAGCGGGGAATTATACGATTTGCGGGTCTAAATAATGAATGCAATGCACATTGAATATGCCTGTATCAGTTCAAATGCGGCAACGACCAGCGCGGCGGGCAGGAGATGCTGTAAGTAGCCTGAGCGGGATAATATACTGAATGAGTAGATAACTATATAACACCCTTTGAATAAAGTCGATGGAGTATCGACTCTCTCTTTACTAGTCTGCACATAGAAAAGTAGAAAGTAGAAAATCAAAATGGCACGGCGCGTTTTAATACAGAGAAAACGGGAGAGCGTTTTGAAGCAGCAAGAGCTGCTGATTGAAAACGAGATTGATGAAGAAATGCCTGATGGATTAGAAGCGCCGGTAATAATTATTTTATCCCCTAAGCGGTAATTTTACATCCCTAATATAGCCTTTCTACTAGGCCGTAACTTAGGGTACCTCAGGGTTAGGGTTAGGGTTAGGGTTAAGGTTTTTTGTAGCCTTTCTGCTGATATCTTGGATTTAATAGCATCCTGTGTAGAAACCTGAGTCAGGGTCCTCCAGAACATCATAGATAGATTAAGGTAAATCTCTTTGGTGATCCTGACTCAGGTTTCTACACAGGATGCTATTGAACCCACGATATCAGCAAAAAAGCTTCAAAAAGCCTTAACCCTAACCCTAACCTTAACCCTAAGGTACCTTAAGTTTCATTCATTTGTTTAATATGGAGTCGAAAAAAACAGTGCTCAATTATTCTGTTACGTAATCGCGGTGTGTACTAACAGGGGCGACATTGACTGCTGCTTCTGGGGGTTGTTTGAACTGTCCCGTTGGAACACGTTTTTGGTTTTGTGGCAATTAAGAGATCAGTTGGGCACTAGATGGCGTTAGTGAGGTGGCCATCTCGTCAAATATTAATCTTCTTCATGTCGTCTTCTGAGCATAAACGGCGCGTTAGTTGCCCGGCTGGACGAAGTAGCGCAGTTTTGCACCTGAGATTTACAGTGCATTACAAACAGTTTGAACTGTCGTTTCGTCCATTTCGTGCCATGCGCCGCTTCTCTTCTAGCCACTGCTGAAAGAAGCGCAGTAAAGATTCAAATCGATTGACAAAAAAACACAGAGAATTACTTCTCCACTTGGGAAACAAGCAAAACCAAATATTACAAATACTAAAAAGAGATAAAAAAAAAAGAGAGGAGGTCCAACGCGAAGACTTTGAATGGGAACATAGACGACGAAAAGAAATAAAGAAAAACGGAAACAAAAATGTTTAAGGAATCGTTGAAGTAGAGAAAACCAAGGGAATTAATGACAAAAAATAGGCTTGAATTTGATGATTTCTCACTCTTTTTTCCTAGGAATCGGGTCGATAGTTCATTTTTGAATTCTCCTTGAGAGGGAAGCTTAATTAAATATTAGTTTAATATCTTCAAATTTGCCGATTTCGTCACTTCTTTTTTTTTCAATAAAAACAAACAATTCTTCTTCAAAAATACTTATGTTACATCAGTCAATTCTAATTTCAATTGAAATTTCTTACAAAAAAAAGAAAATGAACTCAAGATTGATCCGCTTCGGAAGTGGTCTTTTACCAGCGGTCATAAGAATATAAGAGAGTCCGATAAATATAACCCAGAGTGCGATATTTCAATATTTAACTTCCTGAATCTGACCGCAAGATTCTGCTCAAAGGCCAAATTTCTTGCTCAGCATTTTTTCGGCGTACTCGAGGTGCTCAACCATCAAACGAGTTTACGTTATTTACGCGCAGCAGCGTAAAACCGCTTTTGATTTTGATCTCCATCTGCGTCAAAGCTTCTTTTGTGTGCCCAAACCCTCGTCATTTTTGAGCGGGCAATGAACTCGATAATGAGACGTAATAATGAGGCTTGTATTTCTCTGCCAAATGCGTTTCATTCGACATTTGCCACTTCCTCATCGCCAGATTTGAACGTAATTATGACAGCTTTAAAGCAAGTCAATTTGTCCTTGTCTCATGACTGTAGTTGATTGAGCCTGTGGGAATGCTCTGTCGCCTCAGGTGCGAGAAGGTACAAGCAAAACTTTCATCTCGATTAATGAATAAACGCCAAGGCTAATATTTATTTGTGGCGCCGTAAATCCGAAACTGCATTACGATTTACAGTTTCACGCTCTGACAGTTTACGTCTAAACATTATTCACCCGCAAACACGTTCTGCTTTAGTTTTCTTTTTCGCGTTTTATTAGCATGCGACTTTGAGCATCTCTTCTCAATCATGGTCACTACAAGAGACAAAATCTATCGAAGCAAGAGTATTTCCAATTCGCCGAATTCTTTCGCCAGAGCTGGATTTATTCCTCGGGGAGAGTTCAAAAATTATTTTCTGAAATAATCCATTTAATCAATTAATAAAATAGCTTCCACATATTAGCGGGCTAATAATCTGGGCTCGGCAACATGTGTAGAAAGCCTGAGTCAGGGTCTAAAAGAACTGAAATGAAAAGCCGCGCAGCGGCTTTTAAGAACGAAGCCGCGAAGCGGCTTCGCTAGAATTTTGATAGGTTGCAACGATAATATTAGCAAAGCCGCTTCGTAAACCTATCGTTGCAACCTATCAAAATTCTAGCGAAGCCGCTTCGCGGCTTCGTTCTTAAGCCGCTGCGCGGCTTTTCATTTCAGTTCTTTAAGACCCTGACTCAGGCTTTCTACTCAGGTTGCCGAGCCTAGCTAATAATTTCTTGAGGTCTATTTTGACGAATTCAATATTCCACTCAGAAATACCAGAAATATTTGTTAATTAAATTGGGGGCCCCTAATGTATTTGATAAAAAGCAATAATATCCTGATAGCGATCATAAAGCAGGCAATTACTTTCTCCTCAAGAGAAAGAGGAGTCTGAAAACTAATTAAAAAGGTTATCGTTATAACCGAGTTATCGCCTCATAGTTGAATTTTACATCTTCTGAGTGTGACAAAATTGAAGAAAATGAATTTATTAAACGCAAATAGTAGAACTCAATTTTTGTCATTCATTGCCCGAACTGAGTCCCCTTTAATCAACGATGATGAGTCTGGTCGCCGAGCGAGTCTGCCCAACAATGTTCTTCCAGAGAATTTTCTTTTGCGCCAGAAACCAATTCTTCCTCCAACAATCGAGGATGAAACTAGGAATCGTGTTTTCTCCTGTCTATTTTTTCCTTCGACAATCTTTGTCCAAAACCTGAGTCAGGATTTCAAAAACAGATTGAATTGGTAATTTTGGGGAAGCCGCTTTGCGGCTTCGTTTTAAAAAGCCGCGTAGCGGCTTTACATTAGAGCTCTTTCAAAATCTGACTCAGGTTTGCGACACAGGTTTTCGAGCTTACCTCACTACTGGGAGATACCAGTAGCTCAATGCTTGACAATCAGAAATTACTAAAAATCAAGCACCGAATCGTTCCCTTGTTCAATATCCACCTGCTATGTTCTTTTAACGAGATAGCTAGTGCAAGTATTTTAATATTCGAAAATGGTAGAGGGCTGCAAAAATTATGCGAGAATAGTGAGTAGTTACCAATCAGCAGAAGAAGCTCTTTATGAGCGACTTAAAAATTAGCCTGTCAATCCACCGATCGAAAATAAGTTATCGCCAATAATTCGACCAGTAGCTACAAACAAAAATAATAAATAAATATTCAAAAGTTTCCCTGGCAAATATTTGAATCTGAGAATTGATAATTTTTCGCGCGATAAGGCGCACTTGTCGTCTCCTGTCTGAATCCAGCTTTCCTTCATTTGTCAAATCGCGATTTCTTTCTCCCTAAAACCCGAGCGTTATGGCATTTACCAAAATTAGAAAAAGAACGGACGCTCCGAAATCGATCTCGAGGGCAACATTCGTATTGCTCCCCCAAATCGTGTTCGAAGAATTGAATTTAAGGATTAGTACATTTTCATGAAAACATTCAAAAGTAATATAATGGCGCAAAAGAGCCGTCTCCTGAGAGAACTCCTCCACAAACAAGTCGAGTATGGTTTTTTCTTGCGTTATCTACTCATTCAGTAAATAAAGAATCGAAAAAATAACGCAATTTTTTCAGCAAGAAATAAAGAAACGGCTGTCACTTCCGAACGGAATCCAACTTCCGAACGAGTTCCTGGCTCGCTTCTCAAATTTGGAGAATAATTTCGGCGGTCAGAATCTCACCCGCCAGCGAAGGAGAAGCTCTTTGGTAAAACATCTTTATATTGGCAATTTCTAGTCGAATTTCTAGTCTGAAATTGGCTTTGGCAAGCTCGAAAGCTACACAAAGCTCGACAAGCTTGGCGAGGGAACTTACGCTACTGTCTATCGAGGGAAATCAAAGTTGACGGATAAAATCGTGGCGCTGAAAGAAATCCGGCTTGAGTACGAAGAAGGTGCGCCCTGCACTGCCATTAGAGAAGGTAGGCCGAAAAGAAACGCCGGTTTCTGACCCTGTTCAGTTTCATTATTGCGAGATTTGAAACAAGCCAACATCGTCACACTCCACGACATCATCCACACGCCAAAATCACTCACGCTCGTCTTTGAATATTTAGAGCGAGACTTGAAAACGTACATGGACGATATGGGTAATTTCCATCCCTTCCATTCATCCAAAATCATCTTGGTCTTTAGTTGGTGTGAAACTGGCGATGAACAATGTTAGAATATTCCTATTTCAATTGCTTCGAGGGTTAACTTACTGTCACAGAAGAAGGATTCTTCATAGAGACTTGAAACCGCAAAATCTGCTTATAAACAATCAAGGTACTGTATTTGCTTACTCCATCCGAGACCGTGTTTGATCTCGCGTTCAAGGTGAACTGAAACTAGCAGATTTTGGCCTCGCCCGAGCAAAAAGTCTTCCAACAAAAACGTACTCCAACGAAGTTGTGACATTGTGGTACAGGCCTCCAGATGTCCTACTGGGGTCGACCGAGTACACAACGAATATTGATATGTGGTAAGAATAAATGTGTCCGACTTGTCAACAGCCGACAGTCTGTTTGAATAGCTCGTTCTCATTTGAGCTGACTGGAGGTAAATTGGAAGTGCAATTTATTTTTCAGGGGCGTCGGGTGTATATTTTATGAAATGGTAACTGGCCGAGCTCTCTTCCAGGGACAAAATGTCAAGGAGCAGCTTCAAGTCATCTTCAAGAAGCGGGGTACGCCGACTGAAGATTCGTGGCCGGGCATCTCGCAGAATAGTACTTTCGATTCCTATAAGTAAGTCAGCTCGCAAAAGCTGTCGTTTATTTCCTCTTTCAGGTTCAAAAAATATTCGATGGATAAGCTAACAAATACATGCCCGAGGCTAGATACCTATGGGCGCCAGTTGCTTGACGCATTCTTAGAGGTACCCTTATTTCTCGCTTTTTGAATCCCTAAACCCGATTCAGTACGATATTTCGAAACGAATATCGGCCAAAGATGCGTTGCATCACGAGACCTTCCGACCCTTCGGCGAAAATGTGTATAAATTAAAAGATGGTAAGTTCGCTTATCTTATTCTCTTCCTTGATTTCAACATGATATTTCAGAGGAATCTATCTTCGACTGTGCAGATATTCATCTGACGCCGAACCCGGGAGCCTCGCGCTCTGGGAACTCAAAAGGACGACGGCAAAGTATGCTTTTCTAATTTACAATTGTTCTGTTCTTCCGTTTCTATGTCTATTTGAAAATATACAAATCCGAAAACACTTAAACACCAGCTGACCTTTATTCTTCGAATCAATGAGAGTGTCTTAAAAAGTAGCAGATTTAGAAATATAAAACTCTATGAATATCCTCTTATGGTTACGGTAGTTGACTTAAAGCCGATAATGAGACAACCACGAGAAAAATCAATCTGGGCTGAGTATATTTCAATTTCAGTGCTTCTATAAAATAGATAATATGGTTGAAACCTGCCACTTTCAAACCTGTGTCTGCACTTATCGCGAGCAGAAGGAACGAAGGAGTGTGTTTTTATAAAGAGACAGTACCGTAAAAACCGAAGAGAAAGGGTTTGAACGTATTTCTATTGATCAAAAAATCCCTGTCTTTTTTTATAATGGAGAAATCAATTTCGTTATTACCGCAATAATTAAAGCTAAAAGCTTATTAAAAAGTCTGCAATGTTAGCCTTTCAATTTAATTTTGGAGAAAAATTGTTTAATGGTAGATCAAGAGAAAACCTCATATTAAAAAATAAGTTTCTGAAGGCATAAAAATTTTATCTGAAAGCTACTGACAAAAAGGTAAACAACTTTGACAAAGGAGACATCCCTTATCTGTCGAGATTTAGACAGGGAGAAGTCTTACCGTCAGTGAAGGTCTGCCTAGTTTTGAAAAAATATAAGACCGTTTCAATTTTGTTATGAAACTGTATTTAAAATGTTCCAAGCGTAATAGTGTCGTCGGACTATAAAATTGGTTCCGTGGCGGTCTGAAAAAGACAGCACGATGCTCTAGCGTTAATATTTAAATTTGAATCTGCGAGCGACATGGGTTCCCCATCCATGATGAGTCCCAACATTTGCACAATCAAGGAAAACTATCAGAACACTATTTAGAGCAGAAATCTTGAACATACGACGACACGTGACAGAGATTCATTTCTAATGGACGGCTTTCTGGATATTTTCAAAAAAGTAGAGACAGACAAAGAATACAGTAATTGGTTCTTTCTGGTTCTATGGGTAAGTTCTTGTTTTTCATTTACATGCGACAAATTGATCGCTCTTCTTGTATTCTTCTTTTCAAAGAGCTATTTTCACTCATTTCTAGTGCGGTCAAAAATTTTACTCCAAGAATTTTATGACAGAAAATTTTAAAAACATAAATAGTGAAGTGAACAAAGCTTCGAAAATCGTCAAGTAAAATGAGGTAGATAAGTCGACTTTTAAACAAAATAATGAAATAGTCTGGAAGTCAGTCGGATAAATGACAAGAACCACATATCCAAACTAAGAGAGCCCTTGGGTACTACAGAGTGCTCTCAAAGTAGAACATTCCAAATCCAAGAGAAGTTTCCTCATGAACCGTTTCCAAAAACAAGCACCTAATGTCTTATTCTTGATTGAAACAGCGATGTATTTTCAGTTCGCTGTAATGATGACAGTAATAACGGTCTGTTTCTGGCGTATTTGTTGCTTTGTGCTTATCCTGACACCACCACCGACCGCTTATCCTTCTCCGGAAATCATTGCCCCGCCAAGACATCACTCACTTCCCGCTCGGTTTTCTTCAAAGAGAAACAAGTGGACCTCCGATTCAAGAAGAATATCAATCGTGTAACTTGTATCTACTGTTCAACTTTCTGCACTCAACATTCCTCTACATTCTTGTTAGAAAAAATACACACTTCAATGCGAGTTAAATTTGACCATGTTTCCGTTATTTATTAAATATTGAACTCAAACGATATCTTTTTAGTTGAACAGTCGATAAACGGTCACTTGAGTACCTGTAACGCCGGACAGACAGAGATATAATGTCACATATTTAGTAAATATTAATAGGGAGAGGGAGGAAGATTTAGTACATTATACAGTAATCTAGATGTATATTCGAGTGCTTCTCGAGACGCAAAGTGTCGATTTCGCGGTAAACTAAGAGCTCACTGAAATATTACCGAGGTTGATAGATTGCATGCAAATTTGCGTTAACGCGTCCCCTTCAATCAGATATTCAGGACATGGGTTGTACGCATCGAAAGTTGTTGGCAAACCACCGAATAATAGAATAGCCACGGAAGACAAGAACGCGCCGATCAGGGACAGCGGAAGGCCAACCTTGACCATGTCCAGCATTGACAGATATCCTAAGAATAAAATATGACTCTCATTTAGCTCGCTGTTTTGTTTACCATATTCAAAGACAACAGCGTTCGGAGGAGTCGAGACGGGCAGCGAGAAAGCAAAAGAGACAGCGGCCGTGCTTGGAATCAAAATAAACATCGGATTGATGTTCAGATTCTCGGCCATGTCGCAGAGGATCGACGCGAAGATGGTCATGGTCGATGAGTTGGAGGTCACTTGAGACATGAGGTTAATCGTCAGGCAACAAACGAGCACCATCAGATAGGATGGAAGACCCTTCAGCGCTTGCATTTTTAACCCAACAAATTTGCCAAGTCCTACAGTATTAGTATTAAAACTAAGTATTCGAGGGTGAGAATAACCTGAGGAAGTGATCCCAGAGGCCATGGCGAAACCGCCGCCGAGGAGAAAAATAACTCCCCAGGACATTTTCGAAGCCATTTGCTTCCAAGTGACGAGCGGTTTTGAGATTATGAATTTGCCATTTTCGTCGCGTTGGAAAGGTTTTTCAGCGGGCAGCAAGAAGAGCAAGAATGCGACGAAAAGGGCCGCGGAAGCGTCGCTTGGATAGCCAGATTTGAAAAATTGGGACCAGCCAGTTCCAGGTCCACCAGGCGCACGAGTTAGCCAAAGAGTTAGGAGCAAGAAGAAGCATTTGATGATCATTTTTTCGGCAAAGGTGACCTCTCCAAGCGCAGCATATTGGTCCTTGATAATTTTCGACGTCTCCCTTGCTTGTTTTTCTTGATCGACCTTGTGCGACTCTGAAAGATCGGGCTTATGACCTTTTCAAAGTGTTTTTGAAATACCGCTGTCTCGCAAAAAGACAAAGACAAGGACCACCCAGGTAATAATCGTCATAAGAACAGATAAGGGAGTGGCGAACGAGGCCCAATTGACGAAGTTGACAGAAAATTTGTAACGCTCGTCTGCTGCCTGCGCGGCGATAAGGTTGGGACCAGTGCCAGTCAGCATTCCAACCCCGCCAATTGATGCGCAGTAAGCGATTCCGAGCATAAGGGCCTTGCACAATCCTTGAAAATTCATCTTAATTTTGAGTACTGAACACAATTCTTACCTAGAAGCATTCGCTTTTTAATTACTGTCTCTTCTGTGCCACTTGGTACAATCTTCGCTTTCTCCTGGATCAAATTTGAGGTTTCACCTTGATCCGAGGGTTCTTTTGAGGAATCATCTTCAATCGCATCTTCTAACTGGTCGAGAACAGCTTGAAATTAAAATTTGAGCCCTTTTTAATGGAACATCGAAACTCTTGAATATTCACAAATTCTATCTCAAAGTTGATTCAAACCGCTTATCCTTTGCAAATTTAATTTGATTGGCGCCTTTTTGATTGAACTGCTCGGTTTCATACCTTTTGCGATCGGCACCATCATCGCGGTCGTGGCGACATTTGACATCCACATGGAAATGAAGCTCGTTGTCGCCATGAAACCGGCGAGGAGGTAAGATGGCTTGCTTCCAACTTTCGTAAGAACCCATAACGCAATTCGTTTGTGAAGATTCCAGACTAAAGATAAACATTCATAATCAAAAGAGTAAATCTAGCTAGCAACCTTCGATAGATATAGCAAGAGTGAGGCCTCCCAGAAAGAGCACAATGACATCCTTAAAATACGAAGCGCAGATTTTTTTCGCAGGGACGATCCCAAGGAGTGGGTAAGCAAAAAGCGGAATCAAGGCGGTAGCACTGAGGGGAGCTGCTTCGAAGCACCAAAAAACAACCATGACGGCGACGACATACGCGCACTGAAAGTTCAAGTTGACGCCAGAGAAAACAAGGGCCGGTCAATTAGACTCAATTGTCAAATTGAAATACCTTGAACATAACGGGCTGCGGAGGAATGTCCACCCCATTGTTGTTGGCGTCACCAAACACGGAGGAACAAGCTTCCTGTCCGAACAGCTCACAATAGAGTTCTTCTCCCAGCGCGTCTTTTTCATTTGCGAATAGTAAGGGCATAAACAGAAGTGGTGCTTTTTGGAGGCTTTATTTTTGGCAAAAGATTCTAGGGTTGTTAATTGAATTATGAAGAAACCGGGAATATAATATTTTAAAAGCTTTAATATTCATTTCTACCGATGAGATCGGGTTCAATTATGAATTATAATCATCATCTTGGTATTATCTCTACTGGGTTGTGGACACCACTTGAATCGATAAAAGCCTTTCCTAGTAAAACCACGAGACTGCTTTTGTAGGCGAGGAGGAATTCCTTGATCATGATTCTCCTTCTCGATTTGATGGCTATTTGTAATTGTATTTCTCTGATTTGCCTTTGGTTCTGGCTTGATTTCGTTTGGCGGCTGATACTAATAAATTAATCTTTCGAGGAAAAAAGGGGGCAAGATATTTTAAATCGTGACGGGTCGGGTTTGAACTCCCTGGGGAACTGATCACTCGGCTTTTCCCGAACAAAACAAAAGCGCGTAGTATTCTGTAGTATTCTGACTCACAGGAGCTAAAGAACGAGAACGAGCGACATCACTCGACCAGATCTGACGCAATTTTGCGACGAGGAAAAAGAAAACGTCGCATGTTCTAACTGTGACGATTTTCAAAGGATGTTTCGAAAGGGATCTCTTTGGGAATGTACTGTACCTTGACTGAATCTGTAGTCGTAAATTCCAAGGCTGAAGTAACTTGAACTCTCTCTTTTTATATTGAGCAGGCACTTGACCTGCGCTGATTAATGTCTAATTGTCAGAATACACAATAATGTATCCTCGACAAACTATTTTTTATGATAAGCTGGTTCAAACTGGCCCCAAATGCAATTTCAAAACGTGAATTTTTGATTTTAATGAATAAAAAATTTATTTTTTTTTCATGTGTGGCAGATTTAAAGATGTACCGCTACAGATACAAAATAAGGAGATAAACATGTGTCAGTAATGAAATATCTGTAATTATCCATCCGTGGGAGAGTGTCGCAAATATTCAGGGTGGGTTCTTTCTTTCGAAAAATGATCTCGATGATTTCAGTAGCGTGGAGGAGCTTTAGACTTTCACGGTGAAGGTCACCGATTTCGAGTCTAATTGTAGGGTCACAACAGTATTCTAGCACTGCTGATTCAAGAATTAGAGTGGTCTAAAAGGGAGGACTCTCGGGAGGATAATATTTTCTGGGCTGTGGACTCCCTCTCCTTCTCCCTACCCAAAGATTGCCCCTACCCTAGATCGTGCAGGTTTTTTGTGACCCTTTCCTTCAGAGGCGACTCCAGTAATAGCAGGCAACAAAATCGAGGGGTGAATCTCACCGACTAATTCCTGTCGAACACGGGGCTTCTTCGTCGGGTACTCGTTTCTCCACTGATAGGGCAACTTTCGCGGAAGCTCCATTATACGGTACGGGCTCACTGAGATTCTGGATTACGGAAGAATAGGAAGAATGATCTCTTACCGCTTATTTTCTCTCCGTCCAGTTCCCGGCCATTGTATTTGGTAATTGCGGCCATCGCTGCTGCTCGTTTCACAAACGTCACAATCGCTTCTCCACTGGTCTGGAGTCGCGCGTCTCGCACAGCTCCGATTGCGCAGAAGAGATCGACTAAATCCGATTCCGAGACAGACGAGTTCAGATTCTCCACTTGCAGTCGGTATCTATCAAATCAACTTTTACATTCTAGCACTAAAAATCACGATTTACCCTTCAATCGGCGAATGGGAATCTTCATCAGAGTCATGTTCGTCCTTCGCCGCAGATTTCCCCCGCTCTCCTGGCCGTCGAATAGGCACAAATGCCTCTTCCTCCTCGCTTTCTACAATTTGAAATATAGCCTGCATCAATTTCCAATTGAAAATACCTTCTTTGGTCGTTTTCTCCTTTCTGCTTCGCTTTTTGGGCGAAGGTTCGGCGTCCGAAGAATCCGAATCCATCTCAGCGACTTTCTTTCGACTCGCTCTCTTTCTCGATTCTAGCGCTGATCGTGCTTTCTTCTTCGTCTCCAAAACATCTAAGAAAACAGCTCAAAACGGGGAAACTACAGTTATGGCACACCATTCAAAGCACTCTTGTACAAGGCACGGTCTTCCTTCTTCTTTGCGGAGATCTTTCGCTTCGGCCGTTCGATTTCTTCAGATTCAGAAGAGTCCGAATCAGAAGAATTGCGATTTGGCACAGTTCGTTTCAGGCTACCCCATTTTCTGTTTCCCTAAAAGGCAAATTTAGCGGAGATTCACTCGTTGTTTAATTGGGCAAATAAACCTGTGTAGAAAACCTGAGTCAGGGTCCTGAAAGAGCTCAGCTAAAAAGCCCCGTAGCAGCTTTTTTAACGAAGCCGCTTCGCGGCTTTCTAATTGAGAATCAACTAAAGATCTTTCAGGACCCTGAGTCAGGTTTCTATACAGGTTACCGAGCCCAGGTTAGTTTGAAAGCTTACAGATGACACATTGTCATTGGAAATTCTTCTTTTGAGAGAAACATTGTTGAGGTCGATTCCGAGGAGGCCGCTGGAATCGTTCTTCACCGACAGTTTGAAATTTTCCAAGTTCGACTTGGAGAAAACAGCATTTTCTAAAAAAACAAATCAATTTTAAATCTTTGAAAAGCCGGTACTTTTCCGTGCTGGAGGATCGATCTCGTCACATCGCATTCCACCGGTGGAAACTCGGCGACCAGATGATCCGCTTCCAAGGCGGCTTTTCAAATCTCCACTGCTCGAGTTGTTTCTTTTTACCACTTGGACGATGCTGCCGGATTTGAGGCTCAATTGGGTTGGGTTCTTTTTAGTTCTGAAAAAATATTGTTTTGAAAAGTCTTTTGGCAATGAAACGTACATTTGTGTTTTGGAAACACGAGAAGTTGGTGTTGTTTTTCCTCCACCAAGATAGCCATTGATGAAATTGGCACCGAAAGCGCCTCCCGCCGGGCGAGAAGAAGGCTTAGTCGAGACGGATCTGTCGGATTCTGGAGCACGATCGTCGTGTTCCGAGGAGCGGTTGTTTTTCACGACTCCGCCGAGGCGAGATTTTACTGAGACCATTTCGATTTTCGATCAATCTTGAATGGACAATCGTTATTTTTCAATTTTCAAACGAGGATGGCACCAAAGAATTCGAATTCGACTCGGATTCGCGAAAGTGGCTATCTAGAAATATTAGAGGAGAAATTTACATAAAGCTCTCAAATGAACGAAGAAAATAGAAGAAGACGGAAGAAGGAATTTCTTGAACTTGAAAATTTAAATTCTCTGCGAAAAGGCGTTTACAGAAAATTGCTGGACAACTCATTCTTTACCAGCGCGCTTATTGGCCCGCAGCCTGAAGCGCTTCTTTTTGAATTTACTGCTCTTCAAAAGTGGGCCTCTCGGATTTCGCAAATTTACGCTCCTTTCATCATGGCGATTATTTCCAAGATTATCCCATTAGCATACGAGGAGAATATTTTCAGACTAAATAAATCAATCCGATTGTGACTGGAGAATCTCAACTGGGAAAAGAACATCGATTAGAGTGCATTCGTTACAGTAATCTATTTTATATTCTTGACAGTTGAAGAGTATATGCAGTAGCCATGAGATACCACGTGTTTAGCCTCATGTTTCTTGTAGTTTCATTCACCATCTTCATTTTCACACCGTTTTCATTGTAAGCATGAGTTTGAGTTCGACTACAGTAATCATAATTGTGGATCTTCTCGGCGATTTCGAAGTACGGCTGCGTTTGTCTGATACGAAGCACTGACTCCCATGACTGCTCGAACGCGGTGTTTTGAAGGACATATTCTCCATTTTCTATTCTGTCAATCGTCAACTGGTGGAAAACGACTTCACCGTCAGGCAACAAGCACACGCCAGTGGCAGTTACGGGCCGTTCGAAAACGAAATTTTCATTCAAATAAACTTCATTGAATTCACATATGGATTTGTCTGGCTTTGGTGCATCTTCGAAGCCGAGCATTCTGATAATTTCCCATCCAGACTCCATCAAATACGTTTTCTGGCAAACCCGTTTGAGTAACAATTCGATTTGGTTCTTTTGATTCTCATTTTCTTTCGCTCTTTTACATCATCGCTGGTCGGGTTAAGGCACAAGCCGACCATACTTCTTGGGTAAATAATCATAACCAAGACAGCCAGAATGTGCTCAACAGAGTGAGATCGATGCAGATCGACAAAACCAAGATCATTTTTCATCGCGTATCGTATCAAAACCGTCACTGATATCGGAACACAGAGATTACTGTATTTCTGATCGAGGATATTTTGAGTGAGATTTTCCATGTCGATATTCACACATTTTGTCATGCTTTGTTTAATATCAGCCAGTTGACAAGACTTTGTGAGGGCTGAATCATCTAAGCAAAAATCAGAGCTTGCATCATCAAGACTTATGATGTCTGTGAGCTTTCCAATGCACTTGTAGAAATAATTAGCTAAATCTTCAGTATCGTGATTAACAACAGTTTCCTCTAAGATGCTTGCTCCGAAGTCCTTCGAAAAGAGTTATTTCGATTTGAATTTGAGGAAAATCAGGAATACCTTCATGATTTCATTGATTCGATCCCGTTCATCCTCATTTATTGGTTTATAAAGCAGTGTCCATGCGGTTTTCCATTCACAGACGAAAAAATATGCAACAGCTTGGACAAATTTCCCTGCATCTCCCCCTGGCGTAAGCTGCCATTGTACTGCAAATCCTGGTGATCCAGCCGCTATAAACTAATATGTAAAAATCTTACACTAAGCCTTACCTAGAGCAACGTTGTGCCTAAATTTTGATCCCTTTCGTGTATATGATATATATACAGTATATCCCATTTGTCGGTAACCGATCCGACCGGTTGTTTCGGTAACTAATCCAAAATCACAAATCCGTGGCTCATCACCAAGAAGTAAAAAGTTCTCGAGCTTTTTGTCATAATGGGCGATACCAATGGAAAACAAGTAGTGAAACCCCTTGACGACTCCTTCAGCGATCCTCATTCGTTCTGATAGAATGAGCCAATTTTCTTTTAACAGAGGTCGGATATCTTGATCACATTTTTCCATGATTGTAAGCCACCCTATGCAATCTTTCTGTTCTCGATCGCAATAATGATAGAGCTCGATGTTTGCAAAGTTGCGAACAACATTGTCGTGAAAGGGGATTTGGTAGTCATTCGCATTCTCTCGATCGATTACTTTTTCGTATTCTAAACCAAGATTTAACAAAATTTATTATTGACAATGTCATTGACCTACCGTTTGACAAATGAATTTTCGAGGTAAACAAATTCTTGCTGAATCTGTTGGTGAATAAAAATGGGTCAAAAACCTGAACCCTAATTGCGTACTCAGTTTCGCCAAACTTTTGCGAAACAATCAATGCTTCTCCGCCTTGAGAGATCTTTCTTCGTTTCAATTTTTCATCAAGAATCCATTTTCCAGTTTCTTCCAACAACTCTGATCTGCCCAAGTAGACATTTTTCAGTGAAGGTTCGGACCTGATAATTTGCCTTTGAAATGCAGTCATGGCAAACTGACCAAGTTCTCTGTCCGCGTAATCATACAGCTTCACCAGATCTCCATCAAATTTACAGTATTGCCAGTGATACGCCCATTCATGATGCTCAAACTCCTGCCTATCAATCGATGCGATCAACCGACATTTCTGACTTCTACTCGTCGTTCTCTCTAGCTTCGAGATAAATCCCGGTAGCCAATCCTCTATTTGCTCTCTTTCCAGCTCAGTCGGTTGTTCGATTTCTGAAGTGTCCGAGTTTCTGGAGTTCTCAGAACTTGAAGAATGGTAGCGCTTATATTTGGAAGTCATCGCTATAGAAAAAAAACTCTTGATTTTTCCCTGAGCGGTTGTTGCGACAGCCGTAATTTTTATGACTCTGATCTATACATTGTGTTCTTGTTGTAGGCAATCAGTGATTGCCGATGACTCTCTACGAGGCCTCCAACCTATTACTCTATCCTTTTTTTTCCTAAAACCGTTTTATCATTCGACACAAAATCAACGCAACAACTTCAGATTGGTCTTCCTTGATTTCTCGGATTCAAAGCAGATCGAATCAACAGATTTTCTTCTGATAATTGACTCAAGAAAACACGAATCGACTCATGATTTTATTCCCAAATTTCAATTATCACAATCAGGCACATCCACTTGATGACCACTCAGATTTACGAAGATCTTTTTTATCTTGCACGAATGTCTCGTTTCTTGCTGCTATTTTGACGATAAACAGGAGCTCTAACGAAAGCAGTACGAAATAAAAACTGCTGGCTCAATGCGCACTTGCAACGTTTTGATAATAAGCACAGGGCGAGGAAGAAAGTAGCGCACTCGACTTGTCGCAGGTAGAGTTTTAGAATGAGACGGCGAACATTTAGCCTCCGGGCTTACTAATCTCACTAGCTTGCTTTCTCGTTTCTTCGTTTGTACTTTATTGGATTACGGTATTCTGATGGATCTACGGTACAATAGCAGAAGATACACTGACAGGCGAATACAGCAACGTACTAAGTACAAGAAGCTAGATGAAGTAAAATCACATTCTCGGGGCAAAATCCTAACCCCCAGGTTTCTCATGCTTATTAGAAAGCTCGTGATCTGAGGAGTCGAATGGTTTGTTTTTTGGGGTCTGAGTCATCGAAAATGACGTCATTCTGGGTGACTGAAGAGGCATATGGGGTAAACCGACCGGGACCTGGAACTTTTAAGTGTGTACACAAAAGTATACTGATTTTGGGCTTATTAAAAAGAGCATCTCGAGATCTATTTGCGGATCTATAAATCTCGGCAAACCAACCGGTTTTCATTTTTTCACCACGTGGTTAGGTGGCTCTAGAATTTTTTTCCCTGGGAATTTTCCAACCCGCAAGTGCTCCGCAAATAGATCTCGAGCTGCTCTTTTAAATGAGCCTAAAATCAGTATACTTTTATTTACAAAATTTAAAGTTACAGGTCCCGGTCGGTTTCAACCAATAACAGGGAACCTATGACGTCATTTGTGATGACTAAGACCCCTTACTTATACCATTCGACTCGCCAGATCACCGGCTTTCAGAAAAGCATAAGAAACATAGGGGTCAGGATTTTGTCCCGAGAATGTCATTTTCATTCATCGCTACTCGTGTAGAAAACACGACCTTCCTTTTATCTTACTTAGAAACAAAACACTCTCCGTCGCCAACGAAAATTAACTGTCAATTAGTAGATCTTCCATTTTGTCGCGACTGTTCTCCAGAAAATGCCAGAGCCAAAAGTGCCTCAATTTCTATTCAAATTATTTCAATTAGAACAAAACACGGGTCTAAATATTTGAATGGGCGTCTTATTCATTCTGTCTCCGGGGCTCTTCCTTTCAAAAAATTCTGAAAATTGGCAAAGAAAACGAAAAGACAAAGGAATGAACTTCGACGGAAGACTATGGCGCGTTTCGTGTGACCCCTATTCACGCTTATTATCCTCCAGGAACAGATGAGCGCAGGCTGTTGCACAAAAGCTTACTGTAATCCGCTGAAGGGCGCCTTTCTTTCCTTCGCTTTTCAGTTTAATCAGATTTCAGATGTACCTCTGGTCTTTTGTAGATTACCTAGTAATAATCTTAATTCGCCGGGCTGGCTTTTTAGACAGTTTAATCAAAAAAATGTTCCTCCCAAGAAAAAAGCCTAGTTGTTTCTGTATTATCTTCGTTAAAGCTTGTCTGGAGCAGGCGTCGTAGAAATCGAATGATGGGAGATAAGACTCCAGTCAAGTAAAATAATTGGTAGGAGTTCTTGATACTCGATCCGGGAGCTAGCGTATCGCTGGCGTACAAGGAACGGGTCGAAAGTGTGGTGGTTTACTTGAATATTGAGCCGGGCTTGGTGTCTCCTCCGCAGGCCTTTCACCAATTCTCGCAAAGTAAGTTGATGACGACGCAGCAGGCGGCGAATGAGGTTCTCCGACGCCCTGCGCCAACTACCGCAGCCACTCGAAGGGATGAAAAATCACGCTTTCACGCGCCGCAGCGCAATTTTCTCGACGGGGTGAACTCTTCCAGGAAGCGAGAGCAATAAACTTTTGTTCGCGACGTTGAAAAATTCATCAAGCGGCGCTCATAAAAACGACTTGGGCGATTCAACCGGACTTGATTACTCTAGAATAGAGGCTGTATTCCTACTGTAGGAATGTTCTAATTTGACTGCTCTGATTTTCTTGTGAACGACCATTTTTGAACGATAGCCTGCTTCCTCCTCCTGATAGTCTGTCCTATATTGCTGACTATCTTTTCTCTGGTGGATCTCACGGTTCTCAAGTTCAATTACAAGCATGAAGGTCTAATAGCAAACCTTCTCATACACCCTCGTTGAATTTAAAATATCACGTGATATCACAACCTTCCAAGAAGTCGGGAGATTCTTCGAGGTAGAAAATGACAACCGAATCGTTCTCCGCGAACTCATAGAAGATGAACTAAGCAAATGAAGAATATGGACCATTATATGATGCTTTGAACTCTACTATTTACCCAATCTTTTACAAACTTCCACGCGAAAGAAACGAAATGAAGCGAACGTATTTGCCAAGAAATGAGACCATACAGAGAATTTTTCGTTGCCAATAGCGTTCGTCTGCCGCAAACAGAAACTGGCTCAAATATTGACATGCGAATTTCTTGATGCCGTAGATATTCTCGGTCGCCGTCGACATTTTCGTCTAACAACGTCAATCGGCAATGAATAAAGATTTAATGCTATTAGCATTTGTCGACCCATTAGAATTAAAAAGTCTGTTTTTTGAAAAACATGTGTCTATTTTCTTTCGATAACTAAGAGGGCCATTTGAAATAAAATTAACTCCTCGATCTCGAAACACTAGTAGTTCCAGATCCTGCCCTGTACGACGAGAGCAATCAATCATTCAGATGAAAAATGGGGCTCAAGCCTTTCCCTTGGGAGAAAATTCCGAGTACGTAGGAGTCTCCCTGAGGAGAGTCTGAATTTGCCAGCGGCAATGTCAACTTCGGCCAGGCGGCAGCCAGGGCCACGTCATCTTTCGAAGGCCAAATCTTTCCATTCAACGACTGTAGGAGTCTTTCTATTTGATTTGCATACACTGTAAGACAACTTGGCCTCGGCAAAAAGGGCAACAGACTTTCTTTCTTTGCACAGCGAAATAACTTGAATCGGAGTTGGAAACTTGGAATAAAAGATGTTTCCGACCCCGAGAGTGTTTAGTGTTTATTTAAAGTTTTCAAACCAACTCGCAAACAATACGTGGTTGTCTTGTAAACAGTTGAGGATGGTCGTCTGCGCGCTGGGAGGGAGGCATCGTTGCTCAACGCTTCAAATTTTGGTGAAAGAATAGTCCCTGCTTCAACTAGTGAGGACTAAAGTAAGAGGCTTGGTATAGGTTAGGACTAGCTTTATAAAAATAGTAGAGACAGATGATTTGTTTTTGACGTAACCTTGGTACAAGTTGTTCTTTCTTTAGAAAAAGTTCTAAAATTATAGATTATGTATGAGGACAATTTTAAATTATTGTATGATTATTTGATGAGTTCTTTGTCCTAGGACGAAGTGGAGCAGAAACAAGTGTGGCCTTTTTATTGTATAAAATATTTATATTCTACTATATACTTTGTAGTCTTGAGAAGCGAAAATAGCAGCTAGGTACGTAGGTATGTATAAATAGACGATCTTCTTTTTTGTTTTATCGATAATAAATTTCAAATTTCAAAATAATCGAAAAAATTCTCGTTTGCTGAAATAAAGGAAGATCTGCTTCATCTGTCGATTTCCCATATTTCTTGCAAAATGCACCTGTTCTCATCCCACAAGGGAAATTTCACCAAAGTTTTTCTCCAGAACATTAACGAATAAGATGGAAAGTAAAAATGAAAATTCTAGATGCGAGGAAGTTAAAGTAGGGCAACAAACCGTTCTTCTCGAGGGAAGAAGAGTCGCGAAAAAGGGAGAAGCAAAACGGAAATTGATGAACTACCAAAATCTACAAATGAATTTTCTTCACTCAAGGTAATCCAGTTTTTCCGTCTTGGTTTGGCAACCTGTGTGAGAAACCTGGGTCAGAGTCCGTAAAAAGCTGTAATAAAGTGCCTGTTTTGAAACTAGGCCAAGCTGCTTTGCGGCTTCATTTTCAAAAAAGCCGCTAAGCGGCTTTTCATTTTAGCTTTTTCAAGACCCTGACTCAGGTTTTCCATACAGGTTGAAGACCACAGCATCGGCTTGTAAAATTGCTCTTATCAATGATAATTCAAAATCATCATTATTAATAGACATCAGTCTATTCTTTCGAGACGATGTCTTTTTGTTCAATTTTGAAGATTCAGAGAAAAATAAAATTCATAACCAAAGAGGCGAGAATAATTTTATACAATGATCTTTAAACTGATCAGAATTGACAGGGCTGGCGTCTTCGGCGAAAACCTCGCGTAAGCAAATCGCACCAATTTGTCGCGGCTACCGAGTTTGTTTCCAAATTCCCACTTACAAGATTTTCTTATTTCGTAAATACGCTCACGCTGTTTGGGCCAAAAGCAAGGTACACCAGCAGCGAGTAACTCTATTTTCGCCTGAGCTCCTCTAATAGGGATCAAAAGATGGGCTCAGAAGACATGATAAAGTTCTAAAAGAGTTTGAATGAAAAGCCGCATAGCGGCTTTTTCGAAAACAAAGCCGCAAAGCGGCTTCGCCAAAATTATTATATCAATTTATTTTATATTCTGGCGAATCCAATTTGCGGCTTCGTTTTCAAAAAAGCCGCTACGCGGCTTTTCATTCAAGCTGACTCAGGTATTCTACATAGGTTGCCAAGTCCTGATCAGGAGCAGCGAAAAACGGCTGCTCCCCGCTATTTTGCTTCTGCTTTTTTGACCTGGGTTGATTTTTCGCACAAAAGAGCAGCAAAAGCGTGGCAAATTTGATCGAAACGAACTGACCTCCTGCCAAATTTTGAAATCGGGAAAACTTTTTCCTGGCAATCTGGCCATCTTTCCAATAAAATCTCGCATCTGCCAGTGCCGAATTCGAAGTTTCCAAGCACTAAGTTTTTCAGTTTAAAATTTCAAGCAGAGAACAGGTTCGTTTAGGATTTTCTTCATTTTTCTTGATGAAAAAAAACTAAAAAAGGTCGAATTTTGAGTGAACAAAAAGCGTGAATAATTCGCTCTGAAACGAGGCTTCCTGAACATCCTCATTTTCGACGAAAAACCGTGTTATCATGGACCTCAATTTTGTCGCCGCGGGCCCTAGCGCGGTCAACCCTCTCTTCCAGCCAGACACTTTATCTTTTACCGTGCGGTTCTTTTCTACAGCCACTTATTCATTTCCTAAAATCCAAAAAGGTAAAGAAAAGATGAGGCTTTATCAAATTGAGAAGCCGCTTGCGGCTTCGAGAGACTAATTGTAAAGCCGCGCTTTGCGCGGCTTCTTTCTTTTTTAGGCTCGAAGCCGCAAGCGGCTTCTCGATTTGATTTAACATCATCTTTTCGAAACCTTTTTGGATTGAGCAGAATGCCGGCGCCTTTGATTGAAAAGGTCATCTTCTAAAATGACCTCTTCGACTCAGGGTCACGGCTGATAGTGGTCGCCGTGGGACAGGGCGACGAAATTTTTTGGCGACCCGTTCTCGTGTTAAAATCGCTCTCTGGCGCCACCGCGTGTCCCTCTGCTTGAGTCTTGTTCGGCTTCGTGTGTTTGTGTTGTGTGTTGGAGGTCGCTACTCTCCTTCTATTCAATCTGCGTGGGTGGTCGGCCGACCTCACTCGCTCGCCGCGCTTTTTTTTTCTTTTTTTTTTGCGCCGCGCGGAGCTCTCTCACTAGAGCTACCTCTTTCTCATTTTCGCCAGGCAGCCTGGCCCTGAAACGAACCCTAGAAACTCGAAAGAACACGCCATTTTTTCAAAGATACAGAGAAACAGAAGCGACAGTTGTTCATTTTAGCGCAGTGCGAGATCAGCTGGAACTTAACAGTCTTACAAATTCAAACAGTAACGAAAGACGAAAGAGATCAATTCCGAATCAGAAGAGAATGGACCAACGAGGGGCCATGTCCGTCCCAGGCCAGCCCGCACCGAATATAAAGAGGTATGAAGGAGGAAAGGCTATTTATTCAGCTACTGTCTACTTTTTGTTTGGGGCATTTACGGAGAATTTTGTTGTTTTTCCGAGTTTTTTAAATTGTCTATATTTTCTGGTCTAAAACGCGTTTTGGGTTAATAATAAATTTATTGGGAAGCGGAAATGCAATTTTTGGAAGTCTAAAATTAATTAATTAGGGGCAGGGGTCAAATTTCACGTCGAAAACAGCCATGAAATTTGCATGAATGTAGAATTGCTCCACCTTGGGCTTGGGTGCCTGCGGTCACGTGGTCACTCGAGTCGCGGGTGGTGCTTTAAGTGGCCCGGGTCAAGTAAGATCTGCAAAGTTAGAGGGAAGTGTAACTGATCTGCGGATGAGCGGGCTGGTAGGCCACTTTCATTTCATTACTGCGGATTGATCTGTATATAATGTACAGTTTATTCACAGAAGCAGATGATGCTATCATTTGTTACGTGACAAAATACGTTTATATATGGTTTTTATTTCAAAATCAATATGGCTCAGTGCGCGCTTTTAAGGGAGTCAGCTCTATATATTGCCCCATTTATGCTATTTATATACGAATTGGAAAAGATTCAACACTAAAAATAGGTCTTACAGATTTTCCATGCCCAGGCGAGACAGATAAGAGTGTTCTACAAGAGATGTAGAACACACACGCCTCGGGCGAGGACAATTTTTAACCCGATCGGGAGTTATATTCTTCGCTCTTAATTCTTTCCTCACTTCCGCATAAGTAAATTAACTCGCCTACGCGTTTAACCTGGCACTCGCCCCGGGGCAGGTTAATTATTCCCAGAAGAACGCAGAACGCTCGCGCCTGTTTTCGAAGTGCGTGCCTGAGTGCACCAGACTGAACTCATGTGAATAAATATTTGAATAACCTTTCGGCGCCTTTGAGACCCTTATTCACGGGGCACTCCAATTCCAAGGTAATTTGGAAAAGGGAGATGAGCGTCTATTCTTTCGGAGAATGACCTTGCCTCGCCAATGATTAATTGCCAACTCAAATCGAGTTGGCCTATTTGAACCGTTCAAAACTCGAAAACAACGACAGATGGAACGTTGCCAATTACGTAATTATTATCTTCGTTATGGAACGCTTCCCACAAGGCGTTTCTATTCATGTAAACGTAACTTCCTCTCCCTCTCGTTTTTAGAACCAATTTAAGAACCTATGAAGCTCAACAGCGGCAATATTACCTTCGCAAATCGTAAGATCAGGAATTATTAACAAGAAAAAGACTCCCTAACTAAATCGTTCCCTACGCTCGGTGACCTGTGTAGAAACCTGAGTCAGGCTCCTGACTATGCTCTTATGAAAAGCCGCAGAGCCGATTCATTTTGAATAGCCGCTACGCGGCTTTTCATAAGAGTATAATGAGGACCCTGACTCAGGTTTCTACACAGGTTGCTCCACACTGTCCCTGACTGTTTGAACGGTAAATTGGCGTTTTTGATAAATTGGCGCGAAATAGATTATGCAATTCTTTCCTCGGATAAACTCTTGGAGGGAGAAGATAGGGGCTTCTTAGCTAAGATGGTAGGGGTTGCTAGGAGCAAGGACCGTTAATCCGCGAGGGTGCGAGTTAATACTCGGGGCTAGACGTGAACAGTGCAAGAAGCGCTAAGCCGAGATGGCGAATCTGACAATGATCGAAACAGAAAGTGCATTACAGAATATAACGCGACGCCGCGCTAATCCGAGTTAATTTAGGGTGACATGCTACCTCTGTGAGACGCAGAAGCTACCTTGGGCTGTTATTGACACCATCCCCGGCTTACCTGATGGAAACCACGTCTGCAGAAGCTGTGTTAACTTTGAAGGCATCGACAGGTAAAATAAATATTTTAAAAATAATCATGAAATCTTGGAAGACTCTTTTTGATTGAGTAAAACTAGCGATAACAACTTTAACGAGACAAACAGAAAGATAAGGCAGATTAATAAAATGGTACGATAAATCAACCGTGAATCTGGGCTCAGGAACCTTTCTCCAAAGCCTGAGTCAGGGCCTAAAAGAGCTTGAATGAAAATAGCTCTAGCGAAGCCGCATAGCATTGGTTCAAGCTCTTTCAAGTCCTGACTCAGGCTTTGGACACTGGTTTCCAAGCCCGATTATGAATCGATTATCGTGAAGCTGGCTTTTGATTTTTCCATGAAGAACCAAGAAATGGCATTTAAGTCGTTGCTGAATCTTTAAACGACGGCTCCAATTGATTACGTAACGCATTTTTACGAGCGGATATTGATAATAAACGCAACGGTGCAAATAGCCTCTTCCTGGAGGTCATAAGTTATTAAGGCCATAGAAACGGGGGCTTGCCAAGTAAGGTGATAACAGGCCGCTGCTGGTGAAAGTTATAGTGCCAAGGGTCGCCTTTGTTCGCGGAAATTTCCACTTTAGACCTGGTGAACTCTTTGTCTCCTGGGAAATCAAATTTGCCTTCGCGGGCAATTATTAACCTTTGCATTGGCGTCACCAATTAATGCGAGGCAAATAGCGCATTTCCTGAATTTTGTTCCTATTTGTTTTGAATGGTCGTTTCTAGTAACTTGTAAAGGGTGTTTTGGGTTATTCAGTTGTCACTGGAAACAGGTTCTTGGTTTGTAAACGCTCCCTTTGTTTTTTTGTAAACGGTTTTCAGGCTTTAAAAATATGGTTTTCGGAAAACTCTTTTGAAAACGAAACATAGTTTCTTGAGCTGGCCTACTTCGGGTGCACCGTGCACCCTTGGGCGACCCTTTGTACCCGGTAGTCTGCCATCGTTAAATTTCCCCGCTCGTAAAGATGTCTTTCTTATGAGTTCTGCGATTTTGAGCCAGGTCAAATTTAACACTCCTAAGCGGTGGGCCCATAAAATTCACGGATAAACTCAAAATCGTAAAAGTTGTTTTCGTGAAATCAGCAAAGACCGCCAGGCATTTTTGAAAAGCTTCTTTTACGAGCGACCATTCTCAGTTGCACTTGTCTATTTTTCGATTTTAATTGAAAGCAATCAAAAGGCTTTAGCGCTTGACCTGGTTTCTATAGACGATAAATTGATATAGAAACAGACGGTTTAATTTGGGAACAGACAGAATTGACATTGATTCATTTGCAGGTCTTTGAGTCAGAAGACGTCTTCTTTGTTAGTTTCAAAAGCTAAGTCTGACGTGCCTTTTTTCTATTTAGCAAATGACCTAAAGCGCGTGTCGTTTAATTATGCATACGCCGGATAATTGGAAGTGTAGTTCATCGAACTCGTCTTTGACGAATGTTGCACATGCTTTTTTGCCGAGAAGCCGCGTCCCAGGAGACCTTGGAGCGGGCTCATCCTGTTTGCAATAGCACTTGGACGGGTAGCCTCGGGGGAGCGGCTGATTGCAAGATTATCCCATCGGGCGAGTTACCTTAGAAGCAAAATGCAATAGTCTGATGCCATTTATTATTCAGCGCGGATCAATATTTGACGCGATCTTTTTAAAAATAAATGAGAGTTACTCGCTTCTTCGGCCTTTTTCTTTTCTATTATTCTACTCTATTATCTACTCTATCGATTCTGAACATGCCACGCGTCTCGGCTCTTCGTCGCACTTGCCATGTTATAAAACATATTTTCTATACATTTGATACCCTACCTGTATTCAATAGTCAATAATAAAAAGCCGATAGTAGATATCAGATCGGCAATATTGAATAGTAAATGATATCTACTGGTACTTCTGACGATAGTCTTTCTTGATCTGTTGAACTGAGATGACTAGATTTCAATCAATCGGTTACACAACGATATCTGTAATCAGGAAGATTTTATATTGATAAAATTGTCCATCCGTGAAATTATATGATGCACCTGAAGTGCAATAAACTAGCAAGGATACGATCCTCTTCTTTCATGTCCTATTTAAATATCACTTCGATAGATATATCTATATAGCATGTATATTGACGCGTTAATTGTAGGATCGCGGATGTTATCGCCGAAACAGTGCGCCAAAAGGCCGAATATGCAAGGAGCCAGCTCCCAAATGGAAGCCGTGACCTTTATGGAGCACCGCCCAAGACTGGGGCCTTATCCGGCCGTGATCTTTTGATGAAACAGGTAACTTTCTAACCTTTACATAATAGTCGCTTGAACAGCTCGCTTTCACGTCGTTCTCGTTTCGTGTTCCATGATTCTATAATGTATGCATCTTTAATTTTAGAACTTGGAAGCTCTAGGCTACTCTAGGCTTTTGGTAAGCTCTTTACTTTCTCACATGCTCTTCTTTACAAAAAAACTATTACCAGAATCCATTTAAAACAGAATCTAACTGCGGCTCATTTCCTCAATCGAACAAATTAACCAACACGGGGCTCATTCGTTCTTTTTTCAAATTCCGAAACTCCCAAATTCTATTTCTTATTTGGTGGATTTGGTGGAACCTCTGTAGAAACACTGAGTCCGGTTGCGCCCTGACTCAGGATTCTCCACAGGTTGCGGAACCAAAAAATAGTGGTCGATAGTCGTAATGAGCCAAAGTCACTTTATGAAACACAAGAACAGTCGACTTATTCAAAGTTAAGATGAACGAGAGCCGGAACATCGATCCAAATCGGGTGCGGGAAGTGCCACGACACGCGCGACCCGAACCACCTCGACCGCTAGTCCGACCTCCAGGAACACAGAGCGTGGTCGCGCCCTTCACCAACAATGGAAGCAGGTAAACTCTCATCCCTTCTGATTCCTTATTGGCAGCCGTAGTCTGCTGGTGAACTCACTCTTAACCACTAAAGTAAGCAGATAGAGCTGTTGAAAAATATGCGCTCTACGAGGATTAGTCTGATAAAAATATATGCGCAGCTTATCTCGAGGGCTTGCACTTTTCGGGTATTGAGATTAAATCTTAAATATGCTCATGATATTTTTCTTCTTAGTTAAGGTCTTTTAGTGGACATACAGACTACCAAACACGATACGTACGCATTTTATAGACTAGACTCGGCAACCTGTTTTCAAACCTGAGTTAGGGTCCTGAACTCAGGTTTCTTCTCAGGTTGCCTAGCATAGACATACCTGCAGAATCAATGTCTTGAGAATGTGGTCATTTTTGATCATAAATTCTTTAAAAAGTGGATTTCCAGCATTTTAATTCTCTCTTTTAGGTTCATCCCAAAGCTCCCCACGCACAGCATGACTGCCCTTCCACCGCAGCTGAACCCTGGCGCAGCCGCACATGCGATGATGCCATCAGAATTCACCCGTAGAAATCCAGGCGGAACCATCCGAACATCTACCGGAAACTTTCTCCCAACGATGAACCCATCTCCTGTGACACCGGTAATTGAACAATAAATTCTTCAAAAAATAATCAAAATCGTTATTACAAATTTTCGATTCTGGAAAATTTGTAATTCTTATTGGATTCTAATTCTGAGTCTAGTATGGTCATGAGGTGCCCAAGTCGATTTCGCAGCATCCCCACAGCCAAGCAATCACACAGCCTATTAATTCCGCAGCAGGAGGAATCCCAAGGCCAATCGCCAAGACTATTGAGGGACAGATTGCATCAATCCAGCACCAGTCGCCTTCGCCGCTTTCCGCCCAGACTTTAGTCAAGGAGTTAAACATTGCATCGTGTCTATAACCAATAGAAAAAGGGACGGTAACCTGTGAGCAAACCTGTGCCAGAGCTCTGAATTTCAGAGAGCCTAACTCAGGTTTCTACACAGGCTTCCGAGCCCAGAAGCAAGGAATTTCATGTAGAATTTCGTTCCCATTTCCGTTCACGAATTGAAGTAAACTCCTCGAAAGATCTTCTGAACAAATGCGTTCCCTTCCGCGTTCGCTTCCGAAAAGACTCCACCATCCGCGGACGCGTCATCCAGTTCTCAACCAAGAACGAACTGAGAGTCTACATCGAATATCCAATCGGTAAGCTTACGTAATGCTTGAAACGTCACCCGGTGAAATCGTTATCGTCATGTTTTCGAAAGCCGCGGTAGATGCGCATCAAGATCGACCTTATTTCCTAAACATCTCTTCATAATATTTTCGATATTAGAAAAGTTTCGGAAATAAGGCCTAAAAGTTCGTCTTTACTGTAAAGATTATACACCCTTACAATCTTTGCAGCCCGGAAAGGGATCGACAATCTTCATAGAAACCTGAGTCAGGGTCCTGAAAAAGCTGAAAAGACTATAATTTATAAACAGATTTAGATTCTGACTCTTGCTTTCATTTCAGGACCTTGACTCACTTTTACTACAGATTAGGTGTATATTGTTGAATATTAAACCTCTTTTGTTGCCAGAAAAATAAGCGCCGCGCTACATTCTGTTTGGCCTTTTGTGTCTCACGACAAATGTCTGCCAGAATTGCACTAAATTAAGCTTGTTTTCATTCAATAAACGGCCAATTTATCGATGAGGGCGTACTAAGCATTTCAGTGTTTTTATTTTAAATACACTCCTAACTAGCGCTTTCCTGGCCTCGCCTTCTAATAATTACAATTATAATCGTTTCCCCGAATACAGAATTTCTTTGAAGACAATGAATCAATAAATTATGTCTAGGATCGACGAAAATCTTCAAATCTGTGCAAACTGTCGCGCATCAAATGGCCCTAGACGCAGTCGGCGGAAATATGGAAAAGATGACTCCCATCTCTGGAAACGGATACAAGGACATCCAGTATGAAGTGAAGCACAGATCAGACGACTGGCGGTTGCTAAGTGATCTGCTACCGGAAGGAGTGCGTCGCTTCCAGGACCCAGTCCAGCCCGAAATGCTCCCGACAAAATACTCGGATCCAAACGCTCCCACGCCACCAGTCAAGGCGGAGCCAGGTGACTCAGATCAAGGTGAATACATTTTTTTAATAGAACAGAAAAACTTTTTTCTTCTTAGCATTCATGCATCTTACTTTTGCAAACAGACAAGTCCTAGTCTAGCACATTGAGGTGGCTCTAAAAGTAGAATAGAATCGCATGCCCTATAGTTTCGCTATTTTCGAATTTTGAAAACGAACGTTGATTTCAGGCTCCGACAACGAGATAGAAGTTGTCCAGCCATCCCCAGCGCCGATCAAACGACCGCATCACAGCAGCGAAGACGGGCCAGAGCGAAAATGGGCAAGACCCGAAGACCGTGACCCTGTAAGTTAATGCCCCTGTTTCAAATGTCTTTGGACATTTGTTCGTTGTTGTTGAAACTTTGAAAGATAAGCGTATCTAACTATTTCATGTAGCGAGCATCTGCTTCTCCCAAAGCGCCGCCATCACAAAAGTCCAACTCGCCTCACGCGGTAACTCTCCCAAAATCATTGTCAGGAAATGAATTCGAATTCTAGAGCTCTCCGGATGGCAACATGAATGGTCGAACTGACAACGCCCAGCTGCTCTGCCATCTTTGTAAAAATCGCCTCGAAGCTTCTCATTTCGTCCAGTGCCCCTCCCAGCAGCTCCACAGGTGCGTCTACTTGCCAGTGCTGATTCGTGTTAACTTTTTCTTCCTTCGTAGATTTTGCTTTCCGTGCTGTCAACGGACGATCCGCCGTTCGCTGAACGAGAATCCGACGACAGAAGTGTTCTGCCCATCTGGTGTGCGATGTGCCATTGCCGTAAGTTTCTATAAGATATGAATCTAACACGTGAGCTTGGGCGACACTTCCGCTCACCTCCTCCCAGGAGAAAGAGGCTTTCCAAGGCGTAGAAATTGATCTTCTGAGTTTCGATTCCTCTAAAAGGAAAATTGTTAAACGTGATCATTTTTTGTTACTCAAATTTCGTTACTGGTGATTCAGAAGCATCAGATCCAGCTTGAGGATTTCCACTCGCTTTATCTGTTCTTGCGCAACTCATTGAATCATTCAGGGATCCCAAAATCCATGGGCCTTCATGCAAGCGGAAATCGAAACGATCCTGGACCGAGCGAGTCATGTGGCCAGCTCTCAACCCTCGCTGACAAATGGCTAAAAACAACCTCCTGGTAGCTTCAAAATCTACAAATACCCAACTGCACTCAGCCTGACCGACTGACGCCTAAAAAATACCGCAGCCGACAAAAGAAAAAAAGAGATATTCTAAATTTAAATGTATCTAAAAAGCCCCTTTTCATTCACTCAAAAAAACCGCGCTATTTCCAAACAGAATTGAAGTCGCTTACTGTAAGTGTTACGTAACTTCACGATGAACTCGGTGCTGCACACGCCTTAGGGCATGCTAGTAAAAAAGATAACTTTCTCACTCTGTCCCCTTCTCTCTGTAGATATATTTTTCTGTTGCATTTTTTTCACTTTTGAATATTATTATTTTAAAAATAGGCGTTTTATTCACCGCTGCCAGAAATCTTTATTCAAAGGTGTACCCTACTGATACGGGAATAGTTTGATAAGAAGAACTAAAGGACCCTATTTTTTCAAAGTCGTTTTACGAGGTTCGTAAATATCGATTTTTCGGGGTCATTTTCAAAATCCAGCGCTTCTCGAAATTCAGCTTTATTATTTATAAATATTATTTATATATCAAAACTTATTCTATACAATAATGTATCATATGCATTCAAAAATGGTGCCACGCTTAGTAAAGTTCAACTTTTCTTGTTTTGTTTATTATTATTTTGTTTATTTCGGTAGACCACCTCAAGTTCACTTTCAAGTTGACTTTTTTAAATGTATTTTCTTTTGTAAAAATATTATATTATTGTGTTAATCTGATTAATAAAATTATATTTCCACTACTTCGCTAGTCCCATTTTTTGTTAAAGCAATTGTTTGAAACTTCTTTCTGGTTCAAGCCAGCAATTGAATTTATTTTCTTTGTTTATTATTATTACTATTTTTTCTTCCGGAAATGAAAATAAAAAAATCATCCTCTTATCCGTCTCAGTTTCCTTTTGGGCCAATTTGAGGAAAATCGTGAATCACTAGTTTGATAATATTGAAAATAAGACCAAATTAAAAGATTTTTAGAGTACCATTTTTCATATTCGGTGGATTAATGAGGGTATCACGATGATATGAGGTCAGATCTTGGAAAATTACTTACTATCGCTGAGATAAAGCCCGAAATTAGGAACTCTTGTTCATAATTTCGGACTTCATCCATGCGATGCCCTAAATAATTTTCAAGATATGATTTCATATCACTGTGATAACCTTAAAATTGCGCCTTGAATATGAAAGATGCCACTATAAAACTTTACAAACTTGAATTTCTTTTTCAGTTGGAATTTTTACTTGAAAATTCTTGGAAATAATGAAAAAGTTTCTAGAATGTTCTCTTCAACTGAGTTTTTGAAAAACAAGGAACCTTCAGTTTCAAAAATTCAAAAAACTGAAAATGCCGGAAAGAAAGATGCTGGGTGTCTTCTCCGAGATGGCGAATAAAGTAAAAGAAAGGAATGCTCAAAGAAAACGGGCAAAAACGATAGGAGACAGGGCGATTCGGACAGAATTCGTGCCTGATGAGTTTTTTCGCCTCCCTCCGCTCAGGTAATTTTGAGGCGATTTTCCCAAAACGCCAAATTGACTTTCAGGGACGCCCATCCAAAAGAAGAAAAGCCCCTCTTTCTGGCCAAGCTAAAATACTGCAGTCACCTGTACTCCTTCGAATCCAAAGATCCGCAAACAGTGCGCAAACGAAACAACAAATCTGAAACTGTAATGGAACTCGCAGAATACGCCAAAGCGTCTAATTTGATATTCGACGAAGAAATCCTTCCAGAATTTATAGAAACGATCAAAGTCAATATAATCACAGAAATTCCTGAATACGATGACGACGACGACGAAATTTTTAAAGTAAGAACCTCCTAATAGGGGCCCTTTTTTATTCTTGTCGTTTAGGAACCACAATTCGAGCACATCGGCTTCTTCCTCAACATCCTGGCGCTTTTCATGGGAAACAAGCACATGAACCCAAAAGAATGCAAAAAATACATCAACACATCATTCATCGACGACCTCTTCAAACAACTTCACCACCCGGACGAGCGAATCCGCGAAGGCATAAAAACTATCATTCACCAATTCTACGTTAAATTCGTCGGCCACAGGACTTACATTCGCAAGAGCATGCGCAACTTAATCCTCACCTTTGCGTACGAAGATGAAAGCTACAGGGGCATCCCGCACATACTTCAAGTCCTCAGTAGCATCGTCAGCGGGTTTTCAACGCCACTAAAGTATGAACACAAGGTTCTTCTTCTCAAGGAACGGTTTTTGAATAAAATTACCGCGATTATTATTTCTGACGAATTTTCGCTAGAATTCCACTCGTTACTGAAGAATTGCTGCAGAAAATTGAGAAGCTGCTTGCGGCTTCAAGTAAGAGAAAATTGAAGCCACGCGATTTAATTTTATTTTGCCCGAATGTTACCCAAGAAAAAGTAATTTTTTGAATGTATCTTTTTCTCAAACCATCGTAAGGTTCTTTTACCGCTTCATGCTTCGACCAAATTCACCGACTTCTCGTCCAGTATGAGTTTCTTGATGATCCAATACGCGCAAAAAGATCCCTCTCTTTCAGCCATCATTCTTCATTCAATCCTACGAACTTGGCCTCTCGCGAATACTCCAAAAGGTAAATTTCCCACCTTTTTTTTCTTCATCACTTCTTATTTAGAACTTGAACTCCTTGAAGAAGTGGAAGAAATACTGAATAATTGCGATGCAGATGTTTTCCGAGAAGTCTGTCTACCTCTCTTCAAGCGGCTGGGAAAATGCATGGGCAGTCAACATTATCAGGTAGAAAAAATGTTCCCAACCTTGTTCTGATCTTGTTTCCCCAATTCAGGTGGCGGAACGGAGCTTGTATTTCTTGAACAAAACCTACATCCTGGCGCTAATCGAGGAAAACATCCAGCAAGTTATGCCCGCCATTGTACCCGAATTAGTTCAAACCGCCTCGAATCACTGGAATCATTCGATCGTCCTTCTCGTCTGCGAACTGCTCCGCTCGCTGATGGAACTCGACGAAGACCTGTTCTCTGATCTCGTCGCTGAATTAGACCAAGAAGCAGAATCGACCGTCTCGATAGATTCGTTGGATCGGCGCTCAACAGCGAGGAAAACGATTCAAGCTGGAATGAACCGCGCTTCCGACTTGAAAAAGCGAGAATCAGCTGCTTCTCTCTCGCCAAACAGGAATTCTGGTTCGAAAAACGACAAATACGTTCGCCGAAGTGCTGGCCGGCAGAAATGATTGATGAAATTTTATTTACCTGTATATTTATTATTTTATTTTTCTATTTTTGTACACTATTTTTTCAATAATAAAAATTTTTATCAATTTTTATAAGATTGTATCTGATTCTGAATTGAGAATTTCCAATGAAGCTGGTTTTTGTTGCAGATGATCTTGGTTACTGCCCAGAGCGTAGTCGGGGGATAATTGAACTTCTTGAATCTGGGTTAGGGTCAAAGATAATAAAATAGGGGCAGCCCCTTTGATGTCCATTTTGACCCACTGAATAGTAAAATTTCGCGGGCTTCGCTGATGGTGAATGTTGAGCAGTACTCGCTAGAAGCTGCAAAACTTTGCCTGCCCTTTAGAGATAAGATTGGGCTGCATTTTAATATCACGGAAGGAGGGCCACTTTCTCGGCCTGTACCGCAAACTCTGGTTGATAAGGAAAACTGCTTCTTAGGAAAGAAGGGCTTCTGGAGCGCGCATGATAAAATGAACCCGGAGGAGATTAGGCAAAGAGGGATTTCGATAAATTTCAAGGAAACTTTTTAAGAAATATTTATTTTTCTAAATCCTTGTTTTTCGATCAGAGCTCATCGCGCAGATTAAGCGATTCAAGGAGATTTGCGGCTTCTTTCCTGCGCATGTGGATGGACATCAGCATGCCCATGTTGCGCCCAATGTTTGGAATGTTTTTATCGCGGAGCTTTCCGGCTTTGGAATTAAACTCACCCGGCTGCCGATTGAGATAGGGCTGGAAAGCCACTTCGCTGAAAATAAACTCGGCCAAGCAAGGAGCGTCTTTTATAAACAAGTCCAAGATTATGCTGAGGCGGCGAAAGGGACCCTGCCTGCAGACATCAAAGAAAAGGCACACTATTTGTAGTTTTGCGCAACACAGGCTTTTTGAAATATAATGCGTATTATGTGCCCGATAAATGGCCCTCCCATTTGTAGGACAGGAATTATATTCTTCTTTTGAAGTACCGTGGTTTTCCGTTTTAAGAGCGCCCACTTTAAGAGCGTTTTTGCGTATATTTTGAAAATGTTGTCATCTGCCAAAATTCCAGTTTAAGAGTGTTTTCGAAGATTTTTATTAATAATCAAAAAATTTTCAGACTTACAGTAAATCATTTATTTAAAAATTTTGAAATCTTCGACTGTTTTTCTGGCCATTTTGAAGTCGAATCATTCGCAGTGTCGGCACTCTCTATCTCTTGAACTTGAGGTTCCTCTTCAATCTCCATCGGGGTCGCGGCTCGTGTTTTATCGATTTGAAGCGCCAGAAAATGCTCGACCAGCTCTTCCTCGTCTTCTTTCTCCAGCAAACTTTCCAAAACATCCAAGTCCTCAAAATCTTTAACAGCTCCTTCGAATTCTTCCTCCTTGATCAGCCCAGTATTGATCCAAGAGCGCTTGAAGATTGCTGGATTCATATTCATGAAGATTTCGTTCGCTTTGTTCACTAGATCTTCCTCCTTGATGTTCAGATGATCATAATCGACGATGAAATCGTAAAGAAAACATCGGATCTTTTTTTATTGTAATTGCAGAACACAAGGTTGACACCGGGAACAACACACCACTGTCATCCTACCTTGATTGAAAAATTTCCAATATAAGAGCGATTTGAGCGAGGCCTGTCATCCAAAAAACGCTCTTAAAATGGTAAACCACGGTAGAAAGACAAGTGTTTTGAATAATTCTCTTACTAGGGTACACAGTTATGGGACAAGATCTTACGAAAGAGAACATAAGAGATGCTATTTCCAAGTCAGAGTTATAATTTACCCACTCAAAATTGTAAAATTGTTTCTTGAAGAAACATGAATTAAGTTCTTAACAACTCATCCCACAGCTGCCTGACAGTACAACTCACGTTGAAGTGATGACTCACCCTGGTTACTGCAGCGTACCAAATAAGGGTGGACTTCCTGTTCCCGATGATTTCAGCCTCAGCGACGATAGATTCTTTGAGTTATCCCAATTGAAGACTTTCCAAGAGAATTCCGATTTTTTTCTGAAATGAAATTTCGGACTGTATTTCTAGAATCTTTACATGGATGGTTTTAGACAACATCTGAAAGGATGCTGGAACGGATCGGGCGTCAATTGATGGCGGGTCGGGGTCGATTGCGAGGCTTGGCGGAGCGAGTCTTCGTCAACAACCAAATTGACTTGTCGCGAATTTCCACCTTTGGCTTCGACTACGATTACACCCTTGCGGAGTACAAAGGTAGTAAATTCAAAATTTCATTTGAAAGTTAAAATTGTAAAAGACACAATTTAGTTCCAACGCAAAAGTTCATCTTCGACACCGCTAGAAATCGCCTAGTGAGCAAGTATGGCTTTCCGCCGAACATTATGAAGTTGGATTTCAATCCCGATTTCATCATCAGAGGACTGTTCTATGATCCGAAGAGGTGTGTGATGATGAAGCTTGATTCTTATTCCGTCATTGACGACAAGGCAGGATTTTAACAATTGAGAGAAAAGCCGCGATTCTCATTTCTTACTGACTAAATTTCCGGAAAGAGAATCGCGGACCGATTCGCGGTACAATGCAATTGTTATAATCTGTGAACAGGCTGCTTTTCGCGGACTAAAAGCATTAACAGAGAGTGAGCTCGACGAACTGTACTCAACAAGACGAATGGGAATACACCGAGTAGATCCGAACTTTGTCAAACGCGGACGTCAATTTTATCAAGTTCTGGACGAGTTTTCTATTCCCGAAGGATATCTTTTTTCAAGGAAAGGATCATTTTGAGGAGAAAGAGGAAAGCTCAAATTTCAGAGAGTGATTCTATAAAAAAGCGTATATCAATTTTTCGAAGATAATAATCTGCGCTTCGACCCGATTCTAATGTTCAACGCGATCCGACAAGCCATCGCTGATGTTCACATTTCAAGAACTCTTTACCACGAGGTTATCAACAATTTAGACGAGCATCTGGAAAAGAACTCGATGCTGAACGTCATTAGGTACGAACGCGCCTCTGTTCTAATTGACCCTAGGTGAATTTAATTAGTTAATTAATTCAGTCACTTATCTTCATCAAAGAAGCTTTTCGTCATTTCGAACTCGCCATTCTGGTTCATTGACGCTGGAATGAAGCATCTTGTGGGAAAGGATTGGCGTGACGCCTTCGAAATCGTCATTACTGAAGCAAAGAAGCCGTCGTTCTTCCTTGAGGATCGACCGTTTTTGGAAATGCAAGATGGCTGCAGAAATGGGAGAGCTTCGTTTGAGAAGAAATCGAACTGGCTAGCTGCGAATAAGCTTGAAAAGGGAAAAATCTATTATGAAGGCTCGCTTGCTGAATTTGGTCGACTGACGAACTGGGATCAGAAGTCTGTGCTTTATTTTGGGTAAGATAGAAGATTGAAAATTTAATCTTAAATTCGCTAGTGACCAAGTAAATGCGGACTTAGCCGAGCCAAGTCTTCGATTTGGCTGGAGAACTGCAGCAATTATTCCAGAGCTCGAAAAAGAAATCGCTGTTTTCGAGGGTTCCAAGTTCAAGCTCCTGGTTCATCGACTCAATGAGCTAGAATTCGAGTATCACAAAGTTGCTGACCGAGATTCTTACTGCGGAAGCGCCGCTCAAAAACTTCTCAAAGAAAGAAGAGACATCAAAGTAAAGAAAATAATTTTAGAGAATCTCCTTTCGAAATTCCCTTTAGGATGATTTGAAAAAAGCTTTTGCTTCACCATTTGGCTCGATCTTCCGCTCAGATCTTTCAAGAACCCACTACGCCCGTCAAGTCGAGCGATACGCCGAGTTGTACACTTCTTCAATCCGAAATCTGGACCAAGTAAATCTTGACAGAACCTTCTTTCCTCCTCGACTGACGCTCGGCTACGATCACAGACTCAACTCCTTGTGGATGCTTCCTGACGAAGAACTTTAGCGAGCGTAACCAACAAGTTCCTACCAAGACAAAACTATCTATCTCGTTACCTTTATTCTTCAAGCTTCCTCTCTTCTTTTATGTTTACATATATTTAGAGTTGTTTTCTATCATTTCTACTGATCTTTTCTGTAATTATTATCTTATCTAATAAACTATCCAATAAAATTTAAAAATGTTCCTTTTTCAGTAGCATGGAAGTTGATTTTCCCGTTGAAACGGCTCATCAACAAAGTACCGACGATCAAATTGAAGCTCAAAATAACAGTGAAGAGACAGATCATTCATTCAGAAGATGCCAGTCTTCCCCGCATATTGAATTGACAAAGAAGCGAAAAGTTCAAAAACGCAAGCAGAGGAGGGCTCGGAAAATGGCCCTGGCATCAGGAGATGCACAGAATAAAACTCTTCCATTCAAGAAAAGCGCGCTCAGCGATACAAAAGGTTTCTTGCTTTTGTATCGCAAGAGTATGAAAAGGGCAACATCAAACTTCATGACAATGCAATAGGGAAGGCTGAAAAATACATCAGAAAGCCATGTCTTAGAATTTTTGTCAGCCTTCGAATAGAAAACTTGAAAAGTCACCTGGAAAGTGGCTTGAAAATGGAAGATAAACCGACGGCAGAAGGAGATGACGAAGAGATCATGAATGAAGTGATTCGAAAAGCAAGAGAATCAATCGAAGGAACTTCTCCAAGCAGCAAACCTCTGCGAAAGAAACCAATAAAAATCTCCAAGGACGATCATGCAGTGAGAAAAATGTGCGAGCGCTTTAATATCAGGGCCGAGAGGTTCTGTCTAAAATATACTCCTATAATTACAATATGTTCAAATTAAGGGAAGAACCGGATCCTATTCCTGATGATTTTGCGAATGATCCAGAAATCAAAAAGTACTGGAGTCAGCGATATCGTCTCTTTTCGAAATGGAATGAGGGAATCAAGATGGACAGAGAATCGTGGTTTTCAGTCACTCCCGAGCAAATTGCACAGCACATCGCTGGTAATTTTTGGCGGGATTATCTTTCTCTAAGGAGATTTTTAGAGCGATGCCGTTGTGAGCTAATAGTTGATGGATTCTGCGGAGTTGGAGGAAATGCGATTCAATTTGCTTTTACCTGCGAGCGAGTTATTGCGATTGATATCGACCCCGTAAAGATTGAAATGGCAAGACATAATGCAGGTATTCAATTCATTTTTATAGCAAACTTTACCTTTCAATCAAGCCATCTACGGAGTTGCAGACAGAATCGAGTTCATCGTCGGAGACTACTTCAAAATCATTCCGTTTCTACGACCCGACGTTGTCTTTCTGTCTCCTCCCTGGGGCGGCCCCGCTTACTTGGATCAGAAAATGTTCGATCTCGAAAATATGGGCGGACTAGATGGCGTGGAAATCTTCGATGCTGCGAAGAAAATAACTGATAATATTGCATATTTTGTCCCTCGGTAAGAGCAGTCTTTGAATCTCTGATTGAAATTATTTTTCAAGAAATACGAATTCTGCGCAGTTAGCGATGCTCGCTGGAGAAAATGAAAAAGTCGAGATCGAGCAAAATATGCTCAATTTCAAGACAAAAACCATCACTGCCTACTTTGGAGAGCTCATTGTCGAACATAACGAGAGGTGCAAGCAGAAGGTCGCGAAGAAAAAAGAATGCAAACCGAAAGAGGAGATGCTCGATACCTTTGATGAACCTGTAAATATGGATGTATTTGATGAGTTCTAAAATAAATGATTACTCCATCCAATCATTCTTATGTTTAAGAAAGACTGGCATTTCACAGGCCTATGCAATCAACGAAGACAACGGTAATGAGAATCTTTTTGCACTCATTAAAATACAAATGCAAAATTGTAGGGCATTATGTCAAGCTTGTAGACTTCATAAATTATCTAGCAAAAGAATTGTCTGGCAGAAATAGCGGGAAGCGCTCGGGTAGCATTCTAGTGAAAATTTGTGAACAAGATGATGCAGAAAAGAATTATAAATCATAGAGATCTCCCTATTTTCTGTGGTGTATTAATCGGCCTGGTACTTTTTGCTTTCATGATGGTATGCGTTTTTTAAATATCTTTGCCTAAAGTATTCAAGTGGAGTTTTGGAGTGAACATCGAACTTGAGAAAAAAGCAAAACAAGAAGAGAAACAGCGGCGAAAATCTGAGAAACTTCGTAGTCAAAGATGGAGAGATGTTAATAACATGCGGCGGAAAAACTCGAATTACAATAATTACATTATCATTGAAGATGATCACTAGTATTTTTATGTAACAAACACAGAATAAAAAATATAACAACCGCTCAAAATTCCTGTCTCTGTTGAGAATAAAATCGAGGAAAATATTTGAAGCCAGTCTTGTTTTACAATTTTGATTCAGTGACCTAGAAAAGCAGTCGATAAAAGTTCTAATTTCAAGGAGTTTCGACACGCGCTATAAATCACGATTCTGATCGCAGAAGAATTTCATGGACTGTAAACTACTTTATCAGAGCGTAAATCTGTTTCACCAGCAGGTGGCTGCCCAACAATTCTGGTATAAAAAGAAGGACTAGGCACAAGGAACTCATCAAATCATCTTTTCGCTTCTTTTTCATCCACAAAAAGAAACACAGAGACAAACAAAAGACACTCAAAATGAAAATCTTCGCTCTCTTCTTCGCCTTCACTGCGGCTTTGGACGAGATGCTTCTCATGATGATGATGCAGCAACAGCAACAAGTCGCTCCGGGCCAGACTTCGCAAATGAACATGATGCTTCCCCTTCTTCTTATGGATTCAGACAACAACTCGACCGACAACTCTCTCGCTCTCATGATGATGATGATGCAAGGCGGCAGCACTTCGGACATGAACTCGATCCTTCCTCTTCTCCTCCTTTCTGACGATGATTCTTCCGACGACGGCATCGACTTCACCAGCTTCTTCCTCTTCTCTTCCATGCTCCAGACTGATTGCGCTACTTCCACTGACGACCAGTTCAACATGATGCTTCCAATGCTTCTCATGGGCGACGACAACAGCACTTCCTCCGACTTGATGCTCATGATGATGATGCAGACCATGGGCGACTCTCCCGTTGGAATGGACAACCTCATGCCCCTCCTATTCCTCCTTGACGACGACTCTAGCGACTCCAGCGACAGCATCCTGCTCATGGTCCTCCTCAACTCGATGACCGGCGGCCTCAACTCCCAGCAAGGATTCGACAACAACTTCAACATGATGCTCCCTCTCCTTCTCATGGATGACGACAGCTCCTCTGACAGCTCCACTGACATGCTCGTTCTCATGATGGCGATGCAATCTCAAGCCCCCAACTCTGCTTTCGGTACCGACATGATGCTTCCTCTCCTTCTCATGGACGACAGCGGCGACAACGAAACTCTTCTCTTCTTCATGATGATGAACCAGGGCAAAACCAAGTGCGAGCCCGAAGTCGTCTATGTCCAGCCTGAGCCTGAAGTCGTCGTTGTTCAACCCGAGCCAGAAGTGCAGACCGTCTTCCGAACCTGGAGAGTCAACGCTGATGGCACCAAAGAACTCATCGAAGAAACTACCGACTAATCGAATTCCCATAAAATCAGATTTCAAGCAAACTGTCTAGCTTAATTTTCCTTCAACCTTTTCCTTATTTATCGCTTAAATTCTTTATTTGATATGCTATTAACTCGTTGAAATGAAAATAAAACAAAAACAATCCAATAACTTTGTCTTATTTTTATAAGAAAGGTTTACTCGAGCGCAGTTCCACAAATTACAGTTTCATAGTCTTTGCACCCATTCTTTCTCCTCGGCGATGAGAGTATAAACTCTGCCAGCTCCGACATCATGATCATGATGATGATGAAAACCATGGGAAATTCACACCTCGGTAAGTGATCTCGATTTTTCACAGAGACATAAAAGTTTATTCTGATAATAATTAATAGATAAGCATGGACAATATTCTCCCATACATGCTCCTCCTAGACAGCGATGACAGCTCAGATTCCATTCTCATGATAGTCCTCTTCAATTCCATGACTGGCGGTGAACTCCAAGCAGGTTTTCAACAACAAGTTCAACATATATCTCCTTCATTTGCATGAAGATGACAATTCAATAAATCAATAGAAAATGATCTTTACCCTATTTATTCCAAAATCTCCGCGAATTCAAGGACAAGGGGCAGATTGTTTTCTCAGCGATGTTGATAAGTGTTACAGTATCTCAAAACGTTACATGAAAAATTGACAGTTAGAATCCGTAGGAAAACAAAATTCAATCATATCGCGGAGTGGGCTAACAGTAGCTGCTACTGTGTGCCCAAATAAGATTATTTCCATTGATAAAAATTACAGCTGCTCCGGGCTCAGCAGTTGAAAACGTGGACCGTTGCGCAATGGTTGTGAGTTAATTTTTGGGTTCATCGAAATTTGAAACAAGAAAATATCAAAAATAGAAGAGGTGCTCTATAATTACGCTCGATCCATGTGGTCTGACCAAAACCGGCGTCATAAAAGCGTCTGAGTTCTTAAAATAGCTCCCGGAAGTTCCTGATTCAAACACCTGTTTGTCGTTATTTGTTTACATCAACCTTAATCCCGTGATTTCAAGTAAGCCCAGATTCTGTTGCTTTTCCGCTCCCAGGTTCCATCGCTCCAAGATATTCTATGTGGGTTAGAGTTTGTTTCTGTGGTGGCACTTTCCATCGCTCTGCGGCCGGCGGCCAGATGTCAAGGTCCAGATTGATTCAAGCGTACAGTCTGACAAGTAGGCGAAAAACTCTTAACCTTGACCAAGTACAGTAAACGTCGCGGCTAGACTTACAAGTTTTGTAGAGACATTGAACCTGCTCCTCTAGTTACAGACTAGATATACGTAAGTTAACTACCTATGCCTAGGAATATTCGTTTTACTCTGTTTCAATCCATTCTTACAGTTTTGTTATGCAATGGAAAGAAGTGCAGAATTGCTCTGAACAAAACAAGTTTAGTAAATAGTCTCGGCAGTAGTGAGGAAATTCAAAAGTGACCTTTCGATAGAACACACCTCTAAAGCTATGGTCAGGCGGATTCTTCCAAAACAAAATTAATCCTGCGAATCAATAAGGTGTATTTTGCAAAAGTATTAACTTTGGATTCTCTTGGAAGAATACAAAAGGGGCAAGTTTGGAATAAGAATGCCGGCATTGAATGTAGAAAGTGCGGTGATTTCAGCTGTGTTTTAGCAGGGTGGGCTTTGTTTAGGCACACATTGGACGTCCTCTTTGCTCGTATAAAAGGCAAAAAACCACAGCTAAAATTTCGGACTATTGATTCGATTTTGACAAGGGCACACATACACAACCAACAGCGAAAGTCACAAAAGTCAAATCTCTGCAAAGTAGTTGAGTAGCGTCTCCGGCAGGTGTCTCTCTCAACTTCTAAGTCGCTCGTACCTAACTCGAGAGCGGGGCCGGCATTGACACGTTCCGTCATTGAACTTGGCCATTTCACTTGAACATGTGCCTTGTCAGAGACCTAGAGAATGCTCACTGTGCAACTGTGCTCTTCTTCTAAGAGAATTATCAGGCCTTCAGAAGAAGGTCACCTTCTTCAACACATTTTTTTTCTCGAACTATTTCAAAAGTGCCTCGTTGTACTTTTTTCTGTGTCGTAGGGATCAACGAAGCTAGGGGTAACGGGTAGGCCTGTTTAAGGGACCGCATGGCGCCTCAGAAGGAACCAATGTCTAGCGCCAATTTCAGCATCGAGACCCTGATGACTTTGACTTGACTTTAGTTCTTTCGTTGAAAATCTTCGGGTTGGAAACCAGAGCTTTCTCGTTCAGAAAGTTGATTTCGTGAGTGTATTCGTCAGTGACGTTTTCGAAAGTATAGAGAAGACCTGAACAGTAAAGAAAAGAGGATGAGAATCATTCGAAGCCTGGTTATGTTCCTAAGTGCAACCTATGGAAGGTAAGCTAAGAAAAGCGAAAGATCTTATGCCAAAAAGCTTATTCTAAAGATAAGATAGAACGGTTTTTGTCTGTCATATGCCGGTAAGTAGCTTGGAGACCTTCCAAAGCAGCGAACTTATGTTTAATTCGCGAGGTTCTAATCCGCGAGGCCAACCCTTTGGTCTACGAAAAAAATGACTCAAAGTAACTCTACTGTACATCTTCTAACTGTTTATATTCAGTGATGATTTTGTCAGAAGATTGAATGCGAAGAAGGAGAACCACCTTAAATTTCTGAAAGAGAAGATAAGCGGGATTATTGAATCCGACGAGTCCGTTACCGATGGTAACAGGTCCCGCATTGATCCCCGAAAATTTCAAGCTATTAATCGTCTTATGGATAGTGACCCGAATATGTTCACTAATAATGAGCTCTCGGAGATGATTTATCAAAGTAAGTTCCATATGGTCTTTAAATGATGAGAACCTGCAGTCTTTAAAATCGTCTAAAGCTGATAGTCTAAAATTTTATAGTCTTAAAAGCTTGTGTTAGAATAAAAGAATCTATGAAGCATCTATTGATGATGCAAAGCCCGAATGAATATTTATTCTTTGAACGTCTGCCGGCAATCTTTTACCAATTCAGAGACGCCGGTTATGACGTCGAAGAAAATTAACTTATTGTTGAACCCTTCCATGTTTAATGATGACCTTTCAGTCACCGACACTCGAGAAAGAGAGTGGACTATCAAAATGGCTCCCCCGGGAAGAGGGTCGAAAGTGAAGAACATGCAATTCAAGGTCCAAAGCAAGCCAAGCTACGTCAATCCCAAGTGCTCCAAACACTGCAAAATGAACTTCCGCATTCAGTTTAGTGGAAAAACGCCCTCTGGAGAGCACTTCAGACGAAGTGAAGTTATTGAACGAGAGTTGCCCAAGGTATTTGACGTAGGAAAGCAAATAATATCCTGATTTAAAGGGAGTTCTTGGCTGCCCCACCGATCATTGCCAAGCCTTTACCTCCTTGAACTTCGAAACCGAGGACCCACTCCCCAAGATCTTCGATGCTTACGACAGTGCCGTTAAGGATCACTCGACTGATTTGAAAATCAAAATCAGTCCATTCGGCGGACGTTTAAATGTACATCTACAGGTACCAGCATGATGAAGACTTAATTATTCATTGATGCTTTTGCGGATCAAAAACCTTTTCTATGATTTCGACAGCCTGAAATCAAGGAAGACTATTTGCTAAGCAAAATTTGCTTTGGCTGTTGATTGACGCCCTGTGTATTTACTTTCGAAAGAGGAAAGTTCAGAGCGTCATGCAATTAGTTGATACTCCCACATTAGTTGATGGGAAATAAACTCAGCCCGCCGCCAATAGTGATTATTGTTAATTATATCGAACTGATTTGATTGTTCTCAAAGATGTGACAATATGTTTCGGAGGTGTCGCGGAATTCGCGATAAGATTTTCTGTGACCAACCGATCATTTCTCACGGATAAGTTGTCATGAGACCGAAGAACCGTTTAGCTGTTAATTTTAAGCCGTTCAATCCCGATAATTCTGTAAATAGCAGTTTAAGGACATCTGGGTCGTCGTCAACTACGAGTCAAAGGGCCATCCTAGCAGACACCGTCGAGATACAGCCAAATTTCACGACGACAATAACAGGAACTGCGGCCTTCGTCGTGTTGAAGTTGACTTGGACGAGTGGTATCCTCATCTCAAGAACGTTGTCTATTCGCCCAAAAAATTTACGTTTACATTTTGTGAAGGTAGATCTTTCAAATAACTTTCTAAACTGATCCTTTAAAATAGGGTCCTGCGAGGCCGAGAAACACTACATGGCTCGTAATGGCGATGACCGATTTGACATGTGTTGCCACGCAGTGGAGTCCACCCACTTGGAAATGATGCTCTTCGACTCAAGCGTTGACGGTTATCGCCACGAGAACTCCCCCTCCATGCTGGCTCAGTCCTGCAAATGCTTATGAATAAACCCGCACCCGTCCCTATTTTCATAACGACCTTTTTATCATCTCATCCTTTTTCTTCGTGAGCCATAAATCAAATGCGCGACTCTGACAAGCAAACACCTTCGGCCAAAGTGAAACTTCAGCCCTTTCAAAAGTCACATAAAAAATGATCAAAACCCGAAATGAAAAGAAACAAAAATCTGCTTCGCGCTTCGACCTAAAAGCTTCCCATCCTCGCCCAGACACTCTAGATGGGATTAAGAACAAACGCGTAGAAAATGCAAAACACTTGCTGCTGCAATCATTTTCTTCAAACCCGTAAACCTGAAACTTGATAATTGTCGACAGATCTTACGAAGAAAAGTCTTTTCTTCATAAGATGCATCGATCATTAATGATGGTTCTTTCGGAAATATGCGATTAGAATTGGTACAGGAGCGATTCTTCTATAATTTGGCTAGAATCGGTATGATACCCTAACCCTAAAGCCTAACCCAGGAGACTATGCCCCTCGGCAACCCCATCCCCCAAAAGCCAAACCCAGGGGCTAACCCTACCCCCGGGACCCCCAGTAGGTACTCTCAGCCCCCTAACTCTAATACCTAACCGAGAAAAGGTTTCGTATCGTACCAATTCTAGCTTTATTGTAGAAGAATTGGTCCTGTACCAATTCTAATTGTAACATTCCGTTCTTTCAAATAAAAAAAAATCGAAAATTAAACGAACTCAAGAATCAGGCGCCAAATTCATCAAAAAAGAACCATATTCACCAGGGTCCCTACCGGTTATTTTCCCGCATGCCCACTATCTCGAAAATCCCCTAAATGAAACGAAAGACTGAATTTCAATTTTGGCTGATTGCGTTTGCTCTTTACTAGTCTGTCAAAATTTCCCCTTATTGAGCCTGTATGGTAGTAGTTCATCATCATTCGCCCGCTGTGCTTAGAAGGAATCTCTATTATAAATTTTATAATTTATCATCATGGGTGTAACACTAATCCGATGCGCTTGCATTTAACACTTTTCGTAAAAAAAACTTTGCTTTAGTCCACAAAAACATTTTCTATAAAATGGGCACAACTCACAAACAACTGTAACTGTAAACTGATCGTCCTTATATTTCAGCATAAACTGATCTTCTGATACTGTATTTCCGTTCTAAAAGTTCTATCCGAAAAGATCGTAATCAAAATTTCAAGTTCGTCTTTTTTCGACTTCTGTATTTATCAAGATTTTCAATCACAAAATTAGTAGAAACGTAATCTGACCCGATGTCACTGAAAACTATCCGTAGAGACAATTTGCTGCTTGTTCATTTATATTTATTATTTCTACTTTGGTTGCGTTAGAAATTTACTTTTTGCTTTATTCATTTGTTGAAGTTGTGACCATATCATGTCCACACACATCTAAGAAGAAATAAAAGACAAAATCCTCAAAATCCTCACGAGTTCACTGGCAAGTGATAATGCAGTAGATTACTGTATGATGCAGGCTGGAAAAAGAGTCAACACAGAATATGCTGCCTTCTTTAGTGCTTGATTGATAGTGATAAGCTATTTTCTACCAAATGCACCTTGCTAATCAGAATAGTTTTAGCAAATCGTCCATCACTAGGAGTTTACACTTGATACTCGCCCTGACCAGATTGCTTGTGAACGAGCAAGTTAATTTCAAAAGGACTAGAATACGTTCGATCGGACACAGACTGGTACTGTCCGCCATTATTTGTATTGAATAAATTTAAAATTCATGCATTTTTTTGCACAATTAAGGGGGTAGATATCAAGAATCGTATTTTCTGTCAGTGTTTTCTCAAATTTTTAACATACTGACCCCCTTATTTTTTATGCTCAAAATTTATTTCAGAGAATTTTCTATTTCCTATCGAAGCCAAAAAATTAGATTTCTTGAGCTTTCGAGGTGCTGCAATGCAAATTGTGCAGCTTCGATTGTCGTCAAAATGACCATTTTAGGAAAGTTAGCAATTTTTGACGAAAAATTTTGCTAAAATTTTTTTTGAAATTCGAAATTTCAGCTTCCATAGGCAATAGAGAAAGGTCTAAAGTTTTTGTTTCCAAAGTTAAATAAGGGTGTCACTATTTTAACTTTGGGAAAAAAATTCTGACGGAGAATCCCAATTCTTGATATCTACCTCCTTAATTCTATCGTGAAAATCTGAAAAAAAAAATGCAGTAAAATGAGTTTTATTTATGATGCTCCTGTTCTTCTCTGCCTTATCACTGAGATGAATGTTTTCTTGATTTATTATTCCCGGTTACAGATGAAAGAAGAAACTTATGGGTGACAGGCTGTCACTGACAGCAAAAATTTCCACCGGTGAAAATTAGCCTAATTTTCATGGCCTGGGCAATCTTCGAAGTTCATTTTGGGCATTCCTTAGCTGTGTCTCGATTCTTTTTTCAAGGATAATTTTAATCTCGTCAGAAAATGTTCGTTGAAATTGATAATCCTTTCCTTTCTCTCATTCCAGTCAAGTATACAAACCTTCGTTCGTCCTCCGATTCAGCAACTATTTTTTTATAATTTCATTGAACAATAGGCTCTATGACTAGTTATTCACCGTTTCTATAAGCTTGACGGGCTTCATCATAAACTCTGTGTTCCTCTGGCATTTGTTCTCTCAACATCTGCGCGAGATGGCGTGCTTTCTGTCGGTCAAGCAATTCTCTGGCTAAAAAAATTATATTTATTGAGATGGTTCGAGGTAAAATTACCTTCGTCAACAGCTCTACGCAATCGCCTTTTTCTTGCGACATGTGGCTCCAGAGCTCTCAACAACACGGCCGTGTTCCCACGATAACCTAGTTGCTGCTGTCAAAAATTTTATGAATAATAATCAGGAATTATGTTTGAAAATAAATCGCTTGAAAAAGTGGAAAATTCGACAACTTTTTCCTAGAAAGGTTTGTATTCTATTTTCCAGATAGCGGCGCCTAGAAAAATAAAATTTTTACATAAAAATTTTACATAATGCACACCTTTGTCGATTGCTGTCATCTTCATCGGCGACTGAATTGTCCTCCAAAACATTATCGTTAGTGTCAAGGAATTCCGCTTTTTGCTCCGCAGGCAAAGCATTGTAGAACTCGGCAATGGCGCTTTCGTCGTCAAAGCGAACGCCGATTTCGGTGTAGTCATCCTCCACCTGGTCGTCAACCTGGAAAATCTCCTTCAGCTTCCGTTTCTGATCGGCAGTGAGATTTTCGTAGGAAAGGTTTGTCTCCATCTTAAAATCTTTTTTTTTTTCTTGACGAAGCTTTGACGGTTGCTTATAAGGGCTCAATTTACCGAAGTCTTCTTCCTGTCCAAAATTAAAAGAAAATAAATGAGTCGATTTTTTAAATGAACTGTCTATTTTTTCAATCGACTGTGTATTTTGTATATTTGAATTCCAAAAATTGGTATTCGAATACCAAAAAATAATGTACACAAATCGAGCGACGCCGAAAAAATCGGCCCCCAAGAGTGAAAACCGCGCCCCTACTAAGCCACTCTTTTAATTAGACTCTTAATTTAAGAGTCTCTATTTTATCAGTGGAAAATTATCTCATCTAATGGTGCCTAACCTCGGGGCTCCGCCCTTACCTTCAGTAACCCTTACTTACCCTTGCCTACGGCTTTGGCGGTTGCTTAAAAGGGCTAAATTTAGTCTTCCTTCCTAAGTCTTCTTCCTGTCCACGATTAAAAAGAAAATAAATAAGTCGATTTTTTAAATGAACTGTCTTTTTTTCAATCGACTGTATATTTTTTCAATCTACTGTCTATTTTTTAATATTTAAATAATTTCAGATCATCTGAAACCGTCTATTAGACGATGAAGTCAACCAAGCCATCTCACAAAACATTCCCAGCCTGATAGCTTTAAAAGAGATCGGATATGAAATAAGCATGCAGGGATTCAAGAGAGCCCGTTTCCATGGTGATTTCATTCAATATCTTCGTTGAAAGTGATCGAACATTTCTGTCGAGCGCTTGAAAAATGGTTGAAGCAGTGGGAATAGAGAGAAGTGATACGAACATCACAACCAGATCAAGGCAGAGTGCAAGATCAGGAAGATCATCAAAGTTTTCTAAGGTTTGTTTCTTTGCCTCGCCAAATATTAATTGATTCCAGTACACAAAAGCTTCAGAAGCTGATGATAATGCTCCCAAAAGACCCCAGTGGGACTATGATACAGGATAGTTTCATAACCTTTTCTTCGTATTTTGAAACAAAGCACTTGGTTATCCTGATTTGAAGACATAGAAGACGAAAAAAGCGACTCAGTAAATGAGTACGACAGCAGTTCAAGTGCTCGGCGGCTTTACCAAAATGCATGCAGAATGTACGGAACAATTCCAGTGTCTTATTTCTTGAGGCACAATGAAGACGCAGAGTTAAAACTCGACTATCATCAAATTGGCCCTCTTGGAGCAAGAGCGATCGCTGTTGCTTTGACTTGTAATACGAAGATTCTCTCTTTCTCCGTCAGAGACAACGGAATCGGATCAGAAGGCGCTCTTGCAATGGCTGAAATGCTAACAGAAAACAACTACATACAGTCTCTCGATCTTTCCGAAAATGACATCGGCAAACTCGGTTCAGATGCAATCTTCCTCATGCTCGATTCGAGCAGCTCGAAGAAAATACGACTCTTGAAGACGTTATTCTAGAAAAGTGCTATTTAGGCAATGATGCTATCCAAGGAATGAGCAAGGCTCTTGCTGACAGCCAGAAACTCACGACGTTGAATCTATCGGGAAACCAATTTAGTGACGGAAAGGCACTTGGTCAGGTCGTTGCTGAGAACGCCTCCTTGAAAAGCATAAACCTCAGGTTCGAGTTCGGATGAGTTATGTCGTCAATAACCTCATTCAGTTGGAATCAGTTCGTGAATCCGGCCATTTTGGATACTCTTGCTGAAAATGTCGCCCTCACAAGAATCGATCTAAGCTACAACGGACTCACCGATGCCGGCGTCAAGAGTCTAATCAACTTCCTTACCAAAAATAATGTCGTCGAACAGCTTGATCTTAGTTGTAACAGACTCGGTCCCAATTCTGCGATCGCAATTGCAGAGGGACTCAAGACAAACACTACTTTGAAGGAGCTCTCGTTGAAACGCAACCCTTGGTTGGCTCCGGGATGCTTGATCATCGCAAAATCGATCGTCGCGAATCTGGAACTTGATTTGGAATTGCTCGATTTTTCAGGTGAACATAAACAAGCAATTAGTTTTCTTATTAATTTAAGATATCTCGGTGTGCAAAGAGTTCAACGAGCTGAATTTGAAAGAAGTCAGGCCAAACATGAAGGTAATCATTGGAGGAACTTTCGTCGAGCGAAAGAAGAAAAAGCCAAAGATGGACCCGATGACAATGCTCAAAACGTACATGGAGCAGCAGAATCTGAGGTAAAATCTAATAGAAAAATATGTCAAATAATTTGACGAAATAAAGGCTCGTCGATTTCTTCAACAAATTGGATACAGACGGAAGCATGAGCCTTAGTCGTGAGGAGTTCAAGGTGCAGTTCAATCGGTTATCCGTTGCTTTAGCGAGATTTTAGAGTGGAATCCAAATGGCAGGAATCCCGATGACTGAGAATGAGATTGAGCTTCTTCTCGACGTTCTTGATAAAGACGGTGACAATGAGATTAACTACAGGTATTGCGCGTGGCGATTGAACAAAAACTAACAACTCATAAAATAGTTTCGCAAAAGAAAAACTCAAAATGACCATCTAACAACTCAACAATCGACTAACAAAAGTGTCCAACTAAAAATGACAGTCCCAGCTAAACAATTCTTCAACTATATTTTTCCACAGTGAGCTTATCATCGGATCGCTGGAGCATAAAGCCGCACAGAAAATTGCATCTGCCTTTGTGCGTCCTGATTCTGACGACAGTCTTGTATAAATACAAAATACACCAAACATGTAAATTCAAATCGACATTCAAATTGTACATATTTTTCGAGTGAAAATACATGTCTCTCGTTTATATTTCAGTTTGAAGGTTTCAGTGTTGTTGACAGGGCGGTCTAATTTGCATTCTTGTAAATAATCTCGAAAATTTGCGAGATTAATCTTCTTTGGAAAAAGATTCTGAGACTAGTCAAGACTGGACTAGTTTCGAGATTAATCTTTTTAGCGAGGGTCGCGTGGCTCGGGGGAAAAATTTGGGTGGCGCTGGCGAGCTGTGAGCAGTGCGAGGCGGCGCGGATAAAATTTCAAGCTGCGCTCCAAGCATGTTTGAGTTTCATTTTTCTCTCGCGCCGTCGGCCATTGGTCCACCAATCACAGCGCGCGTTTCAAGATTATTTGAAATAATTTCGGAACTATTTCGAAAATTTCCCGAATTAATCTTTTTTATTCAAACAGACTAATCTCGCGTCGAGATTAATCTTATAAGAATAAATAAATAGTCTTCGGAAAAAAGACTATTTACAAGAATGCAAATTAGACCGCCCTGGTTGTTGAACTGAAGAATGGTTTTCTTTTGGTCAAGTTTTTCAGAGCATCAGCTTCGGTTTTGCCCACTCGACGAATTCGTCGATCAGAATCGGCCATGCGCCCTCTTCGTCGTAGTTCGACATGGACCTGTCGATTTGGATGGAGAAATCAAGGAGGAGGGACCAGGTGTCTTTTGTGATTGCTCGTTTGTGATTTTCCTGAAGCAAAATAATTGCAAAAAGCTCTCAGAGAAGATATGCTTACTCGAACAAATTGCAGCCAAAGATCAAGATGGGTGAAACGGTTTTTGAGGACTATTTCCCAGTACGCCAGTGCAATGTCGACCTCGAGTGACTTTTGCCCTTCGTTTTTGCCGTACTGGAAAGTGTAGAGATAGAAGTCTTTGTACAAGCGTGGATTGTCCAGTTCCTAAAAGAGTAAGAACGAGAAGTAAACGCCTCTTGTACCTGCTCTAGTTTGATCAGCACTTTTTTGAGTTTCTTGACATCGTCGACGCGTAAACTCTCCATGCCTTCGCAAAACTCTTTCTGTGAAAACTCACACTGCGTTGCCGCCCTTAGTCGCCAACAGAGAACGAGGACTGTGATAGAACACTGAATTCGAGTTCTAAAACTTTGTTCCTTTCCTTCCACTTACAGGGTCTAGTTCAAGATCGTTGCAGAGTTTTTCGACGCCGTCGAGGCCAATTTTTGAGGGATCGCTTGGATCTGAAAAAATCATCGAGAACGAAGAAAGAATTCTTGACTACCTTTGTACTGGTCGTATAGTGCTTTGATTTTCTTGTTGTCTGCACCTGATGAAGAAGATGACCTCGAGGATGATGAAGAACCCGGTTGATGATAGGCAGCTGGATTTGAGAAGTATTGATCTGAGATTTCTCGTTGATTCAAATGTTATAATAAAACGGATGAACTTACCTAAGGCGAGTTCAAGCCGCCAGTTGTGTTTCGTTAGGCAGTAGATACATGTTTTCTCGTTTGCCTAAAATTCATGATTTAACTGCTCTACTGCTAATATCGAATAATTACTTGTGTGAAGCTCTGAAGTTGTCGCACAAGTTCTCTTTCGCGCGATCGCAATTTCTTGCCGTCCATTCTGCGAGTGAATATTTATTTTCGACCTTCGTATCATAATATATTTAGAATATATAATACAGAAAGATCAGAATCGGGAGAAGAATATTTACACGAAAGAATAGTAAAGTGGCAGTTAGTTGAGATCAGTGACTGGCGTCAACTTCAGTCTTGACCGACGACTGGGTCGATTCTTGTTTCACAAGTGTCTGATTCTGATGCTGCCCGACAATCTGCGAGTCTCTCGAGTCGCGAGTGATCTCTTGCTTGACGAGCACTTGGTGCTGCGTCGGAATCTGGCTGGGGCGAGAGCCGTGCTCTTGAGAAACCATCACTTGCTGTGCCTCACTTTTGATGTGCACTTGTTGCTGGTGCTGGTGCCGCATCATTTGCTGGCTTTTGCCGGCCATGGACGCGCCGTAAAGAGGAATCATCGTCTTTAGCATTTTGTTAAGTAAACCCACTTGCTCTTTAATGGACTCTCTGGCCTCGTCTTTCGGTGCGTTTTAATCAGAGCTCGAAAATTTATCAAATAAACACTCCTAGGATCAAGCCATTAGATGCAATTGCAAGTTGATGAAAAAGCATTCCTGACATGTCACCATTGAGAATATCTTGATTAATCTTGCTCATCAACTCCGCCGCCTCTTGAAGGGTTTTGTCAATCAGTTCGGCTTTTTTGAACACTGGCGAGTTCATGTCAAACGCTTCGAGCCAGCTAGTGTCAATTCCAAGTTCTTTTAGCGTCTCAAGAGCTTTGCAATCGATTTTACAATCTTGGACTGGCATTTTGTTCATTCTCGTAGTTTCATGAAGACCTGAATTGTTATAAAAAAAACTACACGAGTTTGAATAAAAAGTTACCATGAGTAACTTTGTTGAGCACTTTTTCCGCCGCTTCTATTCCAGGCTGTTCCATGTCTTTGACAAAGTACTGTATGCTCTGGACATAACTCAATTCCCTCTCTCCGCCGTAGATTTTCTTCAATCGAGAGAGTTCATTCTTTTTCTCGTGTTCTTTTTCTTTTTCCGAAGCCATGTTAAAGAAGTCATTCAATCGGTTATCATAAGTCGGCTGGTAGTCGCCATACGGTCCGTATGTGTAGTAATCGACTGGATCTATTTCCGGCTCTGGCGAATCCATTTTCACGGGTATAATCGGCATCGTGACGCCGGACTCGCCAGATCCATCGTTTATCGTCGTAAATTCCATTTTACCGCCGTAAGCATTCGTTATGTATCCAAGACGAGCTTCGCCGGGATATTTCAAACATAGTCTTTCTCTTGCTTCGGCAGCCGCTCTAGTGACGCTCTTCAGAACATCAACTGCATCCATCGTGTCCGTATGTGAGCATTGATCGGGATTCTCAAGAACTGGTTCGGTTAACTCCATCGTGCCCGGTTTCAAGGGAGCCCAGTCAAGCTTTTTTGGACCGCGAGGAGAATGTGTGGCTCCTTTTTCAGGTATTCCGTCTTGCGTATCATTATCTGAATCTATTGATGGCTCGTTCGACACCTCATTTTCAAGAACACGGGATTCTTCCAACACTTCATCAATTCCATCTGGGTCGACTCCATTTTTCTTCAAAAATTTCGCCGCTCGTTTGATCGTTACGATTCTCCGAACGTCTTTTTCGAGCTTCAACGCGAGCTGGTGAAAGGGTGTATCCGCCGTGTTGTATTTTGTGCAATTGTCCAGCATCAGAATCATATCCTGTCGCAAGGAAATGACGGTTAGATACTCGAAGTTGTCGAGCTTCTGCTTTATTGTTGAGAAATCCATGGGATTGCGAATGATTGTCGAGTACCCAGGCGCGATTGCGTCGGTAACCGGCTCAGCAAAGATCCCATTTGGGTCAAGCTTTTCGAGCTCGCCAACGAATCTTGACAAGACGGCTTTGAAGGCATCAGCATAGGGCGAGTTCTTATCGAAATTACTTTCGACTTTCGGAACTTCTGCTCGTTCTGGTGGAGGCGAAATTTCAGCTTTTGAAATCGGCTCGTCCTCGAGAGATGAGACAGTTTCTGGGTCATCGTCAAATCTTTTCGCTTTTTTCTCCTTCTTGGACTTTTTGATCTTCTTCTCTTCGTCGCTAAATTTTATTGAAAATTTCGACAGGACTGGAGCATTAGTTCGATCTGGCTCCGATCGATAGCTCACCCAGCTGCGCCAAAAATTGCCAAGTACCCCTATCAGCCAATCACAAAACAGGCGCCCCGTTTAAAATGCCAACGGCGGGGGAATTTCGGTCATTCGAAAAGCGCGCGGGCATTAAATTTTACATTTAGGAATTTTGAGAAAAAAAAGAGATGATTACAGTTGCGTTGATATCCGCTATCGCTCTTATTTGCTGTATTGCTCTGTTTGTCATGAGAAGAGAAGGCCTCTACCGTAGAGGATGTATGTACGAAAGTTCGCAAAATCGGAGAAGAATCGACCGTCTCGATCATGTCGAAATCTGGATGGCCCCAATGGAAAAGTCTCATCGTTATGGCTTTTGAAACGATTACTTTTACTCAACTTCCTTTACTGTAATTTTTATCCGCTTCTGCTCATGGTGTAAATATCAAAAAACCCAATCTACCTTTGTCAACTTGTGCCATCAAACCGCTCAATAAACAAACTCCAACTTACCTTCTCCGCTTCTTCTTCTTTTTCTTCTTATCTTTCCCGAGTTTTGAGTAGACATCGTTTTCAGTTTCTTTCTCGCTATTCAGGAAACCGGAGTCCAACTTGAATTTGAATTTTAACCGCGGACGGTCGTCATCATCAGCCATTATTTTGATCTAAAGCAAAAATAAAGCAGGATATCGATTTCATTATCAGGCTTTATTGGGCGAGTTCGGCAAGTTACATGTAACAGTCGCCAAAGAAAGGTCGTTGAAGAAGAAAAGAACAGTGAAAAGATAGCTAGCGAAAAAGACAGATTTCCAGTTGTGAACTTTTGAACTAAGAAGTGGCGAACTTTCGAAGTTAGAATTCCATTTGCTCGGCGCTGGACTCGGTGAGGCTGAACACGAGCTGCTCGGAAGATTTGCGCTCTTGCTCGAGAAATTGAGACAATTCGGGGAAATTTTGAATAAGGCGGATTGTGTCTTGGTAGGCTCGGGTGCTGAATAACACTTGAGTAACTTTCTTTTGTAAATCAAAGTTACCTGTTTGAATCGGCAAGAATATCGGCGGAGTTATTGCTTATTCGCGCCACAACACGTACTACAGCTCGTTTAAGCTCTTCGCTTCGCTCAGCCTCCTGCTTTACAGCGTCTTGCTAAAGTTTTGTTGTGACCCTAAAATCAGAAACACCAGAAAGCACCTTTACACGAAGATTGAGAATTTTCTTCGAATGCTCGCAAAACTTGACGACTCTGGTTGAGAGCGACGCGGGAGATTGATGAATAACTCGCAGTAAAATGAGATAGGCGAGGAGTTTCACATCGTAGTCGTCTTCGTAACCGTTTTCGACGTTGTCGAGCAAAATCGACATGTCTAACTCCTTGTGGCACGAGTCCAGCAACGAGTACAAACATTCAAACGCAGCCTAAAACCCATATATGAGGCAAGAAAACCGAGAAAAAGACTGACCTTGCGGATTTCAAGACCGTCGTCTATTTTATGCTTGAATGGGCCCATCATCACTTCCCTGATCAAATCAGGTCGCACCTTCGTCTCTTTATAAAGCGACTCCAACACTTCTTTGGACAAATGCCGTTTCAGCGCTTCGGCGTTGTTGTGTGCTTCCGAGTTCATGAAGGCAATTGCACTTTTGATCACTGGAATCGTCGGATCTATCGAAAACAACAGTTACATTCTGACCTTTTTGTCACTCCAATTAACCTGAAAGAAGAGCGAGGAAGGCTTTGATATCGAGTTGTTGTAAGTGACAGACGTTTTTGGCAGTAGCAAGTTGAGTTTGGCGAATTCGGAAGTCTTCGCTCTTGCATTTTTCCTAGCAAAAATATAAAAATGCGGTCTTTATAGATACTAGAAGCACCTGTAAAATATTACATAGGCTTGGTTCGACAGATACCAGCCGCCCAAGGCACTCAGCCAGTACATTTCTGGAGCCTTCTTCTGATGCACCAGAGTACTCCTGCAATCTAGCGAATAGGTCTTTGGCAAAGGGTAGTAGAGCATCATCTGACGCGTTTTTCGTTGCTTCGCGAATAGAAACAAGCGTGAGATAGCTAATTTGGGGTGAATCGCTTGATGATAGGGTGTCTAACAGCAGTGGAATGAGCTGAGCGAGATTTCCAGATGTGACGAGGCCGATTCCAATAGCAGCGGACATCTTCACGCTTTCGGAAGCTCGAGAAAACTGCTTTAGCTGGTGTTTAACAACTGTTTCGCCAAGAGGAACCTTGCTGCCTATTTCACCAAGAGCGAGGAGTGCAAACTGCTCGACACTCTCAATCTTTGATGACTCGACATCGCTCATAAACTGCTCAACAACTGGCTGCACAGCTTTCTCGACAGAGTCCTGCGAGTTGAATGCCCAACTGTAAGTGAAGGCGGCGAGGCATTTGGCGGAGTTGGCGATCTCATTTCGGTTCGAAATCTTATTGCTACGTTGATGTTAGTGTCAAGTTCATTAGGAGTGCATGTCTACCTGTATATGGAGTCTGTAAGCTGTCGAACAGTGGGCTTATATCTCTTCGGATAGAACTTGGCAAGCTGAGAAAGATAGAGCTCCAAAGCGATGAGTGGCTTGCCCTGTAAAAGAGAGCTCTTTACAAGATCGAGGCATTTTTGAGTAATCTCTTCGTTTTCCCTCTCTTTAGCAGAGATGCAAGCCGAGGCCAGCTCTATCGCGAGTTGAGCAACATGCAGATCACTTTCAGTAATCAAAGCGGGCACTTCAAGCAATACTTGATCAACATTTCGGAAACCATTCGAAACAAGACTCTTCAGAAATACAAGCGAAAGCGTCCTCAATTGCCGATTTGACTTTCGCAAAAAGGATGAAAGGGTGAGAATCTGCTCGCTCACGTATTTGAGAATGAATGATGAAATGAGGCTGTTTTCAAGCGCTTGGCTGAGAGCTTTCAACGCTGACATGCGTGTCATTTCATTCGACATTCTTTCCGCTAGAAGTCTGATCGTTTTCTCAGTTGAGCTCGATGGGATTTGATTTTTGGACAGAAGGGCACCAGCACAGAGGATGGCAGAGTCTTTGACGTCTTGATCAATGTCCGTCAGTTCTAATTTCTCGAGAGCAGCAGCAACAGTAGGCGAGTTCAGACAAGCGGCGTCTTTTTGAACCAAAAGAAGGAGGACACGAAGACCTTCAGCGGAAATTCGATAGAAAGAGTCTTGGATAGCGCTTTCCAGCGTCGGAACTATAAGAGCCGACGCTGCGGAGGCGATTTCAGGGCTGACTTGTTTCGCGTACTTTGCGAAGAAAGAGAGAACTTCGAGTCTGACTGATGGCGAGTTATCCTTCATCAACTTGCAGATGTTAGGAAGGAGTTGGACGCTCTCTTCGCAAATGTATTTTGGACAATTTTCGACCATGAGAGATAAAGTAGACACGATTGATTTGGCGATTTTGTTCTTCGCGTTTAGCTTTCTGCTCATCTGCGTCGAGAACAAATAAGGGTCGGAGAAGAAGGAGTCAATTTTAGGCCCAGATAAAGTGACGAATGTGTTGAAGGCGTTGATGATTTCGATGAGGACTGATTCCTCTCGTTCTCGCATTCGCTGGAGAAGGAGCATCCCCGAGGCACTCATGATCAAATCCACGTTTGAAACGGAAGAGATCATCGCGTTCAATGCCTTGGCAGCGCTTCTGCGAACCTTCCAAGACACATCTTCGTCGTCAGAGTAGTCTTCTTGGTCCTCGTCGTCTTCTTCTTCCTCCTCCTCGTCATCGTCGTCAAATTCCTCGCAGTAGTTCGGGTCGTGCTGGATCGCCTTCGTCAAGATCTCCATCAGCTGTTCAAGATTATTAATCGCGCCTGGTGCTTTTCTTAAAACCGCTTCGAGGGCAGCAAGGGCCGACTCTCGGAGCTCGTCATCGTCGTCTTCTGCAATTTTGAAAACGATGCCTATAATACTTTTCAGCTGTTGCGTCGAACGCGTCGTCGTAAGTGTTCCTAAAGCTTGTAGAACGGACTTAAGTAAATCTGGCTTCAGTCCACTGCCTCGCGCTAGAAGTTCGATAACGCGGGACAGGACGCTTTCTTGGAGCGCTGGACCGGACGTTTCGATTATCTTTGATAAACTGTTGATTGCTCGTTTTCTAACTGGCTGACGATCATGTCCGAGGTATTCTAGAGCAGCATTTGCAGCTGGCTCACCGAGAGCTTGAAGATGATGAGCTTGCTTGGCGATGAGAGTCGCTAGGACATCGAGAGCATCGGTAATCACTGCAACGTTGTTCCCTCGCTCGCAAAGGGTATTTATTAAACTCGTGGCAACCTTTCGTCCGATTGGCGAGGAAGTAGAGAGCGATTGTACCGCCGATTTGAGTCCCAAAGAGGCAATCTCTCTGATCCGCTCGTCTTTTGAGCTGTTTGGAACTGTCGTCATTCGTGTCAGTTCCATGATGATCAGGTCCTGGGACTTTTCCTTGCATCGCTCGACCGCGCGCTGGACACACTTCACAGCCAGATTTTGAACTTCGCCTGAGGAATCTTGGAGGACTTTGATAATCGCCGAAATCAGCTTTCTTTCGCTGTCATCGTCGAGTTTGAACGAGTCTTTTTGCAATTCGAGGAGGAGATCTGTAGTTGCCATGAAACGAATATCCCTGTCGGAATTCTGCATCTTTTCCAACAGGGTCGCGAACGTGTAATTGACCGTCATTTCGATTTACAAATGCTGAAAAGAAAGCTTTGAAAGAGATTCCCAGAAAGAGATCAGAAATCTGATAATATAATTATATATAATATCATAATTATGATTTAATCCTTGGACAGATTTGAACAGAAGAGTTAACTCAATAAATATGTTCACTAGAAAGTTTCTTAATTTTCAACGACGTTCTTTGGCTTGTAGTCCTTCATGCCAGCTTCTGGTGGAACAACTCGCATGTGGTTGCAATCAGCAATAGCGTCATAAAAGGAAACCTAGATTAGAATAAATGTTTCCAGAAAATATGGGTCTGCTTTACTTTATCGTGGTTGTAATATTCGTGGCTGTTGTAAGCAGTTTCTGCGCTCTCGGGACCAATGTTGTTAGTCTTTGGGATGGTTCGTCCTTCCGGTCCATTCAAAAAGGAACCAGGCATGCCATTATTTGCAACGACTGATTTTGATGAAATATCAATAAGAAATGAATACAAGGAATGAATCAGTACCTCGAGTGACAGTGAAGTTTCTGGCGGCGCTTCGAGCTGCTCGGACCAACATTATTTTAAGTTTCTAAATTTATTCATAATAAGTTATTGCAAAGTCGAGTGTATGATTTCTCATGGCAGAATTTTATTTTTGTTGCGCCGGCTTGGAAAAAATAAGTTGGCGAAAGAGAAACATTTATCATAAGGGCAATATTCATAAATGTCTTAACAGGGGGAATTATTCTATGATGCTTCATACAGGGAGCAGTTTGTTACTTCTCGAGCAAAATTGATCGCCAGTCAGTAAAAATGAAAGGATAGTAAAATCTATGCGGAGATGCCTTCTGCGCGCGCTTCGGTTTCGTAAACCAGTAATCTCCATAGTTTTATAACGAACACTTCGGCTTCTTCATCTAAAAGAGAAGGCTTATCGCTAGCTTGAGAATTTTTTCTTACCTAGAACGACTTGAATTTCGCTTAAAATTTGCTCGGGTTTAGATTCGCTGGATAACTTGTCTGTAATGAATGTGATTAAGGTTGGTTCATCTTCTCCGATAATTTCGTTGAGCTTCTTCTTTACCCACGGGCTGATTCGTTTCTGAAGGACTCAATTAGTTTTCAGTCGAATAGAACATCCTCTCACCTCCATTAGTTCTTTTCCAAGGTATTCCCATTTCATCGGATATGCAAATAGCGGACCTTTGTCAGTCGGTATTCTTTCGATTAGTGCCTAAATGTACAAAATAAACGATGGTTGTCAACCGCGATCGACTCACCTTGACAGCGCGACGTTTCTCGTCCGCACTCATGATTTCACGGGGCTTGGGTGTCTCTCGCTTGCGTTTCCTAGCTCCTGGCAGTGATGGATCTTCGCTAGGCTCTTCCTCGTTGAAAATGGAAGGAACGTTTCGGCTGTTCTTCTTGCGCGCGGTCGGACTGTCTGATGCTTTTGGAATTGAAAGTGCTAGAAAAAGTATTTGAAAGAAGTTTCTATAAATGAAGTCGTACCAGGAAGGGAGATCGGAGGAGCCTCTGGCGGTGCTGGATTGTCTCCAAGGTCCATTTCAACGCCATCTTCGTCGTCTTCATCGCTTGTGTGGTGAACTGGCTTTTCAGGCTCATTATTTTTCATAATCTATGAAGGTGTTTAATTAAAACTTGCTTGGCGATTATTCCGATACCTGAGAAACGAGTGGTTCATCATCAGATTCTCGCCCGGACTCGTCCGATGATTCTTCTGACTCCTCTGCATCGGTGGATGAAGTCGAATCACGTCGTTTACCCTTTTTTATCCTAAAGAAAAGTTATTTTGATCTCAAAGTGGATAGTTGTCTCGTACCTAACATCAGGTTTGATGAATGGCTGCCAGACTTCCTCTGCTTCTTTGATGACTTTGGCGATGGCTCCATTCGGATCTAAACGAAAGGGAATGAAAAGAAATGGTCATAAGTAATTACCTGGATGGCCTTCTCCTGCGAGCTTTTCATGAAGAAGGGAAATCTCGCCTTCCTCTTTCTTCTTGTCTTTTGCATCATCTTCGATCTCTCGCTTTCGCGATTCTTGCCGCTTACTGAAGGCAGAGCCCGATCCGAAGTAGAACTTTCTGTCGTCTTTTTCGTCATTATAGCTTTCGAGGAAATCTCGGAGCCGTCGCGCCTCTTTGGCCATTTGTTTTCTTCTTTCATTATCTCTGTATTCAATTCGATCCCATTCGCGTGCTTTTCGTCGTTCTCGAGCTTCCCAGACTTGAAGTCGTTCTTGATAAGCCGAGTGTTTCTCCTTCATCTTACGCTCTAGTCGTCGCCGCTCGAGCATTTCGTCTTCTTCTTTTCTTCTTTCGAGTGATCTTCTTCTGCGTTCTCGCTCCCTCGATCGTTCTCTTGAATTGTCCCGCGTTCTTTCTCGATTTCTTGATCTAGAACGTCTAGGTCTGCTCCTTTCCTTGCTTCTACTTCGTTTTCTGGTGCGAGCGCTCTTAGAACGAGATCGCGAGCGTTTTCTTTGCGAAGCTTCTCGACTTTTCGATCGTTTTTTCGGCGACTTCGACCGTTCATCTTTTCTTTCGTCCGTTTTCTTGGGCTCGTCAGGCTTTTCGGACTTCTCTTTTTCGCCTGATTCCGGCTTCTTTTCTTCCTTTTTCTCCTTTTCAGGTTCTTTTTGTTCTTCCTTAGAAGCAGGAGGTGGGATATCAGCTTGGTACTCCTTGAGAAGCGCCTTTATTTCGCTTCGAACCTTGAAAAAAGGTGTGATATGCTGACGCAAAAGCTATCATCTTACTTGTTCGTCCTTTTCTCTAATCTGGGGCGAAATGACGTCCATTCCATCAGAATCCTTTTTGAGACCAACAGTAATCTTCCAGTTTTCGATGACATTTTGCGCCTGGTCATCTACTTTTATCTTTTGTGGGGATATGTCTTGTAAACCTGCTACTGTTGTTTCTGTTTTTAGAAATTTAGTCAATTGTACCTTGATACAAGTCAAGCCCGTCCCAGAAGCTGTTTCCCGCAGACAGCAAGTCCTTGGAGGAGTCGAAGTGATCGCAGAGCGGAGTCGGGCTCTTTATACTCGCAGAAGCCGAATCCTTGTTTGAAAGAAAAAAATGAGCACTTCGGCCAGGTTCGAAATTTTTACCTTGGAGTTTGCCATTAGTGCCCTGGACTCGCTTCCAGTTGGTGACAGGGCCGACTTTCATCAAAATTTGCCTAACAAGAGTGTCGGTAACATCTTCGGCAATATTTCCAACAAAGACGGTCACTGGTGGCCCGTCGAACTGATAGTAAGCTTGGCTTACCCGAGGCTGCATAGCTTGCATCGTAGGCATCGCTAGAGTTTGCATCCTAATTGGCATCATAGGCTTCGTTATGGTCCCCTAGGTAGTCTATTTTTTACATTGGTGAAATAACTAAAATTATTGCTAAATTTTACGCTTTATTGCGGACAGTTCCTGCATCATCGGAATCATTTGCACCGTCGGTTGTGCAACAATCTGTGGAAAGGCTTGTGGAATCCCTCCGACGCCGGATACAGGGACCCCATTTTGAAACACCATTCTGAAACGTAATTATAATTATTTCCTCTTCATAAATCTTGGGTACAGGAAGTGCGAAGCAAGGAGAAAAGGTGAGATGGTTGACACGAATCTTATAGATTGCTGCTTCGAGATTCATGATCCTGATTGCAAGACTAAAAAATGCCAGGAGCACAGAGAAAAAGTAAGGAAAGCCGTGGAAAAAAGCAAATCAAGGCGGAGAAGAAGGAGAGTTCTTGAGCCAATAATAGCGGCATGCGATTGTACAGGTACTGAATAAATGGCCATATCAAATTTTAAGCAAATAATCGCCAATTATTTATGGGTTCGAAAAAGTGATTTACTATTGCTCAATGATTTTGAAAGACTTTGGCGTAATTCGTTGTCGCTTTACTCTATTGAGCTAGAAGTGCTTCACAAAAGGGCATAGATCGCTAGTTGTTAAAAATGGGAGTGACTCAGCAGATCGATGAACTCGTCGAGTATCCCACCGAAACAATTTTTATAGAGCAATAAATCCAGCAGATCGTTAATTAAATCAGGAAGTTGGTCTACTAAGAAGAAATTTAAACTATTTTACTTTAATAAGTCGGTAAGTACGTCTGATATTCATGTGTCTTATATACAGGGGAATTCGTTGAATATTTCAACAAAGAAAAAGAGTCTTCCAGAAGAAAGTGGAATTATAACGGACAATGTGGCAAAAAAACTCCTCGGTATAAATGAGACAGCCCGCACGGACTGCCTCTCGACCCTCCCCCAGAGATAAATTTGCTTTTTTCGGCAAACAAAAACAGTGCCTCCGAACACTCGTCGGCATTTTCCAGAAGGACGAGCCTTCACTTTGTTGTTTTCAAGAGAATCAGACAAGAGACTACATCCAAATTTCAGGCATGGACGTTTTCCAAGAATCCCTCAAATACCATGCTGCCGAGCCCGCCGGTAAATTCTCCGTGGAGCCAACGAAGCCGATGAATTCACAGAAAGATCTTTCGCTGGCCTACTCTCCTGGTGTCGCTCAGCTGGGCTCCAAAACCCATTTTGGAAAGATGGGAAAAGATGGGAAAAAGATGGGAAATGATGGGTTTTGAGGAAAAAACCAGACCCATCTTTTCCTTGAAAGATGGAAAATGATGGGAAATGCTTACAATTAGAAAAATGATGGGAAATGATGGTTTTTTTGGTAAAAAGATGGGTTTTTTTTTAATATAAACTTCTTATCTAGAGTTAGGCCAATCTTTAACTTCATGTTTTTCTCTAGAGTCAACTGAGATTATTATTGATTTTCAATAAATTTCCATTTAGCTACTTAGAGAATGGCTCTGCCAGCAAAACGGAAATATGATAGATCAGATCCACCAGTTTTAATTCCTTTCTTATATGGAAGAGAAGAAGGAACCTGGCTACCCTTGTCAACACCCGGCAGCAAGCGAGCGCAAGCTGAATTCGCTCCATATTGCTCGTTTGAGGAGTTAATTTACAACGATGAAAGGACAAGATACGCTCGTTGTATTGACTCGAACTGCAGAAAACAATGTACGAAACCGGTAAATTACAAAAATATCGTCAAAACACTAACATTTTAAAAGTTTTTTTATACAAAAGGTGAAAACGCAAATTACCTTCAAAAGAAATTTGTGGCGCATATGGACGAAAGCCCTCTCGCAAAACGAATTATTATTGTTCGACCACCAGAAAACTCACAAGCTATTCGTCAATTTTTTCGTCAGAACAAATTCTCGGATGAGGAAGTAAAGCAACTACGAAAACTTCAATGTGAAATGATCGCGAGTGGGACTGTTCCCATATATTTCTTTTCAACACCCCAAATGGCAAATTTCATGGCAAAATACACGGAGCTCACCACGAGAAGCGCGAACACATTCGCCGATCAAGTAAAATCAAGCGACGTTACTCTAAAAAAATTGGCGAAGGATGAAGATCAGTGCATAAAAGTCCTAATCCGCGGAAATATTGATTTTATTGAAAATTCGGCGGAGTTTTGCCTTCTTCTCGACCACCAGTTTAATAGATCGCCGAAAGAATCGCATAGAGGAAATAAAAGGCTCGGCCTTGCGATGCAGCACACAAACACTGAGCTAGTGACTTCAAAGATTCTCCTGACTTACAAGCCAATGTTCTCATCAGGAAAAGATGCGAACGTTCCTGAAATTGAGAGAATACTGGAGGTAAGAGACCTTATTTTCAATCGGAGATTTCGATGATATACCCTTAATCTGGGCTCGGAAACCTGGGTAGAAAACCTGAGTCAGGGTCTGAAAGAGCAAAAATGAAAAGCCGCGTAGCGGCTTTTTTAAAAACGAAGCCGCGAAGCGGCTTTTAATTTTTGCTCTTTCAGACCCTGACTCAGGTTTTCTTCTCAGGTTCTCGAGCCCAGCCCTTAATCTTACGACTTATTAAATAATTTAAGGGGTATGGACTACTAAATGGGGTCCGAAGAGGAAACATTCCAGTTTGCTGCGACATGGCAGCTCTCGCAATCGCCAAAAAATTATCGCCACAAAACTACAACGGTTGTTTCTCACATCATATCTCCAACTTTGTCGAGTTAATTCTGACGAACCTCGCCGAAAGAACAAAGATTCACTGGCTAAACGCCAAAGACGAAATCGAAAAATTTGAAAACCTCGTTCAAGGGTCGAACGAGCTCAAATACGAGTCCCGAAACGCCTACTTACGTCGGACCCAGCTTGACGAAGTCGACAAAACAGCTCTTGCCCAAATACTTGTGGAGTGCGAAATTGACTCACGTTACCTGTCAGCCAACGAGATCAAAAAGAAGGCAGAGAAGAAGAAAGCTATACTCAAGTATTATCCGACCATAGAAAAATGCGAAAAGAGTACGCGGTTCCGAAAATATGTCAAATCGCTTATAGTAAGTCAATATTTGACCGCAACCTATTTTATTTTTTAAATTTAGAATCTCAAAATAGCAAACAAGCCTATGGTCGCTCTTGAGGCCAACACACATCCGCAATCGCACCTCGCTCTCGATCATCAGATGAACACAGTCTTTCTCGATGCGCTGATGCCATTTCTTGTCCGATTAGCACAAATGATTTCTCTAGCTGAGTCAGAAAACGTCGGAAGTGGTTTCGCACTGCGAGAATACGAGCTTTTCGGTGCAATCAGTGCTCGTTCATATTACGGAAGCGTCGGATGCCGAAAAGATATTGCGTAAGTAACTGAATACTCGACAAGAATAAAAAATATTTAAGGCGCTCTTGTTTACAATCTGTTATCGAGCATTTGTTCGGTTACTGGGTGACAAACTCTGGCGAAAAGCAAAAATCAACGATACCGAAGCGAATTCACGATAAAGAGATTGCTCAATATTATCTCTATCTTGAGACACATTTTTTAAACTTAGAGGTAAATTAAGATTCCAAAAAAAATAACTCATAATGTAATAAGATTTTTACGGACGAATTGGATAAAAGCAAGTCCGATCCTATGATTTCTACAATGCTGAAGCTTATCGGAACCGAAACTGAATCATGGAAACAAACAGCGCACAACTATATTATCAGTTTGTCAAAATCGGTGTCGAAGCAAACTGGCAGTGCTTCTCAAGAAAGTACTCCTTCTCAAGAATGTACTCCTTCCCAAGAAAGTACTCCTTCCCAAGAATGTAATCCTTCCCAAGAATGTTCTCCTTCCCAAGAACAAATCAACGAGGTGACAAAAGGATTTCGCTCAAAGCTCTGGGCGAAAAAAGCTCAGAAGAAAAAATCGCCATCCAAAGAAAAAACCATCGAGGATGAGTTGGCCTTATATGATGATCTTGATGTCGATGATTTAGAAATATGTAAGCTCAAATTTTCATTCTTAAAATTAACCGAAGTATAGTCGAGGAAAGAATGAAGGCAAAGAAGATTCCAAAACATAACTGGCCTTATTACTTTTCAGCACAGCTGCCTGAGACGATGCCAAAACTAAAATTCGTTTCCAAACTGGTGACAAATATGTTTAAGTGTTTTAGTAACATTTTTGTAGCTCTATCTTGGGTCTAGACAGTCCTCATCTTTACTCGAAAGAATTTTCTCCCGGACTTCCAAATTCAACACGGACGATCAGCGACAAAGTCTGCTTGTGGAGACAATCGAGTCATTTACGAAATTTGGGTTCAACGAGGATGCCACAAAAATTTTCAAGACATAATTTTACTTTATATTTTTATACTTACAAAGCATATTTTTTCAAATAAAAACCCATCATTTTCCATCTTTCGATGGATTTTCCCATCATTTCCCATCTTTTGAAAACCCATCATTTCCAGACCCATCTTTTGTTTTCGGACTGGGTTTTGGAGCCCAGTCGCTCAGCCTTGCCTAGAGATCAACAAAGGAAATGGTCAAAGAATATTGAATAAAAATCTTCATTCAAATCAGAAAAAAATGCATATTCTGAGTTCATCTTGGCAAGAAGCCAGAGCAAGGCCTCGCGCGAATATTCGATTTTGAAATAATGACCTCGCTGCGTGAGGTCATCTTTACAAAGTCAATATTACATCGTTTCTTGAGCGCGTTGCGCTAGTTCTACAGAATTTTATGACCCCTGAAAAGATCCAGCAAAGGCATATGAATACACTAACAAAGGAAACTTGGTTGCTGTTATTTCCAATGGAACAGCTGTCCTTGGTCTTGGAAACATCGGCGCATTGGCTTCAAAACCTGTTATGGAGGGCAAGGCTGTTCTGTTTAAAAAATTCGCCAAAGTCAATGCAATTGACATTGAAGTCGACACTGCTGATCCAGAAGAGCTCATTCGAACGGTCAAGCTCCTCGAGCCCTCTTTTGGAGGCGTCAACCTTGAAGGTTAAGCAGCACTTGCTCTTGACGTCATAACAGTTTGTTGATTTAGATATCAAAGGACCCGATTGCTTCAGAGTTGAGGAAGAATGCAAGAAGCAAATGAACATCCCAGTATTTCATGATGATCAACACGGTACCGCCATCATCTGCTTGGCTGGTATCATCAACGTACTAGAAATCAAACAGATGAAAATCCAGGTTGATCAATAAACGATTCACTAAAATTTATACCCGATTTAAGGACGCTAAGATTGTCATGGTCGGAGCTGGAGCAGCTGGCATCGCTTGTATGGAAATGGTCAAAAACTACGGAGCGGACGCTAAAAAATGTTACATGCTTGATACCCGAGGTAATCAAGAAAGTCATGCCAAAGAAATTAATTTCTTCTAGGTGTTATTTACAAGGGACGAGCTGCGGGTATGAACGAGTACAAAGAAAGACACGCCATTGAGACCGACGCTCGAACGCTTGAGGACGCTATCAAGGGAGCGGATATCTTTATTGGAGTTTCATCCCCCGAGCTTCTTACTAACGAAATGCTTCTTTCTATGAACGAAAAACCTGTTGTCTTCGGTAAATATAAACGAGATCTGAGCAATTTATAATGAATTTTAGCGATGGCAAATCCAAACCCCGAAATCACTCCCGACCGCGCTCACTCCGTAAGAGACGATTGCTTCGTGGCTACTGGCCGCTCTGACTACCCAAATCAAATCAACAACGTCATGTGTTTCCCATTCCTTTTCCGAGGCGCTCTTGATGTTCAGGCTACGTACGTATTATCAATATTAATAAAAATTACTCTCCCTTTCAGCGAGATTAACGAGGCCATGAAAATCGCCTGTGCCGATGCCCTAGCAAAGCTGGCCAAGGAGCCCGTTCCAGACTCCGTCAAATCCGCATTCCCCGCTGAGAAGTCTTTTGAATTCGGCCGAGAATACCTCGTACCAACTCCTTTTGACCCAAGACTGTTGACACACATTTCGATGGCCGCCGCCAAAGCCGCTTGTGATTCCGGAGTCGCAAGAAAACCAATTACCGACTGGGCTGCCTATGAAAAACAACTGCAATCTATGTAAAAACAGAACAGTTCTTTGTAATAAAACACACTCAAAATAATAAATTTGTGATTAAATTAACGGGCCAGTGCCGCATTATCGACCCACTGAAGCTATGCCCGTCTGATTTGGACACTCCGTCCCGAGAGAGTATTTCAGCATAGATCGATTTTTACAGAAAACTGCCAGCTCAACTCCTAAAGTTGTTCATAAGAAGGGGCTGATTTATTTCTGCAAGTGACAACCCTCGTTGATCAATAGTCACATTTTCGAATTAGGGAAACCGTTTCCTTGTTTAGGCTTTTCACAAAGACCCCTCACGTGAACCCCGACAGAATAGATCGACCCCATTGAAGACGCGAAATAAATTAGGAGCTTCACGTGGAGTTGAGTGCTCGGTTTCAGAGAAAGCAGACTCAGCAAAAGATGCAAAAGTGCCCGACTTGCCAAAAGACAGTGTATTTTGCGGAGAGAGTTAGGAGCATCGGTCAGGATTGGCACAAGCTTTGCCTCAAATGCGTCAATTGCAACAAGCTTCTAGGTCAGTACTTTTCGAATTAATTATAAACATAATGATTATACAGTCGCCGGAAAGCATGCCGAACACGACGGAAAACCTTACTGTGATGTCCCTTGCTACGCTGGCCTTTTCGGACCAAGAGGCTTCGGAAGAGGACGTTGTGAATCCCATGTTTATGACTTTCAGAATAAATAAATAGACAAGAAACTAGGAAACTTAGTATAATATTATGTTGATGTATTTTTTCAATGGCAAAAATGTTTTTCAATAATAAGAAGCTCATAAAAATGAGTTCGAGGGAACTATGAGAATTGAAGGCAGATGGTTAGCGGCGATTGAGTGAAGAGTTGAAGGCGAGCGAAGCCGCAGTGATCGAGCTAGGATCGACTGTAATTTAAAAAAATATGAAAGGAGATACTTTTGAGTACGAGCGTATCCACGGCCACGACCGCCAGAGCTGGTGGCAAGGCTTGAGCCGCGTCCGCGAGTGGTAGCATTATTTGGGCCAATGGCTGACCCTCGTCCACGGCGACCTCGAGCTGGCCGGTTGCCGAGATTGAAAAAGGAGGAATCGCCAGTCTGGCGAGCCTCTTGAGGATTAAATCGGTTCTGAGGATTAGTCGGCAGTTGTTGATTTTGAGCACTAGATGGAGCGCCGCCGAAATTGGAGCGGTAGTTTTGATTGAAGTTCTGGTGCTGGGAAACTGGTGGTTGGGCTTGTGGAATTGATCGACGATAGGTAGATGGATGGCGTCCTAGAATAAAAGATTGAAAGTTATCAGAAGAATATTGGTACCTTCGCTGTAGTTTTGACCTGCTTCAATCGATCGGTTTTGCTGCATGTTAGGTTCTGGCAGCGTAACGTTGCTGTTCCCGAATTCGGAGCGCTCATCGACTTCAGATTCAGGCATTTGTGGCTGAGGAGTCGGAGCTGGCCGAGGTGCGTTGTAGTAGTTGATCAGAGATCCTCTTTTAGGAGCAGGCTGATTTCGGACGACTTCTGGAAGTTGACCAGTCGCTGTCTGACGGATTGAACTTTCGCCGAACTCGCTTCGTTCATCGTTACTTTTCAACTTTGTGTCTCGAGAAATAAGGCCGTGAGATACTTGTACTCGAGAACTTGCGTGAATTCGTGATCCTCGATTGCGCATTCGTCCCCGAGAGCTACGGCGAGATGCAGCTGAGACACTAGACTGAAGGCGGACATTGGACATGTCCCTAACGACTTCTGTTAGGACCGAAGAGTTTTCGGATCGAGGCAATCCCATCGATCGCATTGGATTTTCCTGGATTGGCATGCGTTTATTCTCCTTCTCTATCGCAACGGGAGGGTCTTCATCTTCTTCGTTGATGATTTCCGAAGGGAACTCTTGATCTCTGTACCTTGTTCTCCGAACGTTTGAACCAGAACCCCAGCTTCCGAAGTCGACCCATTTTTTGATAAGTTCGTCTCTCTTGGCATCTTCAACAGCAGCATTAAGAGTGTCAGAGTTCAAAATCCCGCTAAAGTTCTGTTCGTGAGCAGACCAATCATTTTCATAAGTTCGTGATTCCAAGTCTTGTTGATGGACGGGTAAAGTACTGAACCGGGAGATACTTTCTCCGTCGGAGTCCCCTTCGTCAGAGGATTCATTCCAACGGTTATGATTCCTTTTTTTGACTTGGATGCATTGATCCTCTTCGTTAAGTTCGAACCAGTCCTTACAATCGTTGCTATAGTACATAGCGCGGACGAAATCGAAGTCAATGAAGCCGGGGTACTCATTGCACTGAGTTTTAGTTAGAGGAGTTATATAATTGAAACGAAAAACTCACCAGCCAAGTGATGGACGTGGAGCTCACTTTATGTTCAACCATTCGCAGGTGGAGTCGGTCCATGATCAGCTTTAGCAGCTGATCAGAATAGAATCGCCGCGCAACCTGTGTTTCTAACTCCGGGTCGTTATTCTCGAAGGTCCGGATAAGATATCGAGCAAAGCAACCATGTTCCCGCATTATCTAATGAAATATAAATTGAAACCCACATGCCACTGTAAGACTTACCCGCTCACCAAGTGGTTGCTTGTATTTGCCCCGTTCAAATCGGGAGTCCCACCAGTATTTGCCGACAGTTTTCATCAGATCAGCACTGCGAAGAGCGTAGAGAAACTTGCGCCCTTTTTCTGGGAGGATTTGCTCGAAGTCTTCGATAGGCTCTTGCCAAGGAACATTTCGATACTTGAACCAGGTTTCTGGGTTCAGTCGCCTAAAAATGTTATACAGGTGAAGTGTGGCAGTGGCTTACGTGATTTTATCGCCGTCATCGTTTACTCGCTGAATCTTGTAATATCGAATGCGTTTGGTCGTCATTCCTCGGCGAAGACTCTTCTGATTGTTTTCGAAGCAGTACCGCAACAGTTCGTCGGCTTCGGTATTCTTCTCAATCTTTTCGTGATAGCTAGCGGGCTTCACCAAAGAAGAGCAGATTTTATAAATCTCGTCGAAAGAGAAAACCAACCACATTGATGCTTCCAAGTGGATTTTGCCGGCTTCCGCGATCTGGCTGATTCGAGCGTTGTCCATTTGGAATCGGTTGACTATATGGCAGTTAAAATTAACGATTAAAATGTATATTCCTACAAATAATGTGGGCCGCAAGGCGGATGGATGCTTCCTTAGTATCTGAACGGGAGCACACTCGCCACATGACCATCTCAAACAAGTCGAGAAGGCAGTCGTCAAGATATTCATCTTCGAGTAAGCGAAGACCACCATACATTGCCTGAATCGCTTCCAACTCTGGAAGCTCAAGCTGCTCCCAGGTCGGGAGATCGTCCATTATCTTAACTGACAGGAGCGTAAAATTTATGCTAGTAAAGTCATAAGTGTGAGCAAAATGCATGTATTTTGCTGAACTTTGGAGCCTTTAGAAAGGTTAGAACTAGTGGAAATTAAATAAATGTGTGAAGGAAATAGGCCCATTGAATATGAAGTCTTTTGGCGTTCGAAGAGAGGGTTGAACAACAGTAGTTTATACAGTTATAGTAAGTGAGAAGAACCCTCGAGCAAAAAAAATTAAATGGGCATCAAGATAAACATATAAAACAAAGCACAAAATATCAGAAATAAATGCTGTTTTTGAACAGTTCTAGCAGAAATCGATAAATATCAGCGCACCTTTACAACTATTACTGCGATAATGCAAAAAGAGGATTGTTTTTCGTCTCGGGCTATGAACAAACGAGTGGTTTGGAGTAGATTGTAAGGCAGCTGTGGTACTACTCTGGCAAAGAGTTTACTATCGCCAGGATTGATAGGCGTGCACTACTGTCAACAGTAAATACGACTATAATTGAACATTCAGGAGAATAGTAAAATGGCACGCAGGGAGAACGATCCTGCTCTGGTTTTTTTTACGAATAAGCGAATTCAGAAGCTACAGGGAGCGTCTGTTGAAGTGTATGTACAGTCATGAGTGAGCACTGAAGCAAATATGCACGATAATATGTAATAATATGGACAAGAAGCTTACCAGTAGATAACTGTGGAGTAAAAATAATAAATGAAAAGCGCTCTGGTGAAGAGAGAAAGAGAAGATAAATATAAAGGACGATTGAACTGGAGAAGCGGCACTTTTTCTAGGAAAAAGCTTTGTTACATAAATTCAGTTGTTTCCGTACGGCTAGGAGTTGTTTTGCAAGCATATCAAGTGCATCGCACAAATATTTCATCGTAATATCTATCGAAGGCTTTTAGAAATAATGATCTAAAAAAGTATCTTACCATTGCGATAATAAGCATCCTGCTCACTGGCTTCTCGGCAGTTTTGAAGCGCAGTAAAGAGCTGAAACACTGCATTTTTGTAGGCAGAGCTTGGCAGCTTCGAAAAGTTGCTCTGGAGGTGCGGCAGAACATATCCTTGAAGTTCTGTGCATATCTCGTCAGTCTGAAAGATGAAATCAAGGAAAACTACAAAGTTGTATGCTTACGGTTAATTTTTCCTTGTAAATGTGGAATTCAAGATCGCGTTTCAGAGCGTTGAAGACTCCCAAACACTCGCTGAGATATTTGTTGATCCGTTCTTGCTGGATAGAAGTTCGACGGGGGAAATCCATTCGCTGAATAGGAGAGTAAGACGGGAGGAATTGAGAAAGGTTGAGCTCTTACCGAAAGCGGTAATGAATGATTTTGGCGTTTCATTTGATCAAAGTTGGACAAAGTTGGGACAGCTCCTGTGCTCGCGTACTGCTGCATGTTTTTCTGAAACTCGGCTCGATCTCTTGGGGCACTCATCCCGTGAGCTTGAGTTTGCATTTGGGTTTGGAAGTAGAGAGCCTGTAGAAGTTGAAGTTGATGCATGTTTTCCTTAATTTTTCATTTAGAGAAGCTTATTTGAAAGCATTAACCTGTTGAGCTCTAACAGTAGCTTGAGCGCGCTCGTATTGACTTTGAAGAATTGCTTGCTCTCGCTGTCGGCGGAAGTCTGCCGGCGAGCTGGTCTGACTTGACTGCTGACTTCCAGAGGAATATTGAGTAGATTGACTGTAGCTATTCGGCATGCTGGACGAATAGATGCTTTGTTGGTTGTGAAGGAGGTAGGTCTGTTGCTGATTCAGGCCGTGGTAATGGAGCGATTGTTTTGTGAAGTTTCCTGAGGGGTTTTGAAGATAGTTGACAGCTCCTGGGCCACTTTTTGGAGCATGCTGAGAACGGACGGGCGCACCGGGCGCACGGTTGAAGTCGTTTTGTGGCTTTGTCAGCGATTCAAAGTTCTTCAATTATCATATCAGTTTTAGTTGTTTGAGAAAAACTTACTGATGGATCAAAAGGATTGAACACATTGTTGTTCTGAGGCTCTCGAATTCCAACACCCAAGGATCCCATATTCATTGTCTAAAAACAGAGATCTAGTAAAAAACCATGGACAATAATAATAATTTTTACTGGCATTGGGAGAAGCAGGGTTGATTTGTCGGGAAAAATACATAAATGGAGGGTAAGGTGAGAGCACGAATTCAGTTTCAGAACGGTTCTAAAAGACTTTTGCCGGGAAGGCATGTGACAGGAGAAGTTTGTGGAAGATGACTAAACTCACAAATGAGCAGTAACTGCTTTAGAAGGAGCCCCTTCCTCCTGGTCCTCCGCCACGGCCGCCACCATATCCGCCTCCACCGCGGGGTCCTCCGCCACCTCGAGGTGCTCCGCCACCGCGGCCTCCGCCTCCTCGTGGTCCTCCTCGACCGCCGCCGCCTCCGCGGCCACCGAAGTTTCCACCACCTCTCGGACCACCACGGCCGCCACGAGGTCCTCCGCGGCCACCGCCGCCTCCTCCTCTTTGTCCTTGGCCACCTTGAGGAGCCCCATAACCGGGATTGGCGTTGCCCTAAAACAAACATGAAATAATTTCAATGATCATTCTTTTTACCCATCTGAAATCGTCTTGCTGCTGAGGAGGTGGTCCCCAGGCTCCGCCGCCACCGCCTCGTCCTCCACCTCTACCACCTCGGCCGCCTCCACCGCGACCGCCTCCTCGGCCACCACCTCGGTCAAAGGCTGGCTTGTTCGCTTCTTCAAATGCGTAGCCGCCGTAGTCAAATGTACTGTCGGCGTTTTCAGGATCGAATTCTTCAACAAAGCCTAACGAATATTAAATTTTCTATTTTAATCTTTTCATTTTTACCTTTTGGTGGAATATCGTTCAAAATCTGTAGAATCTCGCCAAAGCAAGTGGCGATTTTGTCCGGTTGTCCCGCGACTTTGATGAGTCTGTCAGACGAGTGAGGAGCTGGGTCTTGGTAGACGTTGATCTTGCAGCCGGTCTTTTCTCTGAGGCCTTTGATGGTCTCGCCTTTGAAGCCAATGACGGCTCCGGCCTTGGACTGATGAACAAGCATTCGCATGTCAATGTCCGAATTCGGCTGTGCCCGGTTCCGCTCAACCATGTCATCGCGCAAAAGTGTACCAATCTTCTCGATAAGAGGAGTAACATTGCTCTCCTCGCAAACGAATCGCAAGACTCTAATAACTCGAATAAGACAAAAATACAGAAAAAGTGAAGTTGGGGACAGTACGAATCGTGTGAAATTTATAAGAAATGGGTGTGATTGAGTTGGCCTACGGGAATCTAGAAGCGACGGATACGTAAGACAGTAGCCTTTTCCAAGACCGAAAAAAAACAAAATTTGATAGCTGGGGTTGATCAAACAGGGGAAGAAAAAAGCTACTGTCTTTTGGGTTCTTAGTGAGTTTAGTTACTAGATGGGTCGTTCTACCAGGGGTTCAAGACACAATGAAAATAGGGGAGAATTTTCTAGGAGTCAAATCATGCAAAAAACAAACTACAAATGTTTTTCTTTCGAAATTTCTCTTTTGTTAGACTCGTTTCAAATTGAAAACATGACAATTTTAATAATTTGACTCGCGAAGAATCCCGATTGCTTGGGTAAAATCGAGCTGAGTCGCTTCAGGGCCTGATGTTTAGGGTGCCCCCTATTCAAAGACTCCTTGTGTGTGTTTTTGGGTTTCAATTGAGAAATTCCGGCAGAGTTGTTGAAAGATATGAGCTGGGTGTTTTCGTTCATTTTAAATTAAATTACCAACCGCTTGTTTGTGAATATGGGCTTGCAAATGGATTTTGCAGATTTCGGGAAGACTGTTCTTTTTACCTTTCTGGACCTTGGGCATCGGGGACATTCAGTTGGCAAGAGAACTAGAATTTTTTGATTTTCCGCGTTTTTTTTTGTTCTTTTTTATCAATTTATTTGAAAGCATAAAAGACCAACGAAGGACCATTTGTGTCGGGAGGTTTTGGACCAAGCACTTTCACTTAGCAAGTTCTTTTTTGGACCGGACCCAGTGTTTTTATTCAATAATTGAACAGTTCTTATATGGGTGCCCAAAATTTGTCCACCAATTCAAAGATATTTTTTGAAAGTTTTAGTATCGAAATTGGGAAATAAAAATTACATTATATAACTATTAAAAAGAAATTTTGATTTATTTATCAAAAAAATTTAATCAGTCATTTTTCTAGCTCGAATAAACCCTAAACCGGACCGTAAGACTTCTATCAAGGTCAAATTATTGGACTGTTCTTTGTCGCAACTTGCTAAGCTACTAGTGCATTTGGGTGATTCCAGCGTCATTTCCGTTTTTCCGTGTTAAAATAGTCGTCAATTTGTCAATTGAATTTAGTTATATATATATTTTTGATAATTGGTCCTTACGTCTGATCGAAGCGCTTTGATGGTGGTTCCACCTTTGCCAATGACTGCTCCAGCCATTTTCGAAGGAATAAGGAAGCGATGGCCTACTCCTGGTTGGTTTTTCTGGCCGTAGCCGCCGCTTTGTCGGGCGCGCTTGAAGTCGCCTTGTCCGTCTGAAGATTGAAATGAACAGGAGTTTGGGGTCTTCAGGATTACCTGGTGCGTGTCCTCGTTTTCTCCCATCATTGTTGCCTCCGTTGAGAGGAGGAAAGTGACCTGGGCCTCGATGACCCATATTTCTTGGTGGCCCACCCATGGGCAGAGGTCCACCCATTGGCAATGGCCCTCCTACTGGCAGCGGGCCACCAGCTGGCAAGGGCCCTCCGTGTGGGTTGCCCATGTGTCCCATCGGTGCGGCCATCGGTCCTCCCACGGGCAAGGGTCCTCCCATCGGCCCGCCTGGCATCTGACCGTTGAAACCCGGAACTGAGTCGTGCTGAAATCCTCCGTGGTGCATTGACGGGTCCATTTTAATTGATTTAAATTGTCTGAACGAATCAATTTTCAAACGAAATTCGAAAATACGGCTTGTAGAAAAATATGGTTCAATAGCAATTGTGAAAATAAAAGTCTAAAAATATAAAAACAGAAGATTCAAAATTTAAATCCAGATTTGTCAATTCATGCAGCTTGGACGACGGTAAAAGTGTGCAAGTCGTTCTCAATCGTGGCGATTCGGACATCAAGTTCGCAAATCTCTTTTTCCAGCTCGGCTCTCGCTTTTTTCGCCGTAGCCAAAGGCTTGTTATCTACAAGCACAAGTTTTACGAGCTCTGTTTTTAGGGCTTTTACCGGAGATTGTAGCAGCTCGTTCTTCCATTTCGGCTTTAATTTTTTCCAGTTGATTGTTGACATCGGCCAGTTTGTTAGATTTCTCTGCGACGCCCGCTGTTTGAGAATTGTAGTTTTCCTGAAAGCGGATTCTCTCTGGGAAGCTGATAGGTGTGTCTTATCTACCTGGACCTGCGCTAGTCGATCGTGGGAAACTCGAAGTTGCTGAACCAAGTGGTCCAGTTGCTGATTGATGTGGCGCTCTCTCGATTTCATTTTGTCCAGGTCAGCGCCGATCTCGTCGCCCATCGCGTTCAATTTCCGCACCGTATCGACAGATCCCGATTCTATCATCGATGGTTTTGAAGATCAATAGTGAAAATGATTATTTACCAATTTTTTCCGCGCTCGTTTTGAGTTGATCAATTCTCTGTCTCCAATTCGTCTGGTCGCTTCGGAGCACCAGTTTTAGCTGGGGCGTGAGTCGCTCTACTTCGTCGCGCCAGGTGTCTCTGTCCACAGCGGGCAGTTTTGAAATCGGAGGGGTCGGCGCATCGGATGCTCCGATTGGCGTGCTACCGATCTGAACTAAAGTCGATTTTATATAATGCTTGAAATTTCGATTGATCGCTTTACTTATAGCGCCATCATCGTCGGACTCGCCGATGTCGTCTATTTCTTCGTCCATTTCCAGCTCTACATCGGAGTCGTCGACAGTTCCGGCTTCTTCCGTCTCATCTGACTCTGTTGGGAACTACATAAGTCTTTACTTACCCTCGGGGTAAGAAAAAAGCTACCTTTGGTGCGAAAAATCGATGTCCTCGACGCTCCAAAGCAAGATCTGCTAAAGAGGTTAGAATCTTCACGACTTCATTTCCGTGTCCTTTTCTTATCTATCAAAAATCGTTCGCTAAATGTGTAAATTGAATATTTCGAGCACCTTTTGTGGCGGAAAGTCGACATCGACTCCCAATCGTCGACAACTTTCCATAATTTGCGAAGTTATTGCTCCTGGATCGTCAAATTCATCGACTAAAATAAGGACCTTGTAATAAAAAATAGACAGTAGCGCAGTACCTTCAATCGCAACTCCATTAGATTGTAAAAGATATTGAGTGAGTTTTATAAATTGCGTGAACTGTTCTCCTTGATTTTCATTGTTGGGGACTGAGAAAGTGATTCGCGAAATTGTTCGGATTCCGCGCTGCTTTTTGACAAATTCTTTCTCGTAATTGAGAAGTTTGAGTTTTTCTATTCGGTTTTCAATAATTGAAAAATCTCCTTATCATCAATTTTTCATAATAAAAATAATCGAAAACCAGCCTATTAAAATCTCATTCTGCAAAATAACCATGTACGCTGCTCCAGGCCCCAACTCAATTTCATCTGAGTCGCTCATTTTTTACTCTTTTCTTTTGCTATCTAAAATGATCATCTGATGAACCAACTTCAACTCTTTCTTTTTGTTTTTGCGAGTTTTGAAAAAATGCATTTTTCTAAGAACTTAATTTTTGAACAATATGAGCAAGAATAATAATATATAAAGAGGGGGTACTGAAAAGCCGTTTTAGGTAAGTCTTAGTTAAACTAGAGTTTGGAAAGAATAGAATAACGATGGAGATGTTTTTATATTTAAAATATCTATTGTAGAATATTGCACAGAATTGTCTCTTGGTTTAGGATGATATCTTAAGAACTTCATTTGCCTAATTGAGACAGAGCATCCAGGATAGGTCCATAGGATCAAAGCAGTGTTAAAATGGATTCTAGTCGATCTTCACGTAAGTGTAGATTTTATGAACAAAGAGCGATGTCCCCAAGTATCCCAGTCCACCGCACATGAGACCCAAACCAAGGCAGAACATCGCCATGTAGCCGAAGTAGAAAGCGGTCTAAAATAAATAAGCTTTTGGCGATGGAATCGGCGGTTACCTGGAAGAGCCCATACATCCTCGTCTTGAAGAAGAAATAATAAATTGAGTAAATGTACACGTAGCCGGCTGTACTCGCAGCAGACAAGAATGAGGTCCAATGCCATCTGTAGTCCTCGGAATTGAGCAAGAAGTAGGTGCAAACGATCGTAACGCAGATCGTCACTGTGCTCAAAATTCCAAGGACGAGGAGAATAAATCCATAGACGTAGTAGATCTTGTACGCCCAAAAGGAGGTGAGAATGAAATACATTTCGATGAAGATTGAGCCGAATGGGAGGATGCCGCCCAGGATGGAAATCATGAAGGGCTCCATGAACCAGCGCTTCTCGGGGATGGGGCGAGGGACGGCATTTACTCGACAAGGGAAGTTCGGTGCACCGGAGATATTCTTGCCGATGACAGTGCCAACCAGTGTCAAGGGGAAAATGACAAAGCCGGCGAGAGCGATGAGAGCGAGCATAGTCGTGACTAAACATTCATTTACTGGCTATTCTTTTCATCGAAATTTCTTACATGGAATAGCTCTAGAAGCGTGGTATGAGATGGCAATGAAATTGACGGCCAAAGCGGTTCCGGAGACCAAAACGGGGAGCAAGAACGCACTGCAGAACATTTGCTTGATCCACGTCACTCCGCCCATTCTAGCGTAAAGTCCGCCTCCGACGTAGCCATTTACAGGCGCCAGAACTGCGTATGTGAAGAGACCAGTGGAGACCATTTCACCGTGCTCGGTGTAAAGATGACCCATAATTACAAGAAGAACGACAACAGTGACAGTTGCGCAAATTTGAGCTCCAGTTCCGATGAGCGAGCAGAAAAGCATTCGCTGATTCGCAGGTCTAAATTGCCCTCGTTATACTGTCATTCGATATCTTTATTTCTACCTGAAAACGTCGCCGTGAATCTGCTTCCATCCGTACTCGTCTCCAAGATCGCGTTCGAGGTCGTCAAGTTCTTCCTCTTTTGAATATCGAGCGTAATCTTTTCGCAGAGTTCGCATCAGAATCATCGATACGAGGCCGACAAGGAAGAGCACCATCATAAAGGAATTGAAAAGCGAGAACCAGTGAATTCTGTGCTGGAAGAAAGATGGATCGAGATACTTGTCGTATCTTTTGCTGAATTCTACGTTCGATTCTAAAATAAGCATGTAAGAAAATGTAAGAAGGGCTTTTTTACCTGTCCAAATGACTTCATAAGTGAAAGGAATCTCCATCCCTTCTGTGAGCTTGATCTTATTCTCGGATGTCATCGAGACATCGACGATTCTGTCTCCATTGTATCCGATTTCGAACTTCTTGTGCGTCCAGATGTAAAAATGATCGGGCTTCTTGTCATCGTCTGTTTTGGGTATTTCACCGACAACTCCCCACACGGGCAAATCGTCGATGTACATTTGGTACCAGTAGTGGTGCTCCACGGCGTACACCAGCTGGTCGAGCTTGGATTTGTCCAGCGTCACTTGGCAGTATTTACGGGAAGAGATATCGGTCTTGTACTTCATGTCCAGTCCACTATGGACAAGCTCTACTCCCTGAAACACTCGTTAGAAGCGTAAAAGAGGAAGAATAACACGAACCTGAAGAGCATCACCGATATTATGATGATGTCTGACTTTTCCGACGTTTTCGTGTTCATCTCCCTTGCAAAAAGGTAGCGAAAAATACTCATACGTCTCTTGTCGATTGTGATACGGTCCGACTGTATTCATCCATAACTGGACGTGCTCATCTTTTTCGTATTTATGGGTGTCTTCATTACATGACGCTGAAGATCAAATAAAAGGAAAGAAGAGATTTCTCTTTTTACCTAGACTGAAGAGGACCAAGCTTACGAGCTTCTTCATATTCTCTCTTCTTTCTAGCGAAAACGAGCGCTAACTGCTGCCTCTTCTTTGGTTCTTCAAACTCTTCGTTTCATCAAATTCGAAAAACGACCGACTTGAACTTCAGCGAATAAAAAAGAAAAGCGCGACCTTCTGAAAAGACTGATAAGCGTCTTATTATTGCGAGACTGCCGGAAAAAAAGCTATGGCAAGAAGGGTGAGCCGAGTTAGCGAGTTAGCCAGGCGAGATGAGCCAATGGCGCACCGTTCATTTCGCCTCAAGGGTCGGTCGCCGGCTCAAGCTAGCTTGGTATTCAGAAGGAAACGCGATAAATTGATTATAAATATATTATTAGTGTATTTAGAAGTGTTTATGTGACAGCTAAAGGCAGGAAAAGTGAAAGTGACAGTCTAGTTTAACGACTCGGTGGGAATACCCGAACTTCGTAACAAAGAGACAACTTCAGCTCGTTTCTCGGCTGGGATCGAATTCAGTAAAGTCTTGAACTTTTGAACATAAATTGGAATCACAAAGAGGCTGTCGGCAGGCTGGGGAAGACAATGGACTAAACTTTGAATATTCGCTTCGAGTTGGCCGAGATCACTGGGATTTGGGTTCAAGACATGCGCAGTCAACGAGGAGAGCAAATAGTTGAGAATAAAAAGACGACAAGTCGCGGCGGAAATCTTCACGGAGGTTAAAATGTCGTTGTAGTTAGAAAGATTTGCTCTTGGATCAGAGTAGTTTCTAAAAGAATAGGTAAAGTTTTTATCAAAAATTGAGAAAGCAAAGGCTGTAAAGTGGGATTATCTTCAAGAAAATAAGAGCCACTCAAGAATAAGGGCTTTGAGGGACAGATTCAAGTTCTCCAATTACTCACATAATTCCAAGACAAAATCCCATATTGAGCGCTTTGAGCGAAGCATCGAGCTCTGGTCTTTGCCTTTCCAATTCGAACTTGCTCTTTGCGATCGTCTGCAGCGCTCCTGCCGCGTTATAAATTTTGTTCTTGACCAAGTAATCGGCGAACAAGTCAATTTTTGACTTCAGATTTTGACCGTGAATTTCATTCTCGAGAACGTACAGTAGTTTTTGAATTGAATGATTGTGCTGCTCCCAGGAGCCGATCAGAACCCGATCGGATATTTCAGGAACGAAGCTTGGTGGTATTCCGTGTTGTCCAGTCGCCACCAGTTGCAGGAGATTTCGCAAACTCGGGAGCGATTTGACTGGTTTATCGTCGGAAAACAGTCGCAAAAGAGCAGTGATCTTTTCGATGAATTGCTGGTGTCTTCCATCTTCGACAGGAGGAAGTTTTGCCGTCCTTAGAATCAGCTCTGCTCTGTCGATCTTCTTCTCGTCCAGCAAGCGTGTTAGAATTCTAAGATTTTCATTCCAGCCAAGTTGGAACGATGGCATCAAATCCAGGATGTCTAGCAGTGAATCAAGGTGTCCTTCGTTGCGACTTTTGCTTATCAGCGGTAACAGTGACTAAAAAGCGCTAGAACTTTTACTCAGAAAGAATCAACAAACCTGAATGATGAATCTACTTCTCACAAAGGAAGTAGAGTCTTGCGCCTCTTTTCGTCCAAGTTCGATTGCTTTCTCAACGTTTTTATCGTTGATAGCGTCGGTAAACTTGGCCATGGCTGGATCTGTTTTGTAGGAAATGTACTGCTTTGCAAGTAAAAAGTTTCTGAGAGCTCCTTGTTCGGCGGGCAGCAAACTGAACTCGTCCAGATTCTCGACAAATTCGAGCATCATCTTCGCAGGAATTTGGAGTTTGATAAGTTGGAAGAAAACAGTCGTCAACATCGTCTGAGCATCAACAGAAGACATGCCAGGCTCGAGAGCTTTGAGAAGCTCGTTGTAGAATTCCACACCGTGCTCATAAACCGGATGAGTTTTTTGATATTCGACGAGAAGGGATTCAAGGTAGACTTCGTCCAGTTTCTCCAGCGGATTCGCACTGATAAGTTCTCTAGCAGCAATGTGATTTCTGTCCTTGACCAAGTTGAAAATCGTCAACAACTTCGCCGCATTTTGCTCTAGTCCTCGATCTCTCACTTCCTTTGTCACTTGAAGTCGGAACAAATCATCGTTAATGAAGACATTTGAGATCTTTCCATCAATGATCTTGATGTTTTCTTCTTTTTGAATCTTCAGCGCGCGTTCTAAAAAATTATCCTGATCCTGGCTTGCCCATTCGGTCGCTACTTCTGCCATTTTCACTTTGTTGCTTCGTAAGTCCAATTTCATTCGGTTACTAAAGCTGGTGATCGCGTTTTTGATTTCCTTCCAATCAGCGGTTTTAGCGAGATTTCTCAAGTAATGGAAAATGACATCGGTGGCGTCTCGCTGAAGAGTACTGACGTGCTCGTAATCTTTTGGCTTGACAACGGCGTGGAGAAGACCAGTGAACTCTTCTGGATGCTGGTCAGCCACGAAGGTTAGATATTTGAAAACGAATTGGGATGGCAACAAAGCGCGAGTATCCGCAACAGCTCCCATAATTGCGTCTGTTTTCCAACTCCTTTCCAAATTATCGACACAGCTTTTCACGAGACCGAAAATTTCCGCAGAATTATTTCTTGCTTCCAGAAAGGTCTCTTGATTGTAGAGAACGAAAAGGTCTCGAAGATTTTCAAGCGTTGGCTCGTTTTTGAGCTTTTTGAGTGCATCGCCAAATGGAAGAGGAGTTAGTTTTTGCGCTATTTCCATGTCCAAAACTTGTTTTATTTCATTGAAGCGGGCGTTTTCGTCGTTCAGGTACTTAAGCACTGGTGCTGGAATACTTTCAAGTTCGGAAAGGAGCTTTGTATGGAACTTTGGGGAGGTTTTCTGATTGAGAATTTTGTTGATAGTGTTTGCTGGAGAAATATTGAAGCGATAAGCTCCAAGTCGGTTGACTTCTTTGAACTCGTTCTGCACTCTTCTTATTATTTCATCCTCATACTCGCGTCGCTTCGAATCTGGTAGATTCTTCAAAAACCTGGAGGCGAATAGATCGCTAGAGAGCAAGAGACCCTCTTTGCTCTTCAACGAAAACTGCTCCGCGGTTTTATGATCCATTCCCGAAGCGACGAGGTCAAAATAATTTCGATTTATTTCCTGGTTTTCGAAGATTTTCTTGAGCTCTTTCGCTGGGACGACGTTTCCGAGATAAACAGCAAAGTCCAAAAGAAGATTTTTCTCCTCTAAGATCGGAACTAGAAGCGGGACGTTTTCAGACATCATCAATGCTGTTTCGTTTGTGAGAGGATTTCGAACGCTTTTGAGAATATTTGCGAGGTGATTTTCTGATGACATTTCGCAGTAATTGACAAGATCTTGGACCGAATTCGAAGAAAGCCAGTGAAGGAAGTAATCTGGAACTTCGTCTTTTGGAGTCAAGAAAAAATTTTGATGGCCTCCGGAAAATTGGAGTTGCTTGATCAGCTGCGAGTCGCTTTTTGCCTTGGAAGTGTTTCGGAAAGAACTCTCCATTGAGAGGAACATATCGACGTTGAGGTAAGGGACGATTTTCCGGAGAATAAAGGGGTCTTTTTGAATTTCGGATTTGATAACTGGAACTGCTTGTATCACCTCTTCCACTGTTCGCTTTTTTGTTAGGTTGTCCAAGTTTGATTCTAGGAGACATTTGATGCCTTCTAGGACATTTGAGATGTTTTGCCGAGCAATGAGTTCAATAAAATCGGCGACTTGGAACTCCCCGCTTGGATTTAACAATTTTGCCAGCTGAATTTCAAACGCCGAAAGTGTTCCATCTTGTTTGACGCGATCGAGCATCGGATGATCTGGGTTTCTCATCAGTACTTCTCGCCAAGCCTGTGGATGAGCAAATTTCTTCTTGGAAAACTCGGCTTCGAGGAAACTCGTGGCGATTTCGAACTTGTTCTCTTCACTTTCAGCTCGGACGAGTTGGTAGACCATCGAGTGCATCGCATCCTCCCGGTCCTCTTTTGCCATATTGAAGACAGTTTCTTTGAAATCCTCGCTTTCATAAATCAGATCTTGTTTTGCTTGAGAATAGCGGGCAATGTAGCTTCGTTTCAAATTGCGAATGAAGGCGGGGAGCTTTTTGCTGTCGCGTTTGCAGAATTTGTAGAAATAGTCGTTTTTCAATAAAGCGTCGAGCTCTGGGGAGGAAAGTGCTCCGGCGAGAATTTGAGATTGAAGCTGGCGTTCTTGGAGACCGAGGTCTTTTAGTCGAAAGACGTTGTTCAACAGCCATTTTCTGAAGAATTTTGGTTGGCATTTGGTTTACTGTCATCGGGACAGCGCTAGGCAGCCTGTGTAGAAACCTGAGTCAGGGTAGCGGCGTTTTTAAAGATTTTCTAGAACCCTGACTCAGGCTTTAACACAGGGTCCCGAGCACAGACTCAGGCCTTATCATTTTAACTGTTAAAAATATCTATAAGGTCTTTACCTATCCGACAAGTACAAGCACGGGCTGCTAACAAGTCCTTCAATCGCCGATTTTATTTGCTTCTTAGATCTGTCCACATCAACTTTTACATTTGATTCCCTATTGAAGGCTTTCTGAAAATTGAGGATGAAATTTTCCTCTTTCCGGTTTAGCTTGTATTTTATGAAGGGTTTTCCTTGGTTGCTTCGTAGAACGTCCAGGACTGCATATGAACTGGCTTCGCGACTGAACTAAATTTGGCATTATTCTTATCAGTTTTTGGTCGAAAGTTTAAACCTTCAGAAAAAACGCATTATTCGCCCTGCAAAGCGACATTTTCACTTTTCCCTTTCTTTCTTCTCTTTCGGGCTTTTGGAGAAAAGTAGGAACGAACCAATCAGCGGTTGAGAATATTTATTTCCCTTTTGTTACTGTTCGAGAAATCGCCAATCTTTGACTATTTCTAACTGAAAGTTTCTAAGAAGTTTGATGCCATTGTAATAATCCCATCGATTGTCGGAGAAGAAACTACTGTATTTGAGAAGAAAGAATCGATTTGAAGGCGATTTTCGCGCCAATGGACAGACTGGGCCTCTTTCAAAAGTTTGCTCAAGACACTCCGAAATCTCCAAAATTTCAACAATTCGAAAATCGACTTGAAAATCGAACGAAAAGACGAGAGTAAGAATGGACGATTCATCAATCGTGAGCAGCCCAAAAATAAGAGACGATGAAGCTCTGCGGCCAAGGTCAATGTCGGACCCCGGACCGGGTCCATTGTGCACAAGCGAACGATTCTTCGAACTCATAAAGGAAAGGATAACAAGTCAATACTGTAAAAAAGGATAGACGAACGTAAAATCGAAACAGCAAATGTCAATCATGTTTTCTTTCTCCCTTTTCCCTCTATACTGTTATCCTTTTGAAGAGCAGTAAAAACTCGCATGTCGAAACACTCGTCCGGCTAGACCCGGCGCTATTAACCTCTCGGGTGAAGGGAAAGCTCACGCCAATGATGGAAGCTTGCTTCAAAGGAAACCTCGGGCTGGTCCGATTCTTCCTCGATCGCGGCTGCGACGCAAACGAAAAATACGGCGACGATCAGTACACGCCGTTGATGTTGGCCGCTCTGGGTGGACATGCTGAAATCATGGTCTCGCTGCTCGAAGCTGGCGCTGATCCGCATGAGAAAAATAGAATTGGGAAGACGGCGGCGATGCTCTGTGGATTCGTAGGGATGAAGGAGAGTCATAGGATTTTGAATTGCTGGATCAAGGACTCGCAGTTTATTGATAAACTCGTGCTCAAGGAAAACTGGACGAAGTAATTAGAAAATTATTATTACTATCAAAATTAAATGAACTTTATTAGCGATCTGAAAAGACGTCTTCGCCGGCTTATTTGCCATCCAAATTGCCTCCCTGTTTCGATCATGCAGCGAATTCAAGGATTGAGCGACAACGTTCTCCGAAAACTCATTCCCGTTCTCTTAGAACAAATTCCTCGCGAAGCCGAACTGCCCATATGCCTTAGGTAACAGCGTAATTTTGTCGCTACGTGCCCCATCGCGGTGTACCTTGAGGAGCCAGTCTATTGATTAATTCTCTATTCAGATTTCAAATTATCTCCGAGACGTTGCGTCAGTTTCTTGCGCTCGGAACGACTGCCAGACGATTTCAGAAGCTAATGCTCAATCATCCCAAAGCTTATGATGATCTCATTACCAGATGTTGTCTTGCCCTGTCGAATAGGAACGAAATCGCTGCTTTGAAAATGGCTGTTTCTGGTAAGATGATAATTTAACTTTGAAAAACTATCGAAAAGTGAGATTCTCACTGTGAGAAGCCGCTTGCGGCTTCGAGAAAATAGTGAAAAGCCCCGCAGAGTGCGGCTATAATATTCATTTTTGATTCGTTTTTGTTAACTCCCGAAAAGCTGCGTGCGGCTTCAATAAATTAACATTTTAGCCGCGATTTACAGCTTTCTTATTTCTTCCTCGAAGCCGCAAGCGGCTTCTCGCCCTTGCATTACTGTTTATATTATAAACTTTATAAACCGAAATCTAGGAGAATACACGACGCTAAACGCCGCCATCCGCCAAGTAATCGGCGATACAAGCGACATCACCCGCCTCTGCTCAGTCTGTTTTGAACCGTCAAAGTACCGCTGTGGAAAATGCACCCACAGAACTGCTTTTGCGATTTACTGCTCCCGATATTGCCAAAAACTGCACTGGAAACTTCACCGACCCCTTTGTAAATAAAAGACGCTTTTCCTTTTTTTATGTTTGCTTTTCGGAGGTCATAAATTCAAAATGTGACTCAAGCGGGAGCGGGATAGCTCAATTGTCTAAAAATTTGCTGATGATCTCTGATGGCGGATAACAGAGCTTGTTTTCGAGGTCAAATTTGATCGGATTCCGCCGGTTTCAGGATGAAAAATTGATGACAAAATAAGTTAAAAGTGCAGTTTTGGCTCGGCAACCTGTCTGGAAAACCTGAGTCGGGATCTCAAAGATGTTAAGTGAAAAGCCGCATAGCGGCTATTTTTTTAAGGAAGCCGCAAACACCTTTGCTACAGGTTGCTGAGCCCAGATTGTAGTAGCTTTATGAACAAAACCAAAAAAATTTAGCGAAATATGAGTAGAAATTTTACCCTTTCGAATTACGTAAGATGTTGCTCCAACTCTGGGCTGATCTTTAATCATAATTATGACTACTCGTCAAAAAGGGAAATTCAGACAAAAATTAGTAGTTATGAAATTTGTCAACATCCGCATAATCGAAGTGGTTACGTGCTCATCCGTCTCAGAGAAAGGAGAGCGAGCGCCCAGCTGCGGGCGCCATTGCTCCCCGGCTCCTCTGAGCTCGAAGTGATGACTCTGGATGAGCCAATGGCCGCGCGCTTTCCCTTCCGTCGGCATAAAAGGGAACACCTCAAATCCAGCGGCTCACACTCGCCAATAATAAATCAAGCGAAAAACACGAAAATTCGGAGATAAAATTTTATGAACAGAGAAGACACTCTTCAAGAAGCTTCCACTAGAAAAGATGATCAACCCTCTCAGCCAATGGACCCAGTTCTGGTATGAAAAAGCACTTGCGTACTTTCCACAGATCCAAAATCGAATGACAAGCATCCAATCCTCGATCTTCTGGAATCTTCTCCAGCGAATCTTCTACAACCCCGTCATTACCGCCTTCGAACTCTCAATTCGCGAACTAAATGCATTCCTCGCCGCAGCAGTTGAAAAACTAACCTTCGATTCATTGACGGAAATGAGTAAAGGGGAGCAGCTTTCACCAGAAGCCCAACGATTTCAAATCATCAAAACAATCCTCCAGGAGTACAGCGATATCATAATCGGAAAAGACCTCTGGCTCAGCAAGAGCGTCCTCGGAAACGACCTCTATTCGCACCTGGTCAATCCTGAGAAAGTGAAAGACATGAAAAATCGACAGAAACAGTTCAAACAATACAAGGTGAGCAATTAACTATTTTTAGAATAAATAAAGAATTCGTAAACCTTCAATTTTCTCAATAATTCATTCAGAAATCCGGCCCTCTTGATCTTCTCGCTCTCATCCGAAATTTCCGAACCCACTACGATCAGCAACCGCTCGAGCTTCGTCAAAAAGTCTTCAACCACAAAAACCTCGATCACGTGGCCGCCGTCCAAGATTACTATTCCTACTTCGACCAGAAGTTCCCGGGATTTTTGCTCTTCGTCTACGATGCCGCTAGTTTTGCCAAATCAAGTGCGCTTGGCGAATTTTACTACAATCCCTGCACAGTCGACATCTTGGACTTTGACACATGCTACGCCAGTTTTGCCCAGCTGTTCCAAAGGCACTTCAATCATCTTTTGGACTACGAGCGTTTCAAGAAGCTCTTCGAACAGACGCTCAAGCAGACGAAGTTCCTCTCCCACGAGATCGTCGTGAACCAGTCCTGGATTGAAGACATGGAAGACAAGTTTGAAATCAAAGAAAAACTGCCGAAGACTGGGCGAAAAATGTCCGAATCCTCCATGAAGGAACGCGCCTCTCCCATGCGAAAGCAGCGCAAGAACTCTCGAAACTCAACTTACTAAAGAATAGCACCATTACAGTAACTGCTACACACTGCTCTATGAATCCCCTCTTCTCTCCAACTAGAAATTGAAACAATCCGGCTGATTGCCCTTTTCTCCTAACTTTTAGTACAATTTAACATGTGCAACTTTACTTCATCGTGTTTATCATAATTTCCTCGAAAGTTCAATCTTGTATAAATTTGTGATTTCAGTTCTTTGATACAGCAACACCATTTTGTTAAAATTTACATTGTGCAAATAAAAAATCAAAAAGAACTCCCCTTTTCAATAATTCAGCATACTCGCATATAAACCGTTTTTGACAACAGTTTTCTCTATCGAGTAACAGCAGGATATCAGTAGCATGCGTTGATTAGTGCAGGCTGAGATTGACACGCACAGTGCATTAATAATTAATCTCAGCTCTGAGCGTTATGACATTTCATTTTTGTTTCGTGTGTACAAAAGAGGGACCCCTATCAGCCAAGAGATGGACAGCGCAATTTTCTTCCTCTTTCTCATCGCCTTATTCATCGTTGGTAAATAAAAAGAAAAATTATGAAAGAGTGAGTAATGATTTCTAGCATCGCTGATGGGGCTAGTTACACTGACGATTGACAATTACATCTGGTGCAAGGTAAGGAAGTTTTTGAAGCGATTACGGACAAATTTCCAGGGCGATAATGATGGACAAGTCTTGGATGGGGACGGCCATATTATAAGTGCTTGCCCCTCTTGGGACCGGATATCTACTATTGACAATTGACTATTGTTTAGCTGATTCACAGTCTGAATTTCAGGCTAACTAAATGAAATGACCCCCTGTTAGTATGATTTTATGGTACATTTTAAGTTAACACTGAAATGAGAATTTGACAGATTCTCTGCAAATTGAATCTGCAAATTGAAATTTCGAATGTGATAATGAGATGAACTTATCAATTTCTCTCTTGGATATCCAGATAGGTTTCCTTTCGGAACTATTATCACTCGCTCGGCAAGCCTCAACGGGGCTAATCTATCATCAGCATTTTTCTAAATCTTGTATAAATTGGCTGCGATACAACGATCTCCAAAATTTGGAACATCAACGACTCGGGGGCGCGTTTCTCCACGTTCGATTGGCTCACCAACATTTTATGACGAAATGTTCCCTCATTCCTGACCTGCCCGTAGCATTTCCTTCCTCTGTATCAGAAATAAAATCGAGAAATAAATCTTCTGGTCCTTCTTTCATTGAAAAACTCAGAGTCCAAGTTCAAGAGTAATTCTTTCTGTAAGGGTGCGTTTGTTTTGATGATTGTTTATCAGAATGATTTTAAGACGTTCGGGCGTGAATCGGTTTCATTTCCAGCAGAGCCGATTTATCTTCTACACCGCTAGAATGGAGAAAATCGCTCGTGAACGATGGCAGTGGACCATGCCGGAGGACAACACTCCGAAGCTCAAGGTCAACAATTCCCTGACGAGGAATAAAGATGAATTCCGACCTGCTAACGGAAAAACTGTCAAATGGTACTCATGCGGACCGACTGTTTATGATCACTCACACATGGGTCACGCTAGGTAACAGATTGCTATTGAAAAATTCATCGTTATTGTACTAAATATTCATTCTCAAGATCGTACGTCTCTTTCGATATCATTCGCCGAATTCTTCGAGATTACTTCGGCTACGACGTGTTCTACCAAATCAACATCACTGACATCGACGACAAGATTATCAAACGAGCTCGACAGCAACATCTGTTTCAGAACTGGAAAAACTCCAGCCCTTCTAAGGTGATTTCCCTTTTCCTTGCTCTCTTCACCTTTCAATAGGACGAAGTAATTGAGCATGCGAACAAAGGAATCGAACGTTTCCAAGCGAAGTTTGAAGAAGAAACAGATCCTGATAAGAAAACAATGTACAATAACCACTTGACAGCAGCGCGCAACTCAGTTGAGAATTTCGAGTCCATCGAGAAAGTTTTGGACACTTGCGTCGACTCCATCTCTGATTATCTCGATAAACAATTAGGAAACGTTCATCATCCTTTTTCCGTTCATCCGTTAAAAAGTGAGGTCGGATTGGGAACCAAATGAAAGGCTCTTCTGTTACTGACAATTCGATCTTCGATGCTCTCCCTCGATTCTGGGAGAAAAAGTACTTCGAGGACATGCAAGCGCTGAACATTGAAGATCCTGATTGCCTAACTCGCGTGTCAGAGTACGTGCCGGAAATTGTCGACTTCGTTCAGAAAATCATCGACCAAGGATACGCTTACGAATCCAATGGATCAGTTTACTTCATGGTGGATCATTATAACAACAGTTCAAATCATTATTATGCAAAATTGGTTCCTGAAGCTGTCGGTAATAAAGATGCCATCGCAGCGGGTCTAGCTGAAGGAGAAGGTATGTGTTGAATTAGAATTCAGAAGCGTCATCGTCATTTTTAGGGTCATTGGCTGCCTCTGGTAGTGAGAAGCGATCAGAATCTGACTTCGCTCTTTGGAAAAACTCGAAGCCCGGCGAGCCATCGTGGGACTCGCCTTGGGGAAAAGGTCGCCCGGGATGGCACATTGAGTGTTCGGTAATGGCGTCTGACATTATGGGCAAAACGATGGACATTCACTCCGGGGGAGTCGATCTCAAATTCCCGCACCATGACAATGAGCTGGCGCAATCTGAAGCCTGCTGGGGAAATGACAACTGGGTCCAGTACTTTTTACACACTGGCCATTTAACAATCGCTGGCTGCAAAATGTCCAAATCGTTGAAGAACTTTATTACTATCAAAGGTGCCCGAGTTAATTTTGCATTTTCTGAAAAGTGTCTTATTTAGATGCGCTGAAGAAAAACTCTGCCCGTCAAATTCGACTTTCTTTCCTTCTCCACGCTTGGGATAAAACCCTTGACTACTCAGACAACACCCTCGCCGACGCTGTGCAATATGAAAAGTCCATTTCCGAGTTCTTTGCCAATATTAAAGCCGCTCTTTTGAACGATGACGGGATCCTGAAAAAATGGGGAGCGCCGGAGAAAGAGCTCTTCGCCGATTTCCAAGCGGCTCAAAATGATGTCCATGCTAAATTATGTGATAATTTGAATACGCATGGTGCTTGCATGGCCCTGAGAGATATTGTTTCGTCGACGAATAAATATTTGGCGAAACAAGAAAATCCTGATTTTAAACTTCTTAGGTAAAATATGAATAATTCTTAAATTGGGGTTGATTTTTGTTCAGAAATGTAGGAGCTTACGTTACTAAAATCCTGAAATGCTTCGGCTGCATGAACAGTGATGAGCGAATCGGCTTCCCCGCGGAAGGCCAAGCCCAGAATCAGAATATGGACCAGCTTGTCGCTCCTTATCTTCAGTGTTTAGCTCAATTCAGGTGCCCTTTCTTCTGCATAATTTAGCATAAATTGCTCTCTTCAGACAAGAAATTCGAAATACGACGCGGGGAGATAACTCCGATCTTTCGAAGAAGCTCATGCAAATGTGCGACGATTTGCGGGACATGAAGCTTGTCGATTTGGGTGTCAGATTGGAGGATAAGATGGACGAAACTGGAAAGCCTATTATTAAACTTGGCAACAGAGGTACTAAACATGCATTTTCTCGTTTCATATTTCGTGCTAGAACAGTTACTCGCTGATCGTGCTGCCAAGGAAGAAGAAAAACGAAAGAAAGAAGAGCAGAAACGCGCCCAAGCCGAGAAAAAGCCCGAGAAGAAGCTGAAAAGGACAAGATCGCGTCGATTCCACCAACAGATTGGTTCAAAAAAGAAGAACATTTGAAGTTGTACACGCAATGGAACGATGCTGGTCTTCCGACGCATAGGAAAAATCCAGAAAGGTGACTTTCCGCAGTTTTCGCGATTTCATCGTTGAAATTTTTAGTGGCGAAGAGGAAGAAATTCCCAAATCCGCGTTGAAAAAACTGACGAAAGAGCTAAACGCACAAAAGTCCAAGCACGATAAGTGGCTGAAGAAACAGCAATCCTGAAAAGAGTACTTTTCTATTTGAACACTAGAATGTCTGCTAAATACTATTTCTGTACGCTGTGTTATTATGAATTTACATATTTTGTGGAGTCAAGTGAAGAGGGTCAAACGACCGGTGAAATAAACTATCTTTGCTATTTATTAAATTATTCGTCACTGAAAGCCTTTTTTTGTAGAAATCAAAATCGGTAGAAGATGGGTGGTGCGTCTGGTTTGAATATTCTGCAGCAGAAATCGTGGCACGTTCTGAGACGACATAACATCGAGCGCGTCCGAAAAGACCAGCGAGAAGAACGAGAAAGGCAGCAAAAAGAGGATGACAGGAAAAATCTAGTAGAGTTTGAATCAAAGCTCGATCGCCTTAGGTAAGAAAATTACAGTTCAACCAAAGTTCAGTTAACCCCGGAACGCATGGCCATTTTTGCCAATTTCTGACCGTTTTTTAACCCAATATTGTCGCGATTTGGGCATAAAGAGAATAAAAATCCGGGTTTATATATTATAACCGGGCTCTAAGCTACAAAAATATAACTTGAGCGTGGTCATATTATATGCGTATATCAAATATAATATGGGTTTTTTTGATGAGCAAAATCGTATTACCCAAAAATGGGTCGTATATGCGTTCCGGCGTTAAAAAAGGGCAAATTAACCGGGCAATTTAGGGCAAAGGCATCAAAGAGCGACTCGACAGCTGTAGCGACAACAAGCTCAAATGAGCCGCTCAATCTCTTCAAAGTCACTGATCTAAAAGACTTGAAAAACGTCGACAAGCAAATTGAGGATCAGCAAGATGAGGACAAGCGACTGCGGAAAGAAGGCTTCCTCACGTATCTTGGTGAAACCGTTCTTGAAAACGACAGTCCTTGGTATGCAACACAGCGTGGCGTTGAACAAACCAAAAAGGCAAAAGACGAAGAACGCTTCGCAAAGGATGAGATTCGTAAGACAAACGAAGATCCTCTCGCAAAATTCGCCAAAGAAATGAAATGGGCTGCGCCGAAAAAGAAAGATGACCTCATACCGCTGCGAGCACCAGAAGACAATTTCCTGAGAATCGCGTACGAAGAAGAAGTGAAGCGAGAAAAACTATCGTTTTCTCCTCCAAGACAAGGTCTCGGATTTGGTGTGACCCGCTGCAGGGTTTGAAAAGTCTGAGCATGAGCATGCTCAGAGCACTGAGCATGAGCACTGAGCATGCTCAGCGTGCTCAAGCTCAACGGAAATTCCAGCGTGTCGTGCTCAGCCGTGCTCAAGCTCAATAAAATCTGAGCATTCGCGCGCTCAGCCGTGCTCAAGCTCCCTAAAATCTGAGTTGATCTATCTCAGTTTTGTCCCCAACCCCACCCACACCCATAGTTTAAAAAAATTGATATTATCCTGGTTATTTATGGTTCTCATTGAAAATTTTATTTTTAGTGTTCTTTTATGGAGCAAGATTGCTTGAGCATGCTCTGAGCACTGAGCATGAGCATTGAGCATGCTCAGCGTGCTCAGGCTCAGTGAAATTTGAGCAGGCGGGTGCTCAATCATGCTCAGGCTCAGCTTTATTTGAGCAAGCAAATGCTCAGTCGTGCTCAGGCTCAGCAAATTTGAGCACGCGGATGCTCAATCCTGCTCAGGCTCAGCCAAAATTTGAGCTCTCCGTGCTCAGCCGTGCTCATGCTCAGTCAAGATTTGTGACTTTTCAAACCCTGACCCGCTGTGCGCTAAAATGAGTCCCTGAAATGGCGCACAAAATGTTGTGCGCAGGATTCGCGGATCACAGAAAAGGCTGTGATTCAGTCGAGCACACCGCCAAATTTGCTGTGGCCGATCACAGCTCTCAATCACAAAATTCGTGTGATCCAAATGTTAGGGATGGGAATTCAGGCTTTCATTATGAGGGATTGATGAATCATTTCTGAGGTCGCAGCCGCGTTATCGAAAATTCCTATCATCCGGCCCTGGGATGAATAGTTTTCCTAATGAAATTCAGTGATAAATTCATGTGGCAGGCCAAAGAAATTCTGGATCACAGAAAATCTGTGATCCAAATAAGCCTTAATTTCTACTCTGTGATCGAGCCTCGATCACAGTTCCTCTGTGATCGAATAAACCTGCGCACATCTTTTTGTGCGCCTTTTCAGGGGACATATTTTCGTGCACAGCGGATCACACCAAATTCGAGACCTTGCTCCAAGATCTAAAAAATCAAAAAAGTCCAAAAAAGAGCGTCGAACAAAAGAAGAAAAGAAGCGAAAAAGATCGCGTTCAAGATCCAGATCTTTAGACTCGATACCGGATCGATCGTACAAACGAGAGAGATCGTCGTCTTCCCCAGAGTTTGTTTCCGAAACAAAAGCAAGGAAAAGCAAAAAGAGCAGAAGATCCCGTTCTCGATCTCGTTCGAGAAATCGAACTTATAAAACAGAAAGATCACCATCTCCAGAGTTCATTTCCGAATCCAGGTCAAAGAAAAAGAAGAGCAAGAAATCGAGGAGAGAGTCTCCAAGAAGAAGGAAGACCTCCATCAGACCTACAGAACCCTCATCCTCAAGCTCATCTTCCAGCTCCGCATCGTTGATAGCGATGCTCAGAGCCAAAGCGGATAAACGAATTCAGCGAGAGCGCGCGAAAACGTGAGTTTCAGATCTAAAGCGATACTTTTATTTTTGATTTTTAGCCAAGACCTTTTTGACAAAATCAACGGCGTTGTAAAGAAAGAGCCAGAAGAGCCAGTTGAGGAAATGGACGAGCGAAAACGGGGCTACAATTCTTGCTTCAACCCGAAATTTCAAGCTGCAAAAGAACGTCGAAGAAATTCTGAGTATTAACCTTAGAATCTTTCCTATCTCTAGAATCTGCCACATTTTCTTGCTGTTTATTTCGTTTTCTTCTTTTTAATAATCTTGCACATTACATTCGGTAAAAAAGTTAAACATAATTTCTTATCGCAAAATAATTCAGAAGGAGAACAAAAAAGGAACATGTCTTATGCTAATGAAATCGTCTACGCTCACGGAGAGGGCCCAACTCCACCTGCTCGCATGGCCAGCAATCCAAAAGTGCCACCAGCAAAGAAAGTCTCTCGGGCGAAATTGTGGGATGAAAGCGTCGAGGACAACTTTAGATTCCAAGCTGCTCAGTATAGAGACGAAATAGAATACAAGGCTGTTCATCCTAACGGAGAAGTGAGTTCTTCTTCGTCTTCTTTTTAAACCATTCGTTAGGTCTGCCGATGGCCCTCTGGCATGATCAAAAAGCTTCTCCGAAAGGACGGAACATGGAACTACTTCAACAAGGAGCGCGAGTGTTACAAGAACCTCCATTTGGTGAAGATGTACGAATACTAAACCTCTAAAAACCAGCTTCGTAGAGCTACTTCCATCTATAGTTTCTTCTTTTTTACATTACACTGTGTCAAGATTGTTATTTTAACAGAATAAAACAATATTTTTATACAAAAAGAGACGTGTTTTTCTTGTAGAAGTTTTATGTATCGGACGCAAGTTTTATGGCGAGGGACGCATTTGAAAACCCGTCGAATAAACACTGAGTTGCCCATTCGCATCCACTATCGGATCAATCTTGACGCTCACAAATCGAGACTGCCTCTAGCGCGCATCGAGCTCTTTCCCGACCTCGGCAAATCCATCGTCACTTGCTTCGGCATCACTTATATCGCCGATGCCCTGGCGCAGAGCATTTGGAATAGGTCTACTGAAGACCTAGACCAGCGGAGAATGAAAAATATGGCCATTGCGGCTGTTCCTTTGGGAATTTGGTATTCGGCTTGGTTTTCATTCTTGGGTAGATATTTCGACCGAGAAACAGCTTTAATTTTTCTTATCAGACTTTCATCTCAAAAAAGCGCCTTTCACCTCAGCCCTCATTGATACTCTCTTCCTACCTGCAGTGCACGCCATTTTCCTCATTCCCTTTCACATCATTCATGACAACAAGGTATACAACTGAGCATCTTCGCTGTTTCCTCAAGATATTCAGGTGCTGAATCATAATTTGTCGCACGCAGAACTTATCTCAGAAATTGGGTCGCTCTGGTTTCTCGACTGGTTGATTTATTTTCCGCTTCAAATTATCAACTTTGCTTTTGTAAAAAGTCACTTACTGAAAATCGTTAATGTGCAAATAATCGACTTGGTGATTGATATTCTTGCATCTATGGTCATCAACGATGGCCTTGATCCTATTACCTCTGTGAAAAATTATCTCCATTCTAACTAACAGATATTTTCTTTTACTTAAATCACGGATAAAGAAAGAAGCAAAATCATGAAGATTTTTGATTGAAGAATTAAGATGATCGTTTGGAGTGACGATTCCGCGGCAAAAGGATGAGTCGCTCGATCCAACATTTTATTCGCGAAAGACGTAATGGCCGCAAGAGACAACTGCCTCTCCCGTCTTGGAACGAAGATTTCATCCATAGACTGGGCATATCGACTATTTTGGAAGGACACACTGGTTGCGTGAACTGTATTGAATGGGACAGGGACGGCACTCTTCTTGTTTCTGGATCAGATGATCAGTACATTCGAATCTGGCGACCGCATGCGGTCGGTAAACCGTTCCGACGATCCGCAGAAGAACCAGCTAATTTAGAGTGAGAGTTCAGAATCATCATAAATTTGGGAAAAATTGAATCACTTAGCAACCAATTTTGATCTCGCCGATAGACCAGCCAATCTCAGTCAGAAACATAGTATCCCCGATCACTTCCATCAAAACTCCCCACACAAGGAACATCTTTGCCACTCGTTTCTTCGACAACCAGAGCAAGATCGTCTCCGGCGCAGCAGATCATCACGTCCACGTGACTGATCTTACAACCCAGGAAGTGTGCTACACGAAGTCCTTCGAAAACCGCGTCAAGAAAGTCTCGGTCGTGGACAACTACGTTTTCCTCTCTGCTGTCGAAGATGGCACTGTTCAGTTGTCGGACGTTCGCGTTGGCGCCAGCTACCCAAGTACGACTAGCTGGAAGTGCACGTCTCATTTATTTTAGTTTTTTCGATCTCCTCTTCTAACTTGCCCCGCGCTGCAAACATTACCGAAGTGAAGTCGATCGATTACCACAAAAGGACGAACATGGTCGCTGTCGGTTCCGGTGGCGGGCTCGTTCGCATCTTCGACGTTCGCTTCGACAAGGAGCCAACGGTGAAGCTCATGTTCGGCAAAATGTACTTTCCCGGGCATTGTGATCGCGATCGAGGAAATTACTCGGTGACGCATGTTACTTTCTCACAAGATGGAAGCGAGCTTCTTGCGAATATGGGGTCTGAGTACGTTTACCTCTATGATGTCAAAAACCCAACTCTGACGAGTCTCAAGCTCCCCGACTTTGATTCATCGCCAGAGGAGCCTCCCTTACTGCCAGAAAAAGCAGATGAACTGAAAAGGGAGGGGAATTATTTGTTCTCCGAGACGCAGTTTTTCGGCGCGTATCAGACTTATCTCGACGCATTACGGATCTGTCCCGGCCATCCAGTTTTATTAAACAACGCTGCAAGTGCTCTGATGAACCGGAAAATCATCGGCGACAAGGTGAATTGCGCCTTCAATCAAGTAATAACAAGCATTTTTCAGTACGAGAGTTTCTTGTTCTGCCAGCGCGCTTTGAAGAAATGCTCAAAATATCGCAAAGCTAGAATTCGCGCAATCAAGCTTCTCAGAAACATCGATTTATTAGCAGCGAAAGCTGAGGCAGAAAAACTGCTCGAGTATGATGTTCAAAATTCCGACAAGAAAGAAGTTGCTGCATCGAGAAAAATACTAGACGTAATAAATTACTCGAGCCGCAATAAAGATTAATTTACTCTCGCTAGGGAATTTTAAAAGTGCTGGACGACATTCCAGATGACGAGGAAGAGGAGGAGGATGGCTCGGCCCCGATCTGGCTGGACTACAAGGTAATAATCTGCGATTTTCCGCGCGCATAATTACGTTGAACAGAATCGATTTGTCGGCCACTACAACTGCCAAACTGACATAAAAGAAGCCAGCTTTCTCGGAAGTGAATTCATCGCGGCGGGCTCCGATTGTGGCAATTTATTTGTTTGGCGACGCGACGGAAAATTACTTTTCATCGCGAAGGTTTGTGATTTAATTTTGAAAAGCCAGCCGCGATTAAACAAAAAAGAAGAAAACTGAAACGGAAGCGCACTTTTTTGAAAGCTTTGATTGATTTCAGACAATTGTATATTATCGCGGCTAATAAGGCCTTTGAAGCAAATACAAATAGTATTAAGGGGGATGAAAATATTCTAAATTGCGTTCAACCAAATCCCAAATTGACCTCAATTGCTACGTCCGGCATCGATAATGAAATCAAGCTCTGGCAGCCTGTAGACGAGTCTCAGTCCGACTCGTACAACTCTAAGGATTCTTCAAATGGAATGGTGGAGCATGTCGAGGTATTTTCGATCTTCATCGTCATTTCATTGACGGTTATTTCAGGAAAACACTGAATACCTGAGGCAGCATGTTCGCCAAGATACTGAGCTACTGGCACACATGAGTAGCCAATGCGTGCAGCAATGAATACCTTTTATACTGTGACTTCATCTTCGTCCATCTTACATGTTCAAAACGGATACATACGGATAATAAATAGATCTTTTCCTAATTACGTTTACTCGCTTACCCGGAGTTCATGCGTTGAACACTTAGTCAGATAAGAATTGTTGATTTTCTTTTTGCGCAAATTGGCATTCAAAAGCTTCTGAAGCTATCGGAGGTCTGGAAGAATTTGTATCATGTGTACGATACAGTAGCGCGGCGACTTTGATCTAAAGAGAGATTGTTGAACGAAGGCGTTAGATGAGAAGACCCCTCTGATGGCACGCAGGGCTCGTCTCATCCGGGTCAAGTGGCTGACGTTTTCAGGCTTCACGTCACCCCAGAAAGAACCCTTGACGACTTATGTATCGTTGATTTAAGTATTCAAACAAGGGTCGCGTCACTTTTGAAGTTGTTCTGTATACTTTGTGTTGCTGAACTTTTCCGTTCGTAAAATAACGGAATGATTGAGCGTTTTTTTTATTAAAATCCGCGCATTTCCGTTCCTAGAGAGTACACTTAGCGTGGCCAGGTGCCAATATAACGGGTTTCTAGTTTATCTCTGTATTGTCTATTCAGACAAATATTGGGTAAGCTCTTTTCTGGATGATGTCCAGGGCCGCTCTGAATTCACTGCCATTATCTCACTCTGTATTGAGCGCAAGTCGAGCGCGAATAAACCGGCGAGTGTTATTTCCTCAGCATTGTACCTCTTGATTATGTTACTGTAATCGTAAGCAGCATTTTCCGGCGAAGAATTTATTCCTGCACTCGTAATTGCACAATCGCCGCATTTTCGAAATGCCAATCGAATTGCAACTGGCAATTTAGCAACTGTTAGAAATACTGTCTACTTTCTTGATCTACCATTTTAAACCTCTGTGAACTGGGCTTTTTCATGGAGATTAGACTTCATAATCTACGCCGAACGTTGGTTAGACAGAGGTAGATTGCGTCTAGCCTTGGTTACTTCGTTCGATGATGAACGGCATTTCAGAAAATTCTAGTTTTTCGACAAACTAAAGTTTGCTCAAAAAGATGTAACAGAATCAGCGGAGGAGGAACTCCCCGGAAGAATGATTTTAATTACACCCTTTACGAGATTGATCATCTCAAGATTTTACGTCCTGACCTAAATATATAACGGAATCGACTTTACGTCTGGGCTCATGGGTTTTATGACCCTTCGCTGGGACGCCATATAAAAGTCGATCAAACTAATGTTATCTCATTCATTCTTCGTTGAGAGAGAAACCCTCAGAGTTCTTTTGAATTCGGACAGGGCACTAGTGAGTTTTATTTCACTGGAGCTTTAAAGGTTTTCTTCTAGGGATACTAGTAGAAAAACCACGCCCACTTCAAAGCGTTTTTTGTTATATTTTTTTTGAAAAACAAGAGAAGAAGCAGAGAGAAATGGGAGGTAGCAAGTCGAAACTTTCCAAGGCCGAGATCAAGAAGCTCGAAGCAAACACTAAATTCACAAAAGCCGAGATTCTCAGATGGTACAAGGGCTTTATCCAGGTACGACACGAACTGATGCCTGATAGCATCGCGATTAGCATGCTTTTTTCCTAGTCAGCAACAACCGCTCTTTATTTCTGTATTTGAGCTCTTGTAATAAGCAAGGATTGCAACCATGAATTTCGTAAATTTACCCTTCTGAGCATACATTGTAGATTTTCTGAAAATTTCGTAGTTGTCCATAAATGTCACATGCTATTATAAATGAAACGTTCAGGATTGTCCATCTGGTGAGCTCAGCAGAAACGACTTCACGGACATCTACGCGGGCTTCTTTCCAAAGGGAAATGCTGGCGAATTCGCCCACATGGTCTTCCAGGTACTCATATTGGTCAAACTCATAAAACCCCAATCTCAATTGACGTAGGCCTGTCGTCATAAGGGCGCTTGATGTCCAGACACGGCCACAAGTTCCATTGGAACGTATTAGCCCCGATTTGGAGTTGATTTATTACCAGCGCCGAAATTTATGGCTTTTGACGAATCAGCTATTTCACCTTTCACCTGTTACTTTCAGGTCTTCGATGTAAATGGCGACGGAACTATCGAATTCGACGAGTTCCTCACTGCCTTGTCCATCACTTCGAAGGGAACAATGGAGGAGAAACTCGAATGGGTAAGATATTTCGACATAAATGCAGCTCAAGATTACTTTTTGCTATTTTAGGCTTTCAAAGTTTACGATTTGGACGACAATGGCACCATCGATCGAGAAGAAATGGTGCAAATTGTTAAAGCGATGATTTCAATGGCTGGCGATGAAAATGCTGAGCAGGATGCTAAAGAAAGGGTGGCGAAGATTTTTGATCTCATGGACACGGTAAGCATTTGATTGACAATGTGGTATAAAATATTTATGACTCCGCGTGATTTGGTGATAAATTTACTCCGGTCAAGATCAAGAGACACGGTGCATATAAAAAGTCGAAGTTTTGGGAAGATAGCTCTTCTGGCATTTTCCGCAGAACGGAGGAGTTTCGCTTTCGTTATCTTATCTCCATAAGCGGAAACCTAAACGTTGAGCTTAACTTGACTAGGACGTTAAACGAATCCCATTGTTGAAATCACGTTAAAACAATTTAAAGTACAACTTTGGCTTTTCTCGGCTTTTCTCCAAATATACAAGCCGCTCTTCAAGCTTCTAAATAGGCGTCTGTCTAACAAGTTTATTTCAGGATGGAAACGGCGAACTTTCAAAAGAAGAATTCCTCGAAGCTGCGAAGCGCGATCAAAGCATCGTCCAGGCTCTTTCCTTCGTCAAATCCGCATAAAAATGCCCCTCGCTCTTATCAATTCGAAATAAAGTAAAAAAATTGAAATTCCTTTTTCATAAAATATAATGTAAGCTTTTATGCTAGATTTTATCTATAGAATTTCTGCGGAGAGCTCCTCCGGAACTTACCTCAAAATTTACTTTTTGGTTGTAAATTGAACTGAAAACATTGTTTTGGCGGTTTCTTATAGTTATGAAGAGCGAATTTATGCTCTTCAAAGTTAAAACAAGTAAACGGTACTGGGCTTGGCAACCTGTGTAGAAAACCTGAGTCAGGATCTGAAAGATCTTAGACGATTTGATCCTGACTCAGGTTTTCTACACAGGTTGGCGAGCCCAGTCCCTAACGTTTACCTGTGTAGAAAACCTGAGTCAGGATCAAAGTGTCTAAGATCTTTCAGACCCTGACTCAGGTTTTCTACACAGGTTGCCGAGCCTGGCAGGTTAGGGAAACTGACTTTCTTTTAATAATAAATAAATCTGGTACTTAGCAGCTTCAAATATATTCTTTGATTAGTGTCCAGATTAAGATAACAAAGAACTGATTGAAGATGATAAATAGAGCGTGAAGAACTCGCCAAACTTACACGGCGCCCACTGTGTCGAGGCGGCTGAGAACTCCTCCAGCAGTTCGCTATCACTAGGGGGTGCACAGTGGGAAAATCGAATTTTTTATCATCCTCTTATGGGGATGTATAATATATCGATAGAAAGCCCATGATCTACTGATCATTTTAACATGTGACTTGGGGTCATTAAAGGTCACGTGAGGTCACATGAGGTCAAAATCTGATTTTTCTCAAAATCGACGTAACTAGGGTTTCTTGACGAAGGGCCGTCAAGCCCATTTAAAATTAAAAGCAAGGGACGGGGCTGAGACGGCCCGAAGGGCCGTCAAGCCCATTTAAAATTAAAAGCAAGGGACGGGGCTGAGACGGCCCGAAGGGCCGTCAAGCCCATTTAAAATTAAAAGCAAGGGACGGGGCTGAGACGGCCCGAAGGGCCGTCAAGCCCATTTAAAATTAAAAGCAAGGGACGGGGCTGAGACGGCCCGAAGGGCCGTCAAGCCTATTTAAAATTAAAAACAAGGGACGGGGCTGCCCATTTAAAATTAAATTTAAATAATTTTTTTAAAATTATAATTATTTTTTCATTTTCCAGGACCATTCTTCCACCAGCGAAGTCCTCCGGAGGACAATTTATGACTCACGCTGGATCACATGATCAGATTCTAATCATTAAGAGTGGAAAACAGTCATGAAAAAAAAATGTCATCGTCGGGATTCGAACACCCCACTTGGCCGAAAAGTGAAGGGTTTTGACAGAAAATCGGCTCTAGAATTTTTTGCTCACGAGTGCACAAAATCATATGACTATCATTTGAAAGCGCATGATCTGCTCTCTTTAATGCTAAAAAATTACGAGGTAACCTTTTGGCACTTTTTTTCTACAGGCAAAAGTATGTTTAGTCTACCCTTCTCACGTGATTTTAGGGGTGAAAATGTGCTTTTTGGGTTTTCTTGTAATGAAATAAAATGATCCTTAGATGTAAACGGATCTTTTTGTAAGGTTAAAAATAGATACATGTACTTTTAAATTATCGGATTTTCCCACTGTGCACCCCCTAGCTATCACTCATCCCTTTGTAGTTCGACTATCGAATTCTGCTGTCGTTTATTCGGTTTCTCATCAGTCACTTTCTTAATTAGCCAGCTGCGTCACAACTTTCTAAAGCAAAATTAGCCATAACAAACTTCCGGGATCCTCTAGCAACCATTTTCCCTCATTTCCTGACTGTAACCATCCTGGAACCCCGACAGCGAAACAACAGTATCACCATCGCTGTGGGTCCAACCTCAGACGAGAAGTCTCCGCGTGATTTTATCATAATACGAATTTTCTATTCTGCGCTTCTTCCGGCACATTGTGTGGAATTGTGTTGTACTCAATTTCGAAAAGAAACCGCAGGCTAAAGCGAATTTGGCTTATTGTCACCTTCTATTTAGCTTTTTTCTTTATGCGGTGGAGTGGTTCAAGCTGGGGATTTTCCGAGCTCAACAGCAAGTTCCAGTCATGTGATTTTGACTTGGGTTCAACCACCTGTGTAGAAAACCTGAGTCAGGTTCTGAAGAGCCTTAATGAAAAGCCGCGTAGCGGCTTTCTTAAAAACGAAGCCGCGAAGCGGCTTCGCCAGTATGCAACAGTAATCTGAAATGATTAGATCCGAAGACGCTTCGCGGCTTTTTATTAAGGCTCTTCAGAACCTGACTCAGATTTTCTGCACAGGTTGCCGACGAGCCCAGATTTTGGCTTTAGCTGATGATCTTCTTGTGAACTAAAGATCCGCTCGATTCTCAGACTCTCCGCGAGCGGGTCTTGAAAATCGTGGGAGTGGAAGCCCGGCTCCGCATTTTGCCCGTAACATCTGTTCCTCGATACTTATGAGCCTGCGGTGGCTCGATTTACGACAAGCAAATTCTACAAATCTAACTTCCCCTTGCTCGAGGCTCGAGCTTGCCAAGCAAATACGACGACTTTGATGCAAATCTGCCGATAAAGTGACCGCCGTTCACTCACCCCAAGATGCTCGATCCTGAAAGCGTCTGTTCATCAATCTGTATTTGCGCGTGGGACTGGCTTCAAACAAAAACTACCATGGATAAGCCGAGATAAGACACCTCCAATTGACATGTGAAAGTTGCCGATCCAGGATCGCTGAAATCCTGGAGCTAATATTGACGATTAAACTAAGCCGCTGAGGAGATTTCAAACTTCACCCATCAAAAATCTTTCTTTCTAATAATAAATCAGAACTCTTCAAAAAAACAATCGATTTTTGATCGAAAAGATCAGAGTTCAGGGAATTTCATTTCTAGGGAAACCAAGATCGATGTCTTGAACTCTACCACTGCCTGGTTGATAGGGTTGACGATTGACGAGAATCTGATGGGATCGTCTTTGACGACCCCTTTTGGAACAAGACACCGACTCTCTAGTTTATATTAATTTGGTATTTTATTTCCGAATCTGAGTCTAGAGTTGAAGGTAGCGCAGCTTATCAAGAAGATCATAAAATAGATCAAGGGTGGTGGCCCAGGACGAGAGTACATTGGGTCCGTCTCATAGACTGATCCCAACATTCTTCCGCCCCAGGGTCACCCAGAGGGTGCAATAGAGAGAAAATGATAAATATCAGGTGCAATAGAGGGAAAATGATAACCATCATCCTTCCGGGGGTGGGGGGAAAAGAGATAGAGAAGAACAGATAGACAGCTGAGAGAATTGCATTTAGAAGTGAACAGAGGCAACAGTTATATATATGATTTATGTTTCGCGAATTTCTTTCGTTCTCATCGAGATGACAGGTTTCTAGAGTTGTCAGTTTTCCACCGGCAAGGTTGGCCCTTCCTTGCATTCTCGGCGCCACGGACTCCCTCCGCGGGTCACGTCTGGACGTTGGCATCCCTACTCTCTTCGGCCGTACAGTTGAATCTTTACAACCAGCTGAGTCCTTCCAGCTAGGCCTAGCACACGTGCGTCTTCCATGTAGGTTAAGGCATCCATTTGATCCTTGGCCAATCAACTCTTCCTACTTCTCATTTAAACTAGTCGAAATTCCTACTTTTGTGATATCGTTTCGAATTTATGTTTCCTCATTTGTCAATTCACATTGCACCCCTTAGCGGGAATTTATTCAGAGTCGTAACTGCTCTCTTCAATTTCTGATCCAGATGAAAGTGTTGAGGGTGAACTCGTTCGCGAGCTGTGCTCGGAGCTTTCCGTGTCAGAAGTCACGCTCCCGGACTCTGAGGAGGAGGACTCGGAGTCTTGCGCAGCTGAGACAAGCTCGTAAAGTGAATCCTCAAATCTATCCAGATCTCGAGTGTTCTCCTCGCATTCGTCTTGTATTATTCGCCAGAGATTTTCCGCCTCGTAGCTTGTTCGCCTCATGGCAATGTAAATCGCAACTTCTTCATCTAAATTGCAGTCCCTTCTGAAATCGTCGATCGCCTCTATGAAATTCTTGATGTCTTCGACTTCCTCTTCTTTTGTGCCTTTTTGGTTGTTCCATATTGGCGCATACTGCATCACCGAATATTCGTATTCAGTGAGCTTCATATTCTCTTGACTTGTGTACTTCACTTTGAGTCGGCGCGGCTCGGTTCCGTTTTATCAGCCGATGTTGTTGACCTTGGTGTTTCTCGAACTTTTATGACCAGCGGTTTGCTTGATGTGTGTAGCTTTATGATCATCGCGGGTCTCGTCAGCTGCGCTGGGATATAAAATTCCAGCAAGAGCCTAGAATTTTATGACGCCGGTCAAGATCAGCAGAAAATTTCGAATCTTCGCGAATGGTGCGGCACTTGTGTCGATCGCCGTGAAGTTCTCGAATTTTGAAAAGGCGGCTACGGAAGTGGCAGAATAGCCGCTTTTGCAATCTCCAAGTTATCTGATGTTGTTGTCGACTTTGTCGTAGTGGCTGATGGTGTTGTTACTGTTGTAGTTATGGCTGATGTTCTTATTTCGACACGCGAAAGAGTTGTTGTGCACTGGGTCGTGGCAGGAAGGTGATCGGTCTTCCTCAAGATGGTGACTCTTTCGTTGTCGCAGCCGCTGACGGTAGTTTCCACTGACGTGTTTCTGGACGCCGCCGCTCTCTTCACTGGGACGTCGGCCGTAAAGGCTTCAGTCACCAAATGATGGGATCGTCTTTGACGACCCCTTTTGGAACAAGACACCGACTCTCTAGTTTATATTAATTTGGTATTTTATTTCCGAATCTGAGTCTAGAGTTGAAGGTAGCGCAGCTTATCAAGAAGATCATAAAATAGATCAAGGGTGGTGGCCCAGGACGAGAGTACATTGGGTCCGTCTCATAGACTGATCCCAACAAATCTTTCCCCATTTCTTTTTCGACCTCTATAGTGCGAACAAGGTGATCATTGAAAAAAGACCTCCATCTTACAAAATCAACACAATGATCTGTAGGAAATATTA